TTTCCCGCTCCCTCGAATAGACCAAATGATCGACGCCACTGCAGGGCATGAGATGCTGAGTTTTATGAATGCCTATTCCGATATAACCAGATCCCCATGCATCCGACTGACGAGAAGCACACATCCTTCATAACTGATAGAAGCCTCTACTGCTACAAAGTAATGCCCTTTGGCTTGAAAAACACAGGGGCTACATACCAAAGGCCCGTGAATAAAATGTTTGCTCAACTGCTTGGCAAATCAATAGAAGTTTACGTCGACGATATGCTTGTAAAAAGTACCAGGGCCACCCAGCACGTCGACCATTTGGAAGAAATGTTTGGCGTGCTAAGAAGATACCATATGAAATTAAACCCCCTAAAGTGCGCCTTTGGAGTTGGATCAAAGAAATTTCTTGGTTTCATGGTCAGCAACCGGGGAATAGAGGCTAATCCCGAAAAGATAAAAGCCTTGCAGGATATGAGGTCTCCAACCAAACCAAAAGAGGTGCAAAGGTTGACAGGGTGTGTCGCTGCTATGAACAGATTCATATCAAAGGCAACAGATAAGTGTGTTCCCTTCTTCGACGCTTTAAAAGGAAGTAAGCATTTTGAATGGACACCACAATGAGAAGAGGCCTTCCAAAAATTGAAGGAGCACCTAAGCAGGCCGCCGATCCTGTCAAAACCCGTCACCGACGATGAGCTGAGCCTATACCTCTCCGTGTCACAAGCCGTAAGCTCCATGCTAATAAGAGAGGAAGAAATGGTCTAGCTGCTGGTCTACTATGTAAGCAAAAGACTCATCGACGCCGAGTCAAGGTACACTGAAATGGCGCAACTGGCCCTGGCCCTAATGGTAGCCTCAAGGAAGCTTCGGCATTACTTTCAATCCCACACAATACGGGTTCTTACAAATCACCCGTTAAGACAAGCGTTGCAAAAGCCCAAAACTTCTGGTCGACTTCTCAAATGGTCGGTAGAGCTAAGCCAGTTCAACATTAAGTATGTACCAAGAGTAACAATCAAGGGGCAGGCGCTGGTGGATTTCCTGGCTGAGTTCTCTCATAGACCGACTCCTGCCACACACGAAGTCGAGACGATGAAGTGGAGGCTCTACGTGGATGGAGCGTCGAGCGAAAACGGGTCAGGAGCCGGCGTCCTATTAATCAGCCCAGAAGGCCACAAAATTACTTCGGCGGTACGATTTAAATTCAAGGCGTCGAATAATGAAGACGAATACGAGGCGCTGATTGCAGGACTACGATTGGCGAATCACTTGAAAGTCGAGAGGCTCGGCATCTTCAGTGACTCTCAACTGGTCGTTGGACAAGTAAATGAGGAATACCAAGCGCGCGGTGAAAAAATGGGTGCATACTTAAGAAAGGTGAAGGAAGAGCTCGTCAAGTTCAAAAACTATGAAGCTAAGAACACTAACGCTGACGCCTTGGTGAAGTTAGCATCATCAAGGGATTCTGACATATTAGGGATCGTTCCTATCGAATAACTAGAGCGGCCGACCATTGAGGAAAAAAATTGAGGCTTTAACGATCCAGACGGACGAGAGTTGGATGACACCGCTTATCCAATACCTAACAGATGCAAAGCTACCGAGTGATAAAGACAAGGCCAGACGGATCAGGTATAGAGCCACCAGGTACCTATTGTACGACGGTTTGCTTTACTGACGAGGCTATTCAACGCCCTTAGTGCCTAAACGATAGCGAAGCCCACAAGGTCCTCGGGGAAAGTGTTGCGTGATAATTATGCTCGCAAGTGCACGTGTCGCTAACAAGTAATAAAGTGTACACAAGTACGGATATCGATCCCACGAGGAATGAATCACCAAAATATGTGTCGGGAGTTGTATAATCAACAAAACAAGTAAATGATGAATGTGGTAAAAATTCACTAAAATGATGTAAATAAAATGAATGCAAACTAAATGTAGTTTAAAGTGACTAAGAGCAACAAGAATGTAGTGATGAAATGTAATTCAGTGGTGAAAATGAGCTAGGCCTGCTAACTTCCCCTCTACTGCAAGTCTGACTAGAATGTTACCAAGAATGCTGCAGCATTCTACTATCCTGTTAACAGAAACTCATTGATGCATGAAGTTCTTCCGAATTGATTATGACTGTGGTCCTTCAAGCTATTTTCGACACATTCCTATGTGAATCCAGCTCTAGGACTGCAGATTTAAGCTCAGGTTTCATTAAGTTATGCAAAGTGAATAACATATTCCTATCCCATCCACTAATCAACAACTCAGCAAGTTCATTGAACAAGCATCATTCATGATAATCCGATTAAAACTAACCCTTCCAGTATTAATCTCAATCTTGTAGCCTAAAGTTGATGGCCAATCAAGAATAGAAATAGACATTAGCTCACATGAATGAACAGGAATAGTCGATTAATAGCATTTCAGAAACAACTTCTCATTCTTACAATATTGGTTCCATTAGCAAACCTAGCTACAACAACTTAGTTCATAATGATAGTTACAAGATCCAAAGCTCCAGTATAATCCATATCTAGAATTAGTAGCCAAATGACAAAAGAGAGTTAAGCTTACAGAAGAAGAACAAGTTCAGCTGGATCTTGGATTCCGCTGTGGCCGGCCAACAATGTCCTTCAACTTCCAGCTCTCACCTCTCTGTATTTTCCTTCTAGGCTGAATATTACTTGATGTTATGCTTTCTTCAGCTTTCCTCCGAAGCTTTTTCCTCTCTGAATAGTGCCTTTTTGTGTTTTCTGGTGTCTTCGTACTCTCCTCCTTTTTAAACAGCAACTGTCTTCTTTTTATATTAATGCCCGATTCTCTCTCTTCCTCTTTTTCTCCCCCTGGCGGCTGCCAACTTGTCCTGAGAGAAACATTCCCTTCTAGGGCAACACAAGGGCTGAGGTGTCACTGCTGATGTGCACAGTGGACCCATTTGACATCTCCTCAGCCAGCTTACACAGATTCCTTTCTGTCTGCTTTGTCTAGCTAGTGCGCTGACGTCAATCAGCTGCCAGCTATTCCCAGAATGCTGCAGCATTTTAGCCCAGTAATTTCCTGCAAGGAACTCACACAGTATTAGCCAGTTTTTCACCCAATTTACTTCCAAATTACCAGCTTTCACTTCAAGAGGTGCAGCAATACGGAATTAGGCCAAAGTACATGCAACTCTACAAATCTAACTTAAAACATACAATAAATGAGAACAATCACTCATGGACACACAATTTTAGGCTATAGAACCAGTGGATAACTCTAATTTCTTAGAGTTATCAGAAAGCTACCGAGGGGAATGCTCTTCAGAAAGAAGCTTGACATCACAAGTTGCGTCTAGGGGTGGGAGACATCTGCAATACGGGCATTAATTGCAAACCCCTAAACCTCCCTACAGTGGGCAGTGAAGGATTACATGAATCCCCAGAGCCGTAATAGAAGACCAATTGGCTGAGTGAACAGTCCAAAAGGTGATTAGTGGGCTACGGCTCCGGCCTAGAAGGGTAGGCCACTCGAGTACTTCTGCCTACGAAGGAGAACCACCCACGAGGAAGCTTGAGCTATAAAAAGGGCAAAGCCCCAAGCACGAATGATGGATGGACTTCTCGAGTACTGAATGATAGAGAGAGTATATGTGCATGTAAATTGTAAAAAGTCCAAAAGAAATATATCATACACAAGTGGATGTAGCTCTTCATTAACCGAGTGAACCACTATAAATCTCGTGTGTCCTCACATTCAAAGCATTACACTCATGCTTACAAAACACAGTAAGCACTTTATAGCATAATTTCAAATATACCGTTAATTTCCAACCGAAAACCCAACGGGATACCAGTGGGCAACCCGGCGTATTTCTGTTGACGGAATTCAGCCATCAACAACCCTCCTAATCAAATAGTTCTCTATTTTTATTAAAAAAATTCACCATATTCATTTCCATTTTGCTTCTTTTTTTCCCTCACCTCCTCACCTATGATGATGGATGGGTTGTTCTCAAGTGGGTAAACTCAAGATCATGGCTTTAAAGAAAAAGGGACTCAAAGGTTTATATACATTTAGCAATGAACCTTGAACACACTCCGCCCCCCCGGGACATTTGACTACGAAACATGTTGTCTCGTAAATATGTGAAATAGGTTCTACTTTTGATGGCGATTTCTATGTCCATGTTTGAATTATCCAGCTCCAAAGCTGATGGGACTCAAAGGTTTGTATACATTTAGCAATGAACCTTGAACACACTTCCCCCCGCCCCGTCCCCGGACATTTGATTGCGAAACATGTTGTCTCGCAAATCTGTGAAATGTGTTCTACTTTTGATGGCGATCTCTATATCCGTGTTTGAATTATCCAGCTCCAAAGCTGATCCTTAGCTATACATATATACATACATACATATATATATATATATAGAGGAAGAGAGAGAAATACATGAAAATTAATGGAATGAAAGGGGATCTAAACTAAAACCCACGAAGCATTTGAACTTTAGCAAAAGGTAAAGCTTTTCTTTTGTTCTGCAAATTCACCGGGAAACGATGAGAGAAAAGGAGAGAGAGATAGTTCAGTTAGAGAGAGAAAGAAATAAAAATTGTGAATCATCAGCTCCAAAGTTGATGGTGAAAACCACGTAATTATCTAATTATGAGGATATACGCGTAATTGTGCTTTCAATTCTCACTAAATAAGTGATACGTGGTAATTCCGTCACTCATTATAACAGAATGAGAAAACTTATTAATAGAATAAAATTAAAAAGGAACGGATATTATCTTTTAAAATTTAAGAGATAAAATGTTATAAGAGTCATAATTCAATAGAATTTTTGAAATTAATCCTAAAATTAATCCCATATAAAATGATCAGTAGTCAAACCACGTCATCGCTAGCGAGTGGCCAAAACCATATTTCCCGCGGGACCCACCAAATCGTTTTCGAAGTAAATTTCGACCTTTAAAAACCAGTTAGCTTCATCTCATTCCCGCTACACAACTTACTTCCTAATTTGCCCTCCCCAAAGGATGGCTAATTACTCTCAGCCCCACATTTGCCACTGCCTCAGCCGCATAGCCACTCTCCGGCGAAATTCTCCCGTCACCATCACCGGCGACCGGCATAGGACAGGCCCGGAGTTGGTGGACGGCGTGTTGCGCCTTGCTAGTGGTCTGCTCAGCCTCGGCATCAGCTCCGGCGACGTCGTTGCCGTCGCCGCCTTGAACAGGCAATTTCAGAAGACAAAACAGCTGTGTTTTTTCTTTGGCAACGCCTTATATATATAAATGTAATAGCGGTGGTGAATTATGTGTTCTGTTTTTATGGATGCAGTGACTTGTATTTGGAATGGTTACTTGCAATAGCATTTGTGGGAGGGATAGTTGCTCCTTTGAATTACCGATGGGTAAGTGAATTTAAGTTCATGGCATTGCTTTTTTTTTTCCTTTTTTCTAACCCAAGACGATGATCATTTGTGTCATCTCGTCCTTCGAACCTAGTTTTGACCAATGTATAGTCAAAGAATGAGCCTAGTTTTCACTCAGCTACCACACACCCCACACTGTACGACCTATTAGCCAAGCAAGGGTCCTAAAGTGGGGCTACAAAGTGTCGAATCTAAGCGGGTCATGAGATAAGAAGAAGTAAAGGCATTCTTTCTACTATTGTAGAAAACTTATTTAAGGCGTTTTTTAAGTTCATGATATTTTCTCAGTGCCATTGGTGGAGGTATTTTTTACAAGGAAAGGCAGACTATATGCTGCAACCCCCCATTGGTTGTATTTTTAAGTTCATTGTGTTCGTTTGGCGGTGGACTTGCCTGCCTTTTCTGTACGTATATCAAGCTTTGAAATTATACTCCATTCATTCTTTCTAATTACCGCCAAGAAGTGTTAATGTGACCTCTGAGATATTGTGGTGTGTAATTCATGCCCTCCGTAATTTACTTGCAAGTGGATTTTGCGGCATTGCCTGGTCACATTCAGAGGAGAGGAAAATAATAATCATGATGTTAATTTCCCACGTCAATGACATGTATGTCATCTTTTGCTAGTTAAGCTAAGAAAGTGTTTTTACTTCTAATATGGAGGATGGATTCATCACCAATAGGTCGGTGCAGCGGTAAGGATATCTTTCCTTCTTCTCCTTCTAGGATGCACCCACAGTTTGATACTCCGCAGCCCCATTTTAGGCCTTTCCTGGCCAATTGTTATATGGCGTTAGGTTGTGGTGGCTTGATTGAAAACTAGGCCCATCCTTCAAGTAGAACTGGGACGGGTTGTCCTTTTTGTTCCACCAACGGGCCCCTAGATTTCCAAAGAGAGAGGATGGGGGCAGGGGATGATTCATGTTCTCTCGGATATACTTCAGGTTGATGTAGCAACTTAGTCAGGGTCATATTTAACAAGTGAAACAATCATTGTTGTCAATGTCTCACGTACATTAATTTTTCATAGAGCTTTGAAGAGGCTCTTTTTGCAGTGGAGGCAGTGAGGCCAGTGATGTTAGTGACAGATGAGAGCTGTAACACTTGGTCTTCGCAGCTCCAAAATTTTCATTTACCTTTTCTGAGGTGGCATGTTTCCTTGGATTCCTCCGCCTCAGATTTCTTAAGGAATTGTATGTCCTTTTGTTTTGCTATTTATATGAAATTAGAGTTTTATTAGAAGATTTTCTTTGATCTTCAGTGGTTCTAATATATTCTCATATTCTTCTTTTTCCCAGCATTAACTATTGAAACGATTAAGAAGCATTCCTTGAATGATTTTTCATTGGATTACTCATGGGCACCTGAGGGTGCCGTTCTTATATGCTTCACTTCAGGTATAAGCTCTCTGCTTTCTTTGTTATTTTTCTTTCTTATATTCTTTAATGTTATAACCTTTATATTTGTCAAAAGTGTCTAAGGAATTAACTTAGGGAAAAGTGAACTATCCGTGTCCATGGGTAAATCGATGACCGATTTTCTTGAGAAAACAGAATAGAAGGTTTCAGGGATTCACTGAAATTGATGCCATTTAACAAGAAACAGTTATTTTTTTTTCAAGCATGTCGAGCTAGTGTATAACTGCATGGATAAGCTCACACTAATCGAATTTCGGACGTTTCTTGGTGCTGGAAACGAATTGGAAAGTAATAAATATTGATTTCTTACATATTAGATTTTCAGGTGGTAATCAATATTTAGTTTAAGTGCCAACGACAGTAGTATGGTTCATTATTAGATTGTATACATTGTTGGAAAATCCAAGTTTGTGTGTTGTTGAGTTGGAACTCCTTGTCACAAATGAAACTGAGATATGGGATTTATGAGGATACCATTAGAAGTTTAGAGTTTTCTATTTTTTTTTTTTCAATTACTTGAGTGAAGTCTTCACAAATTATATCCTGCGTCAATAATAATTGGCTAACAAACTCTTATAGTTGTAGTTCTTCAGAACAAGCCATATAGACACTTTCCCTCTTTTGAACTTGTGTTGACTTTTACAGATAAGAGTCCACCTCTTTACTCAAAACTTCATGAGCAAGTCACATGGAGTTTCAGAAATAAGACTTTGTTCAAATTGTAACTTTCTGGCTATAAGTTTGATTTGTAGGAACCACAGGAAGGCCAAAGGGAGTCGCCATTACTCATTCAGCTCTGATCATACAGTCCCTTGCTAAAATTGCCATCGTTGGTTACAGTGAGGATGATGTACGCCTTTCGTCACAGACAATATATGTCGATGTCTGCACTTGTTACAGTTTGTAATATGACAAGTTTGTGTCATCGAAAGTGCTGTGCTTTGGTTATCTGCAGGTATATTTGCATACAGCTCCATTGTGCCATATTGGTGGTTTGTCATCAGCCATTTCCATGCTATTGGTTGGAGCTTGTCATGTTTTGATGCCAAAGTTCGAGGCAAAATCTGCCCTTGAGGTCGTACAGCAATATAGTGTCACTTCTCTAATCACTGTTCCTGCAATGATGGCCGATTTGATTTCCACGGCAAGGTAAAGTCTCAATTCATAAGAGCAGACATGTGAGAGGATTCTCTTCACAGAGTTTTCTTAGAAAATTCACCTCTGTGCATATTTCCTCTTAATCCAACGTTTTGCAATAGGATACCTTGGTTAGAGCATCTCTACTCCAACGCTAAACTTCTGTCCTAATGTCAAAATTTAGCACATTACTATACTTATGCCAAATATTTGATATTTGGTTGTTTATTAGTTAATGTGTTGATTAATAACTCAGTAATTACAACATTGCCATTTTCCTTTGTTTAATGGACTATTATTTGCTTCATAATATCAAAGCTTAAAATTAATGACAAAAGTAGATATAGCTAATGTGTTGGAGCATAAAATACAACATGTCAAATATGCCATTATTTACACTTTTTTGGTGCCAAATATAGCATTGGAATTGGAGATGGTCTTAGACCCTAACTGATCTACTACTGGAATAGACTTACTCCTTGGTGGCTATTTAGAATTTAAGCTGCCAATTCAAAATTTTGTATCTGTATAGGCACACAAGCAATTAAGAATCCAATTGGATTCTCTCAAATCATTCCCTTCATATTATGTATTGCACTTTTTAGAATACACTGAACAACTTAATGGTGGCAATTTAATTTCAGTGTTGACAGTTTTTCTAAATACGTGTTTTGGAATCTGCCAGGGGAAAGACAACTTGGAAGCAGATAGAGAGTGTCAAGAAGATACTAAATGGAGGAGGAGGACTATCCGTTGAACTAACCAAAGAAGCTACAAAATTATTTCCAAGAGCTAAGCTTCTCTCAGCATATGGTGAATCTCTCTTATCCATTGTACTATTCCACATTAATCTAACATTAAAAAAAAAAAATCATACTTGTATCAAACATAGACCACAGGATTATGTTCTGCATTACTTACTAATTTCTTGTCTTAACTTCTAATTCACGAAGGAATGACGGAGGCATGCTCTTCACTGACCTTCATGACCCTGTATGATCCAACACTAGGATCAAGTGTAGATAAAAGAAACTCCATTTTGGTTCACCAACCACGAGGCATCTGTGTCGGAAAGCCTGCTCCACATGTAGAATTGAAGATCTGTTTTGACGACTCTTCCTGCGTTGGGAGAATTTTAACCAGAGGCTCACATGTAATGCTTGGATATTGGGAGCAAAATCCCTTGAAAAAGGCATCAAACTCCATAAACCAGAATTGGCTTGACACTGGCGACATTGGATATATTGATGAACGTGGTAATCTGTGGCTTATTGGAAGAACAAAGGGTCGGATCAAAAGCGGAGGAGAGAATGTTTACCCCGAAGAGGTAAGGATTACAAGCTTAAAACTGTATTGAAAGAGTTCATTCTTTTCTTGCATAGTTGTAGTTACACATTATAAGCTTAAAAACTGTATTGAAAGAGTTCTTTCTTTTCTTGCATATCATAGGTACATTTTACTTGGTTTAGTCGATTTTCAAGAAATTCTACTAAACTCTTAAAAAGTCTAATTCATTTTTTATTAAGGTAGAGGCAATTCTCTCCCAACATCCAGGAGTTGCTGGCGTTGTTACTGTTGGAATTCCGGATTCTCGCCTTTCGGAGATGGTTGTTGCTTGTATTCAACTAAGAAGAGATTGGCAGTGGACAAGAAGAAGTTTTGAGCACTCAACTGCAAAGCAAAAGGAGCTCTTATCCCATGAGATTCTCCAACAGTTTTGTAAACAAAATAATTTAGCGCGGTATTGCAATCCTTTCATAATCCAAACCATTATGGGCGCATTTGGAACTCGTTCCAAAATAATTTTATTTTTTGTGAGAAAATAAAAATGAAAACGTTTTCAATCTTAGACAGAAATCATTTTTAAAAATGTATTTGGTAGTTTTATTAATAGATTGTTTTCAGTGTAAAAAAAACGCATTAATATCTCTCTCTCTTTCTCTGCTCGAGAGAGGAAAAAACGAAAACAAAAAATGAAAAATGACTAAAAGTCATTTTTCATTTCTTTCTCATTTTACATTAAATTAAAAAATCATTTTCATTTCCGTTTTTTGTCTTTATTGCGCCAAACGCCGTTTTGTAAATGTTTCATTTTTTCTTTCTTAAAAAATGTGAAAAATAAAAACGGGATCAATTCTAAACACAGCCTATTTCTTATATCCATTTTTGCCTTCAATCATCCCTTAACATTTTCCTTTCTTATATTTTTCAGGTATAAGGTACCAAAGAAATTTATGGTGTGGAATAAGCCATTTCCACTCACAAGTACTGGCAAAATAATAAGAGAACAAGTTCAACGAGTAGTAGTGTCTCAACTACTATCTTTCCATAGCAACTTGTGATAGTTGTTTATTTATTTGTATATTAAATTTTTTTTATTTGCTTTTATTTGCTATTTGTTTATTTATTGATGTAGTTCTTTTTTCGCTTTTTGTTTACTTTTGGTTGCTAATTCATTTGGATCTTCATTCATGCGGGAAGGTCGGTGTAAATGCAACTGTTATAAGGTAGGTTTTTTTTTTCCCCTTCCTCTTCAGCTGAAAAAAAAATGTTAAATCAAAAGTATGCGCCTTTCAAAACCACCCAAAAAGAAAATGTAACAAAGAAAGGAATAATAAAAATTAAGAATGCCAACAAATGAACAATTAGCAAAAACAAGTCAATAAATGAACAAGTTGAAAACCAAACAGGCATCTAAGTAGAATGTTAATGGTGAAATTTCATCAACAAGATTACGCCGGATTACCACCTAGTGGTCAATTGGGTTACCAGCTAAAACGGGTTATAATATCAAGGAAAATGCAACTGGTCGTGCATGATTCTTCAATATGTTTTTGAATAGGTGTGCAAGTGCAAAGAAAAAAGAACACCAGGGATTATAGTGGTTCACTCTCGATGAAAGAGCTACATCGGTTCACTCTCGATGAAAGAGCTACATCCACTTCGGATAAGTTTTTACTATTTTTTCTCTTCTTCAATTACAAGGGCTTTACTCTCTCAGTCTTGCATCCTCATATCTCTCTGGGGCCTTACCCTTTTTATATCTTAAGATTACATATTGGGAGAACTAAGATAGTGGGTTATCTGACGGTTTCTCTCGAGTAGCCTATTATCCTATATGCCTAGACTGTAACTTTTCAGTACCTTTTGGACTGTTCATCTACCTACTTTGTCCACTATTGCGGCTCTCTGAATCTTCTGTGATTTTCATTGGTCCGCTTTAGGTGGTTTATAGGCAGGTAATCATTCCCTTTGCTACTAACTTTCTCCAAACTCAGAAATAACCTAAGAATTCCCCCCCTATCACCTTAGAGGTTACTCTTAGGATATGGGTCAAAAGCTGAACGTCCTTCCCTCTGCGTCTCTATTGTATCTTAGCAAGTCAAAGCGGAGGCTTTCGTCCCGGTCGATCCCTCTATGGCTTTATTGGTCTGCTGGGGATTCTAATTAATACACGCCTCGACTGCGTGTAGGTTCAATGGCTACAAGCCTATTATTGCTGAACGTCCCTCCAAGAATTATTCTAAAGTAGCTCATACGGTCGATCCTTCACCATTGGAATGACACTCCGTTCACTTCGCTGATTCGAGTTTGTAATTCGAGTTGAGATGTGATTTTATGTGAGAGCTTTTTACTGTAGCAAAAAAGTTAGATGTGATTGTTTGTGAGAACTTTTTACTGTAGCAAAACTCGAATTGGTGAAGTGAACACCGACCGTTGGCTGACATGGCAGGTGATGGCCACGTAGAGCTCGGTCGTCGTCCGACGTGGCAAGGTATATTTTTCCTCACAACATAGAAGAATAACAAGAGTTACTTGATGGATTTCAATTTTGGGTTCTCTATTTTAAATAGAGTAATTTTTAAAAATACCTCTTGAAATAGAGTTCTCTTCTTTATTTAAAAAAAAAATAGAGAATTTACTCTTGAGAATGCTTACTTTTAATAAATACTTTTTTGTTAGTGTAATTATTTAACTAAAAAAGTTATGAATCAAAAATAAATGATAAAAATTCTGATCCATGCACTTTCAATTTTCAAAAAGTATTTATTAAAATTACTCATTTTTATTTTTACCCCGTAATATTAGTTTATATATATTTACTTTTTAAAATTTTGTAAGTGAGTCAAGTACCGAAAGGATACAATCTGTAAAATTTTCTCTCTTGAAATATTCAATGCGACAGAGGAGCTCACGGTCCTGCTAAGTTTGTCCCCTCAGATGCGCATATAATAGCTGTTCAGGGGAAGAAAAGGAAAGAAAGTAAAACACAGATGATTGTTTGAGCAATGATGCTTTGTTGCCCGCAAGGTGAGAATCACGATCCTACATGGCCTTTTACATGTCAACGTGGGCCCTTTATATTTCTCTCTCCACCTCTGCAGCTCTACTACTCTATCTCCATTCTCCAATAGCAAATGGCTTCCCGGTTCCCACTCGGCTTGAGAGATGCGCTTTTTCTTTAAGGAAAATTTTCATTTCATTAAAACAAAATTACATATCAAATTAGTCGTAAATACACGCTACTTACAATAAAATTCGACCATGAAATATTAAATGGATCAATTAATAAAAACGGATGAAGCACATAAACAAAACATAAGTACCGAAACCTAATGAGAAAAGATCTGCTTAGCACTTAAAGATTGAATGCGACCAAAACTCGTTAAACAGAACCATTACAGTCAATGGATTAACCCAATCGATCAAGACCAAACTCCAAATAATGAAAACACAAGTGACACAACATAAAATCAAAAATAGTCGGATACCATCACCCATGCTTGTGATATGCATTTGTTGCAACTACAAGCACACACAGAGCAAAAGCTACTAAAATACAATACTCACCCAAAATTAATAAGAAACACTCGTATATATACAACAAATTATAGATCTCTACTACTAGAGTTGTCAAACGTGTCGTGTAGGGCCAGCACGGCACGTCCAACCCCAAGCCCATGGCGGGCCTGGGCCGTGCCTGGCACGGCCTTGTACAGTGCAAGGCCGCGCCAGGACCGGGCCTAAGGAGAAAATATCAGGCCTAGTCCAGGCTTGCGGCCCTAGTTCATAAGGGCCAGGGCCAGGCCTGGGCCCAGGCCCTTCATGGGCTGGCCCTAGCCCTTGTAATTTTTTTTTCAAAATTTAATTAAAAAAAAAAGAAAATATATCATATGCCCCTAAAAGATGTGATTTTATTGAATTAAGATAATACGAATAAGTATGCATAAATGACTACCTCGTTAAAAACATTGCCAAGTAAAACTCGTTGGAAGATCGGGACAAAACCTTAGCGAAGGAAAAAAGAGTGCAGTATTTTAGGAATAATAAATTACAAAACCTAAGTGTTTCAAGAAGATTCTGTTATTTCTAAGTTAGAAAAATAGTCTTGCATTGAATCACCCGTGTATTGTTGTTTTCATTTTCTGGCATCTTCCCAGTCTTTAATGCACATTAGCCTCCAAAATATCTGGAGCATTCTACTTCTCAGTCTTTAACGCACATTAGCCTCCAAAATATCTGGATGCATTCTACTTCTCTTGCATTGAATCATCCGTGTATTGTTGCTTGCACTAAATGCTTGCTCCGATGCTACCGTTGACACTAGAGTTGCAGAATGTCTCGAGCTATTACGGACAGTGTTGAAAAACGATAGGTCTTGCTCTTCCACCACTGTAAGATGTCCAGTTTGTCGTCATCGATTACAAAATTTGTTTCAAAATATTTTACCAGTTTGGTAGACACTTGTGTTGATGACGATATTGCCGTTTTCTCTTTCTTCTTCAAGAAACTCCACGACGAGCCTTTAGTCCCCAAACTCCTAGTTGACATTGAAGTTCCCTGTTCTTTTTTACATGTGTTGTATTTTGCTTCATACAAACCAATTACATTTTCTAACATTTTCCTAGTGTCAGTAATAGTTAGTTGCATATCAATACTTAAATTTTATGTTGTAGCAGTCATCAAATATTCAGTCACATCTACTCCGCACCTAGGATCTAAAATGGTTGCTAATGCATATAACATAAGACAGCCTGACCAATAACTTTTAAATTTAGTTTCCATTAGCTTAACCATGTTTCCAAAAAGTATTGTATCCCTATAATAAGACAATGTTTCTGAAATATTAAGAGGGTGTTTGGTTTATGTATTCAAAATCATAATTCATAACCATTCTCGTTTTACGTGTATTTTTTGTGAGAGAAAACACTGTAGAGAACCATGAATTATGATTTAAAATCATGGACGAATATAGGAAACAAGTATCCCCTAAATAGTTTATGTAAAGTTAAATGTGCAATAGGATAACAAACTCCGAAAAGTAATTCAGTAGCATTGTAAAAAACTTCTAGAAATTTAAAAAAAATACTCACCAATCTGCTAATATGTATCGAAAATTAAAAGTTGATCGTTCTTACTATTTACATACATTGTGATGAGCTGTGAATACGGGAGTGCAACCTTCAACATTAAATAGGTGGAATTCCACCTATGTCTCACGTCAGTTAGGAACTTTCTTGGGCGCATCTGACTGTTCCTGTAATATTATTTGAATTCTTGGAGCCGAGCTCTAGAACTAGAGATGAAGGATAAAGATTCTTTAATATTTGTTAGATTAGCTTAAATATGTTCAATTCATGCATGAACTACTAAATTGATTATGTGATATGCACACCGTTGATGAAAAATTTCTCTCCAAACGTTGGTTTCAAACTACGTTTAAACATGTTTATTACAGCCGTGTTAGTTGACGCATTATCAAAAGTAATAGTTAAAACTTTATCTTCTATCCCATAAAACCCAACAATTTTCATTATTATACCAAAAATAGGTGATGTATTAAGAATATGAACATAAACGAAAACCTATTATTCTTTTTTGTAAAACTCATTCATCATCAACATAATACGCCGTCACGGGCTAGGGGCTTTTTCGCAAGCTTGGGCCGGGCCGAGCTGAATCTGGGCTTGGGCCGGGCCGCGGGCCTTCACAGGCTTGGGCTGCGAGCTGAGAAGTCGCGGCCCAACACTAGCCCATCAAATGTACCGGGCCAGCACGGCCCATAACAGTACCGTACCGGCCGTGCCAAATCCAGCACTGTTACGACCATGGATGGCCCGGCCCATTTGACATCACTATCTACTACTCATCCTGCTAGATAGACAGGGAAGACCCACATATAACCTACAAATTAGTACCAATTTTCCTTTCCCTATGTGAGACAGAGACATAACCTACACATAACCAATTTTCCTTTCCGTATGTGAGACAGAGACTCCCTGACACTTCCTTTCAGCCGATTTGCTGCTCCTGACAAAAGTGCACCACATCCAAATACTATACCATTTGTGGGTGAAAACTGCCACTCAAATATACACCTATAAATAACATTCCTCTTTATTATTTGACTTGCCTTCCATATACTTTGCATAAATAATCAAAAGAATTTTTACCGCGTCTATTTCTTCTATCTTTAATCTTTCACTTCTGACGCAATTACTCGTAAAAACATACAAAAAGGCAATTATATCGGCTACACGTGTAAAAAGGGCGTATGAAGATTACTCTGTAAGAAACTGGATTCCTGTCTGTTATAGGCTCATGTACACTGCAGACTATGAACAAAATCGAACAGAAACCTTCAACTATTAAAGAACAACTTATGGATCACTGGAGACTAGGAGGCCTTTCTCTGTTGCTCCTTTAATTCAAAATAATATGCGACTATCTAAACCAAAATCGACGGTATCCATGTTTCTTCCTACCCCCATATTTTTGCTACCATTCAGCTTCTGTCGTCTTCAAATTTCTCCACAAGAACCCAAAAAAGCTCAAAATGTAGACGTATATTTTCTTTGGCTCAACTGTGCAAGTATTTGCTGGTTTCTTTAGTTGTTTTAAACAAAGATAACCAACCACGTAGCAGCAACTCTGCCCCCACAAAGCTGTAATGAGAAAAAGCAGGGATTAACTAAATTATGTAGCCCTCAATCAATAATATAAACAGGGTATTAGATTTTTCCTAAATATAATGCAAATGGCAGCTGGACAAAATAACAATGGTTTCAAAGAGAAGATACCATTAGGTTGGAAACATTACCTACTAAGTACGCATATCAAACTGGTTTAGTAGACTTTCCACTTAATTCTCTTTTTACCAGCTTCAGGATTTCAATAATCTGAAAATAAACAAGAGCTGGGTGAATAAATATGAATATACCACATGCAGACACCTTAACGTGCAAACATTCATGCACAATATTTTAGTTGTGCTCCTGTGTATAGATTTTTTTTTTTTTTTTTTTTTTTTTTTTTTGTTTTATTCTAAAAATTTTTTTGTTTGCTCCTGTGTTTAAATTTTTTTTTTTTTTTTTTTTTTTTTTGTGTGTTTCATGCATACATGTTTGTGTGTGTGTGTGTTAGCACACGCCACGAGCAGACAACTAGAATATTCAAAGTATTCATTAGAATGGGAAAATAGATGCGCAGACACAAACAAAATGCGATTATTCTGTCATCTTGTACAGCAAAAGAAAAGTACAGAATAACCCTCTTTACTAAAAGGAAAACCCAACAAAATGACCAAATCAATCGAAGGCGTAGGATATAGATGTATTATATCTGAGAGTGACTGGAGAAGCACGGTTCTTGTGCTATTATGGACAGCATGGATGGAGAGAAATTCCGGAATCTTTGAAGGAAAGGAAATGGGGGTGATAGATAGTTTTGAAAAGCTCAATTCCTAGCTTCGCTTTGGGCATCAACTGACAAAGAGTTTAAGAATTTTCCTTTCCTTCGATAATTCTAAACTGGAAGGATGTAATAGGAAGATAGTGGCTGTTGTCTGATATGTCCTAGGCTGACCCAAGTATCCTTATTGTTTTTGTGCCTTGCTTTGCTTTGTTTTGTTTTAAATCTTTGAGGATATCTCGTCTTTCTTTCCTTGTAATTGATTATCTATAAATGAAAGCATTTTTTCTTATCAACACACACACCCACACCCACACATATATGTATCTGAGTGGCAAAGATAAACGGAAAACCCCAACACCCTTTTTATGTATTTTTTATAGATTTATAGATATATTCACGCGCATATAAATGGATACAGCGTATCCACAGTACAGTACTCGATTACCCAATAGACATAATAGAAATAAATAGTTAATGACACTATAGATACTGAGAAAGCATCTTACTCCAGGATAATGTTGCAATATTGGTGAGTAATGATCAAGGGCAATGTATATTTTCTCAAGTAGGCTCAAAAGAGTCTCCACTTCATCCCCCAGAAGATCAACCTGAAATACAAGGTTAAAATCTATCAAATACGCTATGAGACTAGAATAACAAGACAAATCCAAAATTACATAAAAATATTGAGATATATATATACATACACATACATATATATATATATATATATCTATATATTAAAAGTTACGTAGGTTGAGTAATATGCATGCTTAATTTTTAAAATACTATTAAGATCATCCAAAAATTGCATAAGATTGCATGAAGGTTCAAGGGTAAAATGTGAAAACCTCTCTCTTAATATACAAAAACACACGTCTTGTCCTCCCTGCCTCCACTTACATAAGCATATGTCTAAAATATATATGTACTATGCAATATGTCCGTTTGCATCTTCTTCCGTTTAGTTTTTCTCACCATTAGTTTGATAACAGTTAATGACAAGGAACAGACTGGCATTCTTGGCTCAATAAGTGTGTCAAACTACTGATCAATGCAGTAGATGATGTCAGTCCAGAATTTACAAACATAATGCATTCATGTATCCCCGTCACTGTAAAATTGCTTTTCAAGATGGACCTCATATGATTTGCATGTTCCGTATACAAAAATCATCAAAGATGGCTTAATTACTTCAACACTTCTCCAAGTAACGCAGATAAAAATTGTTTACTAATAAGTTCTCTACCTAGCAATACTTATTTTATAAAAGAAATTAATATATATTAATAAATAAAAATGAGTGGGAAGCATTGTGTTCGTTTCCTTTGCACAGATTCCAAGTAAGAACTAGTATAAGGATGTCACAAGTTGAACTACATTTAATGTACAACCAATCTAATTTACATACCTCAGCTTCAGCCTTCTGAAGGTCAGTACATCTCCTTTCAAGCCTCTGCTTGTACAGCAAACCTGTTCTTTTGAGTATATTTGCTTTCTGGATAAGCAAACGTGATTGTGAACTCAAATTTTTCAACCTGAACAAAAAGCCACAATCTCATTATTTACTCAAGTAAAAAACAATCAAACTGCTGCACAAAAATTAAACGTTCTTTGGAAATAAAAGGTGTTTCCACAGGGGAAAAACGTGCTTGTCTAATAGAAACAGAGAGTGCATCCAAGGCTTGAATGTACACAAAAATTAAAGCAAAAATAGCAAACAAGTGAGAATCTGAAAATGGCATGCCAACAATGCTAATAAAAAAGGAACTTGTCTGAAAATCAATGTAAGTGACCTTAAACATATTAAATCAACATTAAGTTGAGGCAACACTCAGCAAAGAGACATAGACCCACCCACCACAAGCAAACATATTCAAATAGAGAAAGAAAAGGGAACATCACTCAACATTACTAGTATTAATAAAACTTCTCACTAGAATAATTTTCCTAAATGGTCTAATAATTTGCTTGTGTTGTAAATTAGTAGTAACATAGCCCTGGCCAACAGCTAAGAATGAGATATATTAGCAATATGAAATGAGGAAAGCCTAATTCGACGTCCGTGTCTTATCCAGCCAGAAATGAAATTAAGGAATAGTTCAAGTTTGAAATTTGGTCTTTCCTAGAAGAGTCATTATATCCCATCTTCCTAAAGGAAATTCTGAAGTAACGAAAAATTCCGTGCCACCTCTTTTCACGCCCGAAAGATTTAAATTATGCACACTGGCAGAAAAGAGTTTTGGATGTCAAAGTCCCACATAATATAGAATAAACTAGATAAATAGAAATGACTGGGCAAAATGAATTTAAATTCATAATAGCATGACATCAAAAAGGGAAAATACCTCAAATAATTCTTTGAAATGTCTTCTGTAACTCTACATTCTAAGTCGGCAGCAGCTGTAGATAACCCTTTAACGAAATTAGCGATTGACACCAATTGCTTTCTGGTCTCCCTTTCATTTGTTTCATGCGCTGATATTGCACCCTGCTTCTGCTGGGTAACAGACAAAAGAGTCATCCTCTCTTCTTCAGCTTCCCTTAACTTTGTTCCTGCTACTTCAAGTTTTTTATTTAACTCGCATATGTCCAGTTCAATTTTGTTGAATGCCGCTACCAAATCACCTTTTATAGCATTTAACTCTTCACTGCTTTGAGAAATGAATGCCTGCTGCTGACGTGTTTGAGTCCTTAAAGCTTCAAGTTCTTTAGCCGCTAATTGAAACCGCTCCTTTTCACTATCCAATGCAGCAGCTGCATCCTGTGTCAACCTCTCCTTATCTTCTACAAGGAAAAGTATTTCTTGCTTTAATCTTTCTTTATCAGCTACCTCTTCTTCTAATGCTTTTTCTTTTTCTGATACTAACTTCTCTAGAGAAACTCGAACTTTATTGTCATCAACATATTTCATGTTTAACATATTTATCTTATCCTGGGCTTCTTTCCAGGATTCTCTATATATAGCTTCACAAATCGCCTGCATGAAAATGGACAGCATATCTGAATCTTCAACTCCACATTGGCTAGTAGGCTGAGCATTATGAGAAGCTTCTTCGAAACTACTTTTAAAAAACTCTTGCACAATATTGTATTCCAAGTTTGACTCCTCAATAATGCCTTTAATTTCACCCATCATTTCCCTGAGAAGACAAGTAAATACATTTGCACCAACTGAAGCTTCAATACGAAGATCTTCTATATCAGATCTAAGATATCTAATCGTGTTTAACGACTTTGCCTCAGACAAAGAGTGCTTTGACATTTTCTCTGTAGCATCAGAAATTTGTGTTTCAAGGCACTTAACTTCCTTCTTCTTATCTGTGAGGAAATCTCTGAGCTGACAGTTTTCTGCAAGGAGGGCTTCCAGTCTGTCCTTCAAACTGTTAAGACTCTCTGCATTGTTGGAAACTGCAGGTAATTTCTCATTTTCCAAAAGAATGCCATCCAATTTCAGAATGACATCAGGGATTTTTTTCCTCAACACATCGAACTCCTTATCCTTCTTCAGTAGCAAAGAGGACCTCTTTTCGTTCAAATACTCCTTCTTAAGGCCGAAAAATTCTTCAGTCATCTCCTGCACTTTAGATTCATGAGTTCTCCGCATCTTAGCCATCTCATTATTATAGTAGCCTATCAATGCATCTCTTGGCATGTGGCTCAGACAGTTCGGATCCGAATTCTCTAGCTTATTATTTTGTGAATCCTCATGTTTTCCATTTGCTTCCCAGAGTGAGGCTGGTTCTGTTACATGATTGCCCAAAACCTTGTGGTGGAAATGACTCTTTTTACCATTAGTCCACCCTTCACCATCCAAGGACCCATGAGAAACTAGATGTCCAGCTTCAGGAACACAAAGTGACTTAGAAATTGCCTCTAATTCTTCGCGCAGACTTGAAATTTCTTTCATTCTTCCAGACAAGTTTCTACTTTTATCATCACCGATTCGGTCCCACAGCTTTCCTTCAAACTCTTGTTCAAGACTACGAATGCAACTCCCCATCACCACTGCTTCAATCTCTGCTTGAAAATTCTGCTCTTGCTTCCACTCATGCAGTGATACCTTGGACAAGTGAACAATCTCTTCGACCCCCTTAAAAGCAGTTTCTAGTGTGGTTTTGAGACCATCCAGCGTTTTATCCACATCACTCAATCTTTCAGATGAATTTTCATGCAGTATACCCCCCAATCCCAACAATTCAGAACTAGAACTTATCTTTTTTATCGAGCAACACCCACTTATCCGATTAATTTCTTTCATAAACTTCATGAACTGTTCATTACTTGCATTTCTAAGACGGCCCAAAGTTTCTTTCATCCTATCATGCTCAGTAACAGCCGCTAAGAAGCTACAACAAGTCCTGTCCGTAGCACTTCTCGATTCATGTTGCACCTCTCGAGACCCAAGGCTTTCTTGCAACATCTCCTTCAACCCTACCAACTCTTGTTCCTTCTGGGCAATTTTCTTCGCCGCCTCTTGTGTGACTGCAGTCACCATGCCCTTAATAACCGAGTCGCTTACCATCCTCGAAATAGTCAACCGGTCATTGATATCTTGCCAATAAGAATCCAAATCGGCAAGGAGGTCAATATCCAAGTTCTCACTTTCCTTAACACCCTTACTAGTTTGCATCAAACCATCACAAGATGATTCGACCCGAGCATTTACCACTTTGAAATTCGCCATGATCACTTAGATAATAGATTCTCCGAAAGATATTCAACAACAGAATTACCAGCACCAGGACTCAAGAAGACATTGCAGAAAGAACATCAAAACAGTATCAAGTACCCATAAACTGGACCCACCGAACTGCAAATTTTCAGTACAAGTAAAAAAATGAATTATTATAAGAAAGATTTTAAAAAAGAAATTTAATAAATAAAAAAAAAAAAAACCACAAGTGCTTTTCAGTTTTTTTCAGTGTACGAAAAAAGAAAATAATTCATCAAAGGACAACAAAAGCAAAGCTAGTCGAGATGACTTCAAATGATTAATTTTAATTCTTTTCTCTTTTTCTTTCCTGCATTTTCTCGGCATCCAAACGAAGCAAAGAGGAACTCGAAAACCAAATTAAACAAAGAAAAAAAATTAAAAATCTCAACTTAAACTCACTTCCAAACTAGGAGTGAAAGCAAAGTACAAAAAATAAAAAGAAAACATAAATGAAAAGGAAAAAAAAAAAAAAATGAATGAAAAGGTTCAAAAAAGACAAGACCAAAAACTTACTGGTGAAGAAGTTGAATCAACAAAATGAGACCATGATTGGAAGAAATCAACGGTCAGAAAGAGCCTGGGGTCGGAAGATGACCGTTAATTTACTTTTGGAAACGCCTTTTTCCAGTTATTTTCCATGGCAGAAGCTTTCCGAATTCTGACTGGTTTTTAGGGTTTTCAGAGAAGGTTGAAGAGGAAGTGGATTTGGTGAGCGGGAGTAGAATTAAGCTTAAATTTGCCCTCCCGTTTCGCTGAAATTACGGGAATTGCCCCTCTTGACTTTGCATAGAAAATACCTTTTTAATTTTTATTTTATTTTTTTGGAGGGAATAAAATTTCAGGTGTGCGATGCAAGCATACAATGAATTTGTTTGTATTGGCAGTTTTACAGTTGCAAATCCCAAAAAGATAAATACAAATTTCCAGCAAAAAAAGAGAGAAAAAAATACAAAGGTTGTTTTACCAATTTGCCATTTACATGATTTTCTCCTATTTTTGTCGTGGAAAGAACAAATGGAGGGAATTTTCTGAACTTTATAATAATCCTTATTTCCTCCGAGTCAAAAAACACTTGAATTGGCCTATAATTGTAAGTTGTAACTTGTAAGCAGTCAGATAATAATTTCGTTTATTCAGCAACAAGTAATAAGTCAATAAAAAAGATTTAATTCATTTGTCCCATTATAATTGGTAGGTCAAATTTTTCCAAAATTAGGAAAAAAAAATTACTTGTTCAAAAAGAAATTATTTGTTCAAAGTGCCTTTTCATTCTTTGCTTACTAAAGTCCAAAAAAAAAACCCGAAATAAAGGAATTGAGTGCTCATGTAGATGGTTAATTTCAGATCTTCTATAAACTTGATCATTCTACTAAAGCATTTTACCGATAAAAAAACACATGCACATGTGGGGGGAACTGGTGAATCAATCTGTTCGCGTACCTATTTTGCAGGTTCCACTGGAAGTAGCGCCCACACTTGACCATGAAAAGTTGGAGGGCTTAGAGCCTTAAGAATTATTTAGTTTGGGGATTCATATCATGATTCAAATCATAATTTATGATTCGTTACAGTGTTTTTTCTCACAAAAAATACACGTAAATTAAAAATAATTTTAATCTCATGATTTTAATTCATGAACCAAATGTCTCCTTAGCATGTCTGGTGATCATCAGCTAATTAATGCCGGTCTTATTGTTTCCCTATGCAAATGTTGGCTTCAAATAACAGGAACTGGGAAAAGCTTTTTAAATATTTGATAAATTATGCTATAGCACAACTTAAAAAAAAAACCAAAAACAAAAACTTATTAACAAAATAAAAAGAGAATTTGTCTGATAGTTCGTTTTACTAATAGACTTCAAATAAAATGTAAAGAGTTAGGGTAAATTAGGTCATAGTTTTTAATGCTATTATCAAATCACTCCTAAGGTGATAAAGACGGTGCATTAAAAACGTCCATTTTTTAAAAAAAGTAAAAAATAAAGTAGAATTGCAGCTCACTCACCTAAGAAAACAAAAAGCAACTGTCCTTGTATTATTACTTTCTTTTTTTTATATACAATTGTCAGTTGTCACTAACTGTTCATTACTTTTGACAGAGATTTTAGTTGCAGAATCTTAAAAAGTGGCTTATTGCGTTGGACAAATTAATAAATCCAATTTAGTTACTTGTTAAATTAAAGCAATCATGTTTGTCATCATAAGTAAGTGCTTTTTCTTTATTTCTTTTCGCCTATTCCCACTACTTTAGTGGGTCTTTTTGTCATTTCATACACCTTAAGAAAGTTTTAAAACATATGGCCCACCCATTAATAATTGAAAACTTCCGATTCCAATAGAAGGAAACGAGTGAGTAAGAGACATGCAACTGTTCTAGTGTTGTGCCAGCTTGCCTAATCATTTTCGATTGTTTCACAGAGTACTAAAAAGAAAAAAAAAAAAACAAAAACAAAAACAAAAACCAGCTCCGTTGTTATAAGTTAAGTCTTATTTTTTTCACAATTTAAATATTTTTATTATAATATTTTTTTTTATAAAAATTAAAATTTAATCTTTTTATTATAATATTTTTTTTCATATAAAAAAATTTAAATTGTGAAAAATAAACTTTTATTTTAAACGTCATATTTATATCAAATTCTGTTAATTTTACTAACACCTTTTTAAACTAAAGAACGAAGGAAATAGATTATAAACCTCAAAAAAGAAAAAAATAATAGTAAAATATATGACAAACACCTTTTTAAACTTAAGAACGAAGGAAATAGATTATAAACCTCAAAAAAGAAAAAATAATAGTAAAATATATGAAACTTGAAAGGATGCCCTTGTTTTCAAATTGCCTTTAATTGTGTGAAGAATTCAACCGGAACAGTTTCTTATCTTTTTCTCTCTCTATTTTATTTTTACACCGTTGCTCTTTTAATTATAAGTTTTGTGACAAAATGTCATCTTAAATTTTAATTTTGACTTTTTCTCCTGAATTTTAATAATTATTGTAAAGGTTTTTTCTTTTGTTAAATTATTGATGAAAAATGTCATGTAAAATACAAAAAAAACTAAAATTAAAGTTCGAGAAACATTTTCTACAATGCTTATAGCTCGAGAGACATTTTTTTAATAGAAAGCAAAAGAAGATAACTACGTTAAGCATGGACATTTTTTTTTCTTTTTAATTTGAGAGTGCAGCTTTTTTTTATCATTAGGTTTTTTGGTGAAAAATCATTAGGTTTAACACATGCAATGATGGACATTTAGCGTAAAAATTTTCTAAGTTCAACTGGAATTACGGAAGGGACAAATTATAAAACATTCAGCATGGAAATTTTCTTCGAATGATAAAACCAACTTGTACACCTAAAAAAAGGGGCAACAAAAAAAAAACAACAACCAATTTCTTTTGGGATTTATATCATGTACAATGTACTTGTGAAATGTTTTTTCATTCAGATGATATGAAAAATTTAAAGCTGTATTTTGAGTTGTTTTTGTTTCTGTTTTTTATATTTTTTGAGAAATAAAAAAGAAAAAGAAACGGCATTTGGCACAATTAAAAATAAAAAACGGAAATAAAAACGATTTTTTAGTTTAGTGTAAAACGGGAGAGAAATAAAAACGACTTTTAGTCGTTTTTCATTTTTTGTTCATGTTTTCTCCTCTCTCGAGTAGAGAAATAGAGAGAGAGACATTAATGAATTTTTTTATACTGAAAACAATCTCTTGATAAAACTACTAAAGTCATTTTCAAAAAATGATTTATGTCTGATATTGAAAACGTTTTCATTTTTATTTTCATATAACAAATAAAATCATTTTGAAATGAGTTTCAAACGCACTCTAATATAACTCACAAGATGGGACTCACGTTTTTATCTAATCATGATTCAACCTTCATTGAGATATATAAGGCTCCGTTCATTTCGCTGATTCGAGTTTAGAATTTAAGTTTTGCTACAGTAAAAAGCTCTCAGAAACAGTCACATCTAACTTTTTTGTTACAGTAAAAAGCTCTCACACAAAATCACATCTCAACTCGAATCAGCAAAGTGAACGGGCCCTAAGATAGATCACTCAATGATAATGAATTTACCTACTCTTTGAAGTAAATATGAGTAGGTGAACAAAGACCTTTCAATTTTACCAAATCCTATTAATTGCTTTTATGGGCATCCCAACTGTTTGTTAGTTAGTTTTTAATTATCTGTTAGGAGACCTAAACAATTTATTTGCAACTTTTTGAATGAGGCATCCAACAATAATAGAACAGTCCTACTAGCTATTAGTTTTTTTCTTTGGAACAAAAATGGAAAAATTATTTGTTTGGCTGGGTCCACATCCACTAAACCCTGTACAACTTTTCAAAAGCAAATTGCTAAAGAGTTCTTTTTTTTTTTTTTTTTTTTTTTACATTAGATTTGGGTAGAATTCGAAGTTTTTTTTTCTTGGGACAAAAAGATGTCATAATCAAAGCAAAAACAATGAGTGTTGGCTCTGTCTTTAGTCAATCTATTTGTTTTTTTTTTTTCCTTTGGTTTTTTCCTCTTTTATGTCTTTCTTTATTCTTTATATATTATTCGTCTGTCTTACGCAAAATTATTTGTTTGTACAATTGGAAGTTTCGAAAACAAAACATGCCTTTGCATGAAAATGGTTATTGCATAGTACATTTAGCGGATCACGACTTTGGTTATTAGTTCAGATTGTTCTTTAACATCGTAATTTCAAATCTGTTATTGTACTGATTCTGGATTTGTCTTCTTTTATTATAGATTACGGACAGAAGAGGCTGTTCTGTGGTTTCGGCAGTAATATTCGAGAAGTCTAAAGATTTTTTTTCTTTATGTGTTATGCGATGACACTTTTGCCCCTTCCCCCTTAATCAATGCCTTGTTTCCAGCTTTTCATATGGGATCCACATTTGATATTTATTGATATTTTCCACAAGCAAAAGGATGAACTGTAGAAGCTGCAATTCTTCGTTGTCATTTTTTTTTTTTTTTTTTTTTTTGGAGAAAGACGAAAATAGGTCAAGACTTGATATGAATTAAAATTAATAGGTCAATAGTTTACATAAGTTAATATATATGTTAAATTATTATTTTCGTCCATAACTTGTCTGGTTATGAACCATAACTTGACAAGTTATTGTCCATAATTGTCCATAACTTATCTGACTATGAACCATAACTTGACAAATTTATTTATAACTTATCTGGTTATAAACCATAACTTAACAGTTATGACTTATTAATTTTTATAACTAAAAATTAACCTATATATTTTCTTAAACTTTTCGTATTGACATATTTTTTATTATTTCTCTTTTTTTTTTTTCTCTTTTTCTAGGTACAAATATTCTTCATGCTTTTTTACTTGTACAAGCCCAAGACTCCAAGAGGTTAAATGGTGGGCTCCTCTACAAGCTCCAAACTCCAAAAAAAAAAAAATATATATATATATATATATATATATTCCGTGCTGATATTGTACCTAAATATTAAATATGACCAGGAAAAAAATAAAAAGTTTACATATAAGAATATAGATCTAATTGTTCAAAACAAAGTATTATTTTTGAAAAAAAATGAAGAATTTACTCTCATAAATTTAAATTTTTACCTTTTAATTTTAATATATATCATTTTATTAATATAATTATTTAATTAAAAATGTTATGAATTAAAAATAAATAATAAAAATTCTGACACATTTATTTTTAAAAAAATATTTAATAAAACCCCGTTTATTTCACCAATTTGAATTTTGTTACAGTAAAAAGCTCTCAGAATCAGTCACATCTAACTTTTTTACTATAGTAAAAAAATTTCACATAAAATCACAACTCAACTCAAATTAAAAACTCAAAACAACTCAACTCAAATTAAAAACTCAAATTAGCTAACTAAACGGGTAATTAACCGTATTTTTATGCGCTGCTTAGAATTCTGTGGTTAATAATCAAAGAGAATCCTATAAAGAAAAGTCACTATTTCCTTTTGTACGTGTCCCTTTTCCAATGAATTTGTAAAGACTTCAGAGATCCACAATACTTGCCTTTTGACGAGGGCAAGTAATTAAATGAACAATAAAATAAATTTCAATATATTGCCAATTAAACAGTAATATTGGCAGCAACTTTAACACCCTAAAATGCTATTTTAGTAGAAAATTATTTGAAACCCTGCTCAACTTGATGCTAAAAATACGTAAAAGCCAGAAAGATTAATCTAACGGCTATTTACTACTGGTAGTGAAATCAAGCCCTTCTTGACATAAAAATTTCGTAAAAATTTAGGAAAATGCAAGAAACACAAATTTACCAAATAATTTAATTTTCCACTGTTTGGTCGTCAAATCACGTACTATTACATACTGCAGGCAGGATCAAACTCAGAGGAAAACTTCCGAGTTAAACAATAGAAAAGATGCAGGTTAATTAAAGAATCAAAGCAATGAAAGCCTTTTTGTTTTTTTTTTTTTGTAATATAACATGTGGTATGTTAATCTCAGACCGATATATGAGTTACATATTATCTCTATCATCATAGTTTTTTTTTTTTCGAAAAGAATCTCATTTAATCTCCGCTGCACAGCCGAATCGTCAGCCATGTTTATTTCTTTGTGATTCTTTCATCAAGAAATTGCAGGCCAGCAATGCTGCTCCAATAGCAGGCTCCACCTGAAGCCAAACGCTCATCATCCATGAGAAATTCAAAAGAAGAATAAGTAAAACAGAAAAGAAAGTGAAGCACGGATCTTTCGGGAAAAAAAGTTCGCTAACACGCCCCCGACGTCTCAGAAGGAAAAAGGGTGGGACAAAGCAGCAAAACTTTGAGTAAGTGAATTGAAGATGCGAAATGAGTATTACAAATTACAACATGAACATGTGAATATGAGGATCCTATTCATTACATCATAAAATACTAAAAATGCTTCAACTACAAGCGGTGTTCAGTAATTTTTAGGTTGACTTCAGGGAAAGCTACGGGAAAAGAGCTAGCAGTCTTGTCATCTAATTACATTACTTGAAACACATGCATGCATAGTCAATCATGCAAGACTTAATAAAGTAAAGGGAATAGATTTTAACCTGATGCTTTTAATTTTAGAGTGAGAGAATGCTAACCTTTGGTCTTATTGGATGAGCACCAGGATAGAGTTTCTGGATATATTTTATAACTTCTTTTCCTATATCCCAACTCTTGTTGCTTTCAAGGACACCACCAACCATCACAACCGGAAACGAGCCACTTCTATCTGCAATCAAAATTCAGTTTATCATGAAGCAGTTAAGCAGATTTTAGTTACTCGAAGACATTTGCGAGCAGGGCAGATTTGTAGCAAGCTCTGCAAAAAAATACAATCAAATGACAATTGCAATGCCATTACAATGTACAGAGATCGTCAATTCCATTTTACATCCTTAATTTAAGTTGCTAACAACCAGAGTCAGTAAAGGGTTTCTTAAGTTTGTAATTGCGTAGAGGAAAACATTGCAATGCAATGAGCTATAATTCAATACAATACGCACCTTCACCACACAAGCAAAGTCTTTCGATGACAGCTTTAACAGCAATAGCCAATTCATTGACAGCATCAACTAGGATTTCATGTGCAATTTGATCTCCATCTTCGGCACATGATACGACTTCTGGAACAAGTGCTGCAATGCGAGCCCAAGATTGATCTGTGTAAGTCCACCTAAATTCCGTATTGACACTAAAATCAGTCCACCTAAATTCGATATTGACATTAAAATCCGTCTTGAAACTAATTTTCGGATCAAAATGCATTATAACATATTACCTGAAATTGTCAATTACCAAGTTTTTACAGAACCATTTTTCTCTTGAAGTCAAATACTATACTCAAACTTGAGAAAAAGGAAGGAAACATGTGTTAATTGCAATCATAGAGATGCTCCCAAAACAGATTCTAAGACTAGTCCGGACTCTTCCTAATTGTAGCAAGTTGGTATGAAAAATTACAATAGTCATGTACCCAATAATTTCCTCGGGAGAAGAAAGACCCAGAGCCTTCAGAATTCTACTTGTAAGCATTGTCGGCGAACCACGACCATCATAAGCCCTTATAACTGCAGTTAATGCCTGTGCAGCAATCCCATAACCGCTGCAGGTTATAAAAACACATAACACATCAGAGTAAATCATACAGATATAGGTTTGTTATCACGAGAAGATTACAAAGAAATTCTAAATGAAAAATGTTTGGGAGCAACACTAGCGCTGAACACCAGACCTAATTAAAGATGAGCCCCATTTGTGGGTACCATTTACATGTGTGGTGCTCGCACTACCGGTGCCTCCTAGCATTGTTCATTCTAAATACAAACGCAGTAAGAATATTTTGGTAAAAGAATAATACTAGTGACACCAACTCAAACCCAACGTTTGAGTGCCAACCTACATGTCATGTGATGTGACATTCCACCTCATATGCCAACTCATCACTTTCAACTTAACTCTTATTTTGCTATGAGTCCCTAAACCAAAGATGACTTTTCAAGTTCCAAACAAATTAATTTACTTTCTCTTCCCAACATGACGTTTCAATTCCACTTAATCCTGGACATCATGAGATATCACATTTTGTTAGCTTTTTTGCACAGCTACTTTCCAGCACCGAGGAAAAAGAAGATCCTACTCTTTAGCGACTTTGCATTAAGTTGTAAAAATCTTACAATAAGCACTCAAATATTGCCTATTTGTTCAAGAAAAAAACCGAAAATTGCAGTTTTTTTTTTCAGAACTTTCTCCTCCCAATACGTATCAATGAGATAAGATATTAAATGTAATAGTTATGAAGCATTTAATAAAGAAGTTAAACAAAAACAATGTAACCTCATCGTTTAGCACATTGAATTAGAAGGTAGGAGGAGTTAGGCAAATACCTTCCCCAATCCCCTAAGATAGGTCCGCCACCTGCAGCCCGAGCTTCTTTACCATCTTCAGAAAATCCAAGTGCAATGCACCCTGTACCCGCAACTAATACACACCCATGAAGCTTTCCCAAGGTCCCACTCGCTAGAGCTGCGACAGCATCATTTTGAACATATATCTTTACATGGGAAGGGAACATTTCCCTGAAAAATCAGTTTCAGCAACTCGAAGACAGTTACAAAGCAATTAAGTGCCAATATTGTAAAGCACACCTAAGTATTTACCAGTAAATTTCAGACATGAACATAACCTTGTTTGAAATTGACATTCTAAACAAGAATGCATCTAGGTATAAGAGAGGCAATATATAAATTGTAGGTTTCAGGGCAGAAAAGAAAGTATTTCTCATTGATTATTTTCTATACAAGGGTTACAATATATATAGGAAAACCATCCCGCGGAATAGGGAAAGTAAATCCCTTGATTGAGGGAGATCCTTATCTCAAGGAATCTCTTTAAAAATTAAAAGAATAAACTACTTTCCTAATTTATCTCTAAGCCCTTATTAACCGGATTGGTACATATCCGGTCCATGATTCTAGTCTACTTTCCTGATTTCTACACTCCTTCTCAAGTTGGTGCATAGATATCTATCATGCCCAACTTGCTAATGAGAAACTCGAAGTTTGGTCTGAATAATCCTTTAGTAAGAACATCGGCCACTTGTTGTGAGGTTGGAACAAATGGCATACAGATAGCTCCAGCTTCAATCTTTTCCTTTATAAAGTGCCGGTCAATCTCAACATGTTTTGTTCTGTCATGTTGGACTGGATTGTGGGCAATGTTGATTGCTGCCTTGTTGTCACAATACAGCTTCATAGGCATGATCACAGGTCTTCTTAGTTCCTCCAAAATCCGTTTGAGCCATATCATCTCACAGATCCCTTGTGCCATTGATCTATATTCTGCTTCTGCACTACTTCGGGCCACTTCGTTTTGTTTCTTACTCCTCCACGTTACTAAGTTTCCCCACACAAACGTATAGTAGCCAGATGTGGATCTTCTATCTAAAGTAGACCCTGCCCAATCTGCATCTGTATAAGTTTCAATACCTCGTTGTTCATTCTTCTCAAAAAACAGTCCTTTTTCCAGTGAATTCTTCAAGTACCTTAGGATGCGGTAGGCTGCTTCTAGGTGTTCTTCATAAGGAGAGTGCATGAACTGGCTTACTAGGCTAACAGCGAATGCTATGTCTGGTCGTGTATGTGATAGGTAGATTAGCTTCCCAACTAGTTTCTGGTACTGGGCCGTATCCACTGGTCTTCCCTCTTTGTTCCAAACTTCTGATTCGGATCAATTGGCATTTCTGCAGGACGACATCCACTCATCCCGGTCTCTTTAAGTAGATCAATCACGTACTTCCTTTGTGAAACTGCAATCCCCTTTCTTGATTGGGCTACTTCCATACTAAGGAAATACTTTAGTGAGCCTAGATCTTTAATCTCGAATTCAGAAGTCAAACTCTACTTTAGGCGATTCATCTCAGCAGTATCATCCCCAGTAAGAATGATGTCATCAACATATACTATAAGGACGGCTACCTTCCCATTAGAGTGCCTTGTGAACATAGTATGGTCTGCTTGCCCCTGGTCATATCCCTGTCTCTTCACAAACTGAGTAAATCTCTCGAACCACGCTCTTGGAGATTGTTTTAAACCATATAAGGACTCTTTCAGCTTGCATACCAGGTTTCCATATTTTTCCTCAAACCCTGGAGGTGGATCCATGTAGACTTCTTCATTTAGATCGCCATTAAGGAAAGCATTCTTCACATCTAGTTGTTGTAGTGGCCAGTCTAAGTTATCTGCGAGTGTTAAGAGTACCCTGATAGTATTGAGCTTTGCCACTGGAGCAAAGGTTTCAAGGTAGTCAATCCTATACGTTTGAGTAAACCCTTTGGCTACTAAATGTGCCTTGTATCTCTCCAAAGATCCATCTGATATGTATTTCATTGTGAACACCCATTTGCAGCCAACAGTCTTCTTTTCTTTCGGCAGTTCTGTCACTTCCCAAGTTCCATTCTTTTCAAGGGCCTTCATTTCTTCGAGAACAACCTCCTTCCATTCAGGAACCCTTAGAGCATCCTGCACATTCTTTGGAGTCTCCACACTAGACAACTGAGAGGTAAACGCAGAAAAAACAGGTGACGGGTTTTTGTTGGACACAAAGCTAGACATGGGATACTTTACACAACTTTTGACCCCTTTGCGTTTGGCAATAGGGAGATCAGGCTTAGGTATATTAGGCTCGGATTCGGGATTAGACAAATTTGCATGGATAGGTACTGTGTGAGGATTACTTGGAGCAGATTTGGGAATGTCCTGTGATGAAGGATCTGGACTGATCTGTGGTTCAGGCTCTTGGAAGTGTTGGTTAGTTTCAATCTCTACTTCTTGCTTCCGGTACTTCCACATGTAAACCAGTAGTTTTTTTGTTCCTGTTTGTTCCCTATTTGCATCTTTATTAATGTTATGAGATGATTCTATGGACTCAAAGTTCAAGTTTTCATTACTTAAGTCACTCAACTCCATATTTATCAGGAAATTTGGGCTCTTTGTTATGGATTGGACAGTTTCAGTTGCAGTTTCTATTTCAAAGTTCGAATCTTCATTTACTTTCTCCCCCTGAAGATGAGTGCCAAAAAATGGTTGAGACTCAAAGAAGGCAACATCCATTGTGACAAACATTTTGTGAGATTTTACGTCATAGCACTTGTACCCCTTTTTGTTCGGAGCATATCCTACAAATATACACTTCATGGCACGAGGATCTAACTTCCCCCTATTTTGACTGTGAATATGAATGAATGCAGTACACCCAAACACTCTCAAGGGTAAGTCTGTTGTCAACTTAGAGGTAGGAAATGTATTCTTGAAGACATTTAGAGGTGTTTGATAATTTAGAACTTTGGTAGGCATGCGATTTATTAGGTATGCTGCAGTTAGGAGTGCCTCTTCCCAAAGATACTTAGGAACACCATTAGTAAATAATAATGCTCTATTGACTTCTACGAGGTGTTTGTTTTTTCTTTCTGCTATCTCATTTTGTTGGGGTGTATCTGAACATGAACTTTGATGTATTATGCCCTTTTTTGAAAAATATCCCCCTAGGATTTCATTAAAGTATTCTCTACCATTATCACTCCTAAACACCTTTATTTTTTCTTGAAATTGTGTTTCAATCATTGTATATAATACTTGAAAAATCTCTTTTACTTCGGATTTGTTCCTTAATAAATATAAAACTAACAACCCATTTTTTCCCATACATTGTTGAGCCCCCAGATGGTCCCCAAACATCACTATGAATTAGCAGAAACGGTTTTGATGCTTGATATGGTCTAGGAGGAAAGAAAGAATGATGGTGCTTAGCTAGTTCACAAATCTCACATTCAAACGAAGATGGACTTTTATTTCTAAATAAATCAGGTAGCAAATGTTTTAAGTAATAAAAACTTGGATGCCCTAATCTATAATGCCAAAGCATAACATCATTAGAAACAGAAATAGAATTTAAACAGGAATTTTGAACTTGGTGTCCTGAGTCGGTTCCGTCCTCAAGAAAATAGAGACCTCCACTTTCTCTAGCACTGCCAATCGTCCTCCCCGAGACCATGTCCTGAAACTCACGCCAAGAGGAGTAAAAAATAACACGACAATTAAGGGAATTTGTTATCTGACTAATGACACAAGGTTACAAGAGAGTTTAGGAACATGAAGTACATCATGCAAGGTTATAGAATTGGAAATTTTAACAGTCCTTGTTCCAGCAATTGCGGAGAGGGAACCATCAGCTATTCTAATCTTTTTATTCCCTGCACATGGGGTATAAGTTGAAAAAAATTGAGAGCAACCTGTCATGTGATCAGTGGCTCCAGAATCTATGATCCAGGAGCTGTTTTGTTTAGGATTGACACTGAGAAAGGCTGAGACAAGATTACCTGTTTGGACAAAGGAACAGGAAGGGGTTGACTGGTTTACTTGGAATTGTGAAGACTGAAAAAACTTGTCAGTTGCTCCAATTGCTCCTTCGTGAAAGGCAGCCCTTCAGGAGTACTTTGTTGTCCCTGATCTTCACAGGTTGCTTGAGCCGAGAAGCCCTTGTTATAAGCATTCTTCTTCTTCCAGTTCTACGGCTTTCCATGAATCTTCTAGCAGTTTTCACGTGTATGCCAGTGCTTCTTGCAATGATCACACCAAGGCTTCTTTTTCATGTCATTTTCCGATTCATTCCTCATTGACACAAGGGCAGAATTGTCAGTCACAGGTTTGTTATCTTCTTCGGTTTTCAACATGACCTTCCTCCTAGTCTTCTCTCTCCTAATTTCAGAAAAAGCCTCCCGAAGAGTTGGTAGAGGGTTTTTCCCGAGGATCCTAGACCTAATCTCATCAAAGAATCGATCCAAACCAGCCAAAAATAGGTACACTCGATCACTCTCTTCTTTTTTCATGAATCTCATGCTATCAGTTGGGCAGTCCCACTCATCATTGTAACATTGATCTAACTCTAGGGAAACCATCTCATTATAATAAACTGTAACCTCACGCTCACTCTATTTGGATTTCCACAACTTGGTTTTCAATTCAAAGATTTGTGAGGATTTTTATTTTCAAGGTCAGAATAAGTCTCTCTAACCGCATCCCATACATCTTTTGCAGTAGAAAGAAAAAGGTAGGGTTTACCTATGGTTGGTTCCATAGAGTTGATCAGCCTGGCAGTGACTAAGGAGTTTTCTGATCTCCATGCTTTCAATTTCGGATCTCCATCTCCAGGTTTCTTCACTTCTCCATTCAAATGACCAAGTTTCCCTCTTCCATCTATGGCCAGCTTCACCGATTGTGCCCATTCTAAGTAGTTTTTCCCGTTCAATTTGTGGAGAGTCAATTGGAATGAAAAATGAGAGGAGTCTCCCCCTTGAGCCATGGTGGTTCGATCTGGTTCACCACGATTAGGGCCTTTTGCCCTAGAGGATGCCGAGGATCTTCCGTCTTCTGTAATGGCCGTTTCAGCCATCAATTGAGAAGATTATTTTCGGCTCTAATACCATGTAAGTTTCAGGGCAGAAAAGAAAGTATTTCTCATTGATTATTTTATGTACAAGGGTTACAATATATATATAGGGAAACCATCCCACGGAATAGGGAAAGTAAATCCCTTGATTGAGGGAGATCCTTATCTCAAGGAATCTCTTTAAAAATTGAAAAAATAAACTACTTTCCTAATTTATCTCTAAACCCTTATTAACCGGATTGGTACATATCCGGTCCGTGATTCTAGTCTACTTTCCTGATTTCTACATAAATATTAACCCGCTCAATGAACCCCAAGCATAATGTCATCATTGTCCCTGAACAAAACCTACTTGAGCTTCTCTTTGTAAATGTCCATCTTAATCAGTAGTTCCATTTTCTGGTTTTTGTGGTTCAAACAGAATAGAAAGAAACATTTTCTGCAAGGTCAAATAGAAAATTACAAATGAAAGCACCTAATCAAGAAACAAAACGAGCTGAATAAACAATTGATGAACACTTAAGAATTGTGGTGTAAGTTAGGACCACATTGGAAATGGAACTTTTCAGAACCAAAGTTGTGACGGAGCAGAGAGAGAGCTTATCCAAAATCCAAGAAAATGCATAACATTTGACAAATGAAATAGTAAGATAGGCTCTAGCTACTAGACCTTATCCAATTCAGTATCATTTCCTGGTCTGTTGGATGGTTAACACCAGAGACGCCTAAACAAACAGCATGAACAGCGGATCGATCTGAACCGGATTTTGTAAGGGCTTCACTGAGAACCTGTTCCAGTGTAGCCTTGGCAGCATTTTCTGAGGAATCCGACAGAATTTGAATTACTAAGAGACATTAAAATAAGTGACAGCATTTTTGTTATCTTATGGTTTCCTTGGTAACAGCACAAGACCTTTTCTTTTTCTTTTTCAGGAAAAAACAATACTTATAAGAAACCTAGTTAATAATGTTTAAATATCACTGTCATCTTATTTTTGTTGGGAAGAAATACAATAGAAAATTTTCTAGACCATCAAAAATGAAAACCTTGATTTCAAAGACGACAAGTCCACAACTTCAACAAATCATTATCATGATAAAGAAACACCAAATTTCTTGGAAACAAGAATTACAACCAAACTAGAGAATGCAATGTCACATTCCATACTATAACTTCTGCCGAAGAAAAATTCCCTTTATTTAGAGGGAGGGAGAGAGAGAGAGAGTAAAAGGCCCTGAATTGCCCAGGAAATTATCTATAGGCTTCATGTAGTTAATTGGTCGATTAGCTGTTGAAAGTAGTTAGTTAGTTGTATGCTAGACCATTTCCAATGCAAATGCTAATGCCAATGTCATATTTGGCATCAAAATGTGAGAAAATAGCATATTTGACATGTTGTTTTTATTCCAATGCATAATGCTATTTCAAATGCTAAATCTACGTTTTGCCATAACCATAAAATAATTTGAAAATGTCAGTGTTGTATTGATTAAATGAAAAACTAGCATATCAACCCATAACAATCAAATGTCAAAACTTGGCAGATGATATAGTTGGTGGCAGATTTACCACGAAGCGTAACATATGCTAAATTTAGCACCGCCGCGAATGGCATCATGTCGGTGGTCTGTTATGCGCTATTAGTTGTTGTTAGTTTTCTATTATGTTAGAAGAGTAATAAGGACTGAACCCAAGGGGATATATAGATGAGAAACAGGAAGAATAAAGGCGGGAATTGGGTTGATTAGGTCTCCACTAAGCTCTCGAATTCTCTGTCAGTTCTTGTACATTTCATTGAGATTCCTGCTTCAATAATGCAATTCCAGATTGATTCTTTCGATTTCTCTTCTGTTCTGATATTGGTTTTGATAGAAAAACCCTAGGCTAGGACTCTATCAAGAACATTTGTAACAAGTTACATTAGTTAACTAGTCAATTATTAAACTAAGAAACTGTTAGCCCGTTAAAATATTATTCTAAATTTCTAATTTTGTAATCAAATGTAAAGGCAAATGCAACATCTATCAAAGTTTATGCAACAAATTTAAATGAAATGGTGTTGGAAACCACAAAAGACAAATAAATAAATAAATAAATAAAGATAAATGAAGAATTTATTAGAATAGAGAGACCTCCAACGCTGTTGTAATTGGAGCAACCGCCGACGGCGCGAGAGAGAACGGGGAGTGGGTCCGGTAGGCTGCTTTGCGGGTCCCACACCGGAATCAGCGGCAGGCATACGCACACGGTGGAGGTTGCTCCGCCGTCCACTCCCAAAACGACGTCAGACCCACCTCCGTTTTCACGCGCTTCTTCTCCTTCTTCTTCTTCCCCAGCAATCCCGTACTTGTAACTCTCCATGGCGATAACAGAAATTTCCCTCTTTCTTGTTCTTGTTCTTCTAATTGGCGCGATTTGTGGGTTTTGGTACGCCAATAGTGAATATTTGGGAATCGGATTCTCCTTTGGGTACGTTAATAAATAAATGAAAATCAAGGAATATGATTATGAAAACCAAACTCAATTTTGCAATTGCTACGTCAATACTCTATAAATCCTTATGCATGTTGTTCCTCCATTGCTCTAGATCTTTGCTTGGCTCTGGTTACCGGCAAGTCAGAACCAAAACTTTACCCATTTTACATTGAAATATTGTTGCAAAAAAATCATCCTTTCAGCATAAGTAAAATCTCCACCGTTTTGCTAAATTTAAAAATAAAAACATGTTCCTTTATCCCCCTAAATTTTCATTTTTTTTAATAATAGACACCACATACTATTAATTTTGCAGAATGACCCTAAACTTTAAAATTAATATCAATTAAGGTCTAATAACTAATGAGTGTTATCAAATTTACAGTTGAGATACGAGATTGCACATGAAAAGCAAAGCAAGTTGTTTTTAAAATAAATCTTGTGTGAACCCCGCGCGCCGAACCGTCAACTTAAATACGTTTATCAGCGGTTAAAGTCTGAAAGTTCAAAGTGCAATTTTTAAAATTATAAAACAAATGGATGGAACATCCGCACAAGAAAGAGAATACTTAAAGAAGTGTCGGATATTAAAAATTTAAGGTGTATTATACAAAAAAAATGAAAAAACTATATTTTTCATTTCAAAAATTAACCATTGTTTAACTAATACCTTAAATAAACTATTTTTTTGTAAGTCCCAAGTGAACTTGTTGAATGGGAAACAAAAATGAACGGCATTTCAAGTTATAAATTAAGCAGCCATTGCATTTGATCACTTTTGTACTCCTTTTGTTTGTGTGCATGTTTATTAAGACCAGAAAGTTTCAAACTTGATTATAGAGCTGTAAATACTTGTCGCTCAGGCTGCCTCAGCCCATGGAGGCTTAGGCGTTTGTGGGGAACCCATTTCGTTTGCGAAGAAAACGAATGTGTGGGCCTATAGTTGGAAATCAGAAAATCATTTTAAAAGTATATATTATTAATTTCATTTTTGAAAATCTTATGTTATTACCTATTTTACTTCGTGCAACAATGTTGGAGAGAGAGAAGAAATAGGGACAACAGTTGTAGGCGTCGGCGGTGAAGCAATGACAATTAAAGAAGAGAAGTTGGTTTTGCTATGGGATGTGGTAAACTTTGTAAATGCTTCATTTATCAATAAGTAAACTCTGTTTAATTCAGTAAATGAAGGATTTATGTGATAAATCATGGCTTAAGTAGCCAAACAAAGGCTTTAATGTTGTGACCAGAAGTTTGGTAAATTGATGATTTACATGTTAAATCTATTATTTACTAAAATATGAAAATTGAATTTGTGTAAATGAAAAATTTACCAAATAAATAGAACATAGAACATTTACCATATAAAAAATAAGCATAAAATTAAAATACCTATTGGTTGATAAATGATGCATTTACTAAGTAAATTCATCATTTACTGGTAAATCCTTCATTTATTAGAGGTATATATGCAAAAAAAAAAAAAATTTAAAAATTTGAGTTAAAATGTAATTTTTTGAAAATTTAGGGGTCAAAATAATTTTAAAAAACTTAAGAGATCAAAATATAATTTTAAAAACTTAAAGGATCAAAATATAATTTTTAAAAAGTTAATGTTTGATAAATAAAGTATTTATCAAGTAAATACATTTACCACATAAAAATAATATAAGGGTAAAATTGAAACATCATGTATTAAAATTTTAAATTATGATATTTAACACAACTAGACTAATGAAATGGTCTATATGTTACAATTTCTCTCATATTACCACAAATTTATTTAACGTGAGTTTTGTAATTTTAGGCCTGTTGAACGGCTATCTGCGTAGTTTTCTTTTGTTTTTTTTATTATTATTATTTTATACTTGTGTTCTTCTTTTTTCTTGGTTTAATGAAGACTTTTCTACCCAAAAAAAAAAAAAAAAGCATAGCTCTTTCTAAATTCTAACACCATCATTCTCTAGTAAAATGATTGAGTTTGTTGGTCAATCAAATCAAAACTACACTAACATTTGGTGGTTCAGACGTCTGCGTATATAGAGAAGTTAGGAACTAAATGCAAAAATTTAAAATTTGAGGTATATATTATGGCTCCATTTTTTTCGCTGATTCGAGTTTTGCTATAATAAAAAACTCTTAGAAACAGTCACATCTAACTTTTTTATTACAGTAAAAAGTTTTCACACAACATTACATCTCAATTCGAATTAAAAACTCGAATTAGTAAACCGAACGGACCTATATGAGTGTGTATTATATATATAACCTAGATAGTGGCTGATTTGAATGTTACGGTGAATTTCGACATATATTAGGCCATATAAGGGCCATTGCTGTCCCTTTTCATTTACATTTTTGCTTTAGCTAACATTATCCTCTTATTTCTTATTTTAAAACATCTTTTTATTTTTCAATTATTAGATTTTTTTTAATGAGAATTTCAATTATTGTATTCCTTATCCTCCAATCCATTTATACAATTCAGCAGGTTGGTGGAAGGTTGTGCTCACCTTTTTGGGCTTATCAAATTCTTATAATCAGTAAACTGTTTTCTAATAAGGTATGTATCAGCATAACACAATTTTAAATCATCAACTTATATTAAATTAAATAATTAAAAAGTAATATTCAGGATTTAAGATTTAATGGTTATAACTGTGTACTATATTGAATTTCTTTTTTCAAATCAGAAGGGTTACTTCTTACACTTGTGCAAATTTGAGTCCAATTATTATAGTGTTGAAACTAGTAACACCGTCAAGAAAAACAGTGTTCATCTATCGTTGATATCTATCCATGTTTTAAGTTGTGATTATATAGTTGTGGCCAGTTTTGATTCCATAAATGTCGGATTGATCATTGATCTAAAATATTGAGATTCTTAGTTGGAATCTCTTCTAACTGAAATCATTCTCAAGAAGAAGAATTTAAAAGCTTCCCTCGCATGAAAATGAGCTCCTTGGGGCTCGCCTAGTAAACTACCTCCCCTTTGAGAACTATGGCCGCGCACGGTTCCCCCGTCCGCAACGACCGGGGTCGTGTCAAAATCTATCCCAGCGTGAGATCCCTGCAAGGGATATTCCCGAACCTCAACCCCGGGTGAACCTCTATGCCCCCACAAGGCACCCATCACAAGCAGAGATGTTTAAAAAACTGTCAAATCGTGAAAATTGACCATCTAAATCGAACCAAACCAAGCCGTTAGTTAATATTAAGCCATTTTTTGTTTCATTAGTTTAGTTCAGTTTAACTCGAATTGAACAATGAGCACAGTTTGAATTGACGTTTAGTAAGCATACAGTTTGAAATATATTCTTCGTTTGAACTAAATTAAACTCTCATTTTAAGTTTTACCGTTCAAACTATTTTTGAACAGTAAAAAGTGCACTCTCTCTTTGTTTTTCACACATACTAAACACAAATTCAAATTTTATTCTTTGTTCAAATTAAAATTTTAACTACACGTCTAAATGTCAATTTAAACTACAATTTAAACCACACAGTTTGATTTTTTATGTTAAAATTAAAAAGTTCAAACTAACAAAATTCAAACCAGCGAATCAAACGGAGGACTAAGTTAATGAATATTTTTGGACGTCTTTTACAATCATTTTGGCGGACAATTCGGTTAACGATTACAAATTATAAAGTAAGAAGACAAGTATATAATTCTATAAGGTCATCATCTCAAAATAGATGCAAGTATTTTTAATTTTACACTCAAGTTAAGGATTTAATTCTTTAATTTTTGCTACTAAGACTATTTTTGGGATAAATTAGTCATTTCGTATTAGTTATGTAACTTTTTCATAATTGCCACAGGACAATTTTCTTTCAAATCAGCATAAAGGACAAAATTTATTCTAGATTTAAAGTTTAAGGGAGCAAATTGTACTTTTCAAATTTCAGGCAAAGCATTACAAGGCAGAAAATTCACAGGAGAAATTTAAAATTTGTCCTAAAATAATCAAACAAATGTGAGTCAAATCTTCAAGGTTGAAGAAGAAGAAACTGAGAACGCAAGATTGGGATTAAATGCTGACCATATTACATGGAGAGTGGCAAAGGACTCCCTAGGGGTACTCTTTGGTACGGAAGAGCCAAGAAGAGCAAGACAAGTTACAGCTTTTATCTCGTATCGTTCACTTCACGGATTCGAATTTTCAATTCGAGTTGAGACGTGACATTTTGTGAGAACTTTTCACTGTAATAAAAAAAGTTAAATGTGATATTTTTTGAGAATTTTTTACTGTAAAAACTTAGAATTAAAAACTCGAATCAGTTAAATGAATGATGCATAATTTGGAGAACCAGGGATATTTATGTAATATTGCCACAAGAAAGAACAAAAACAATTTGCATTACTGTTGAAATCTCCTCCCACTTTACGGACATCAGCATGTGACCCACCTCTCAAATAATAGAGCCCCATCTTGGCAACCCAACAGCCCCTGCCAATCTTACACTCATATTATATTAAATTGAATATATTACTTCTAATTTTTAATTATTAAATCTGATCATGTCAGATTAAAAAAAATATACAAAATAAATAAATATTAATACATATTTTAGGATATTTGTTTCATGTATTCGTCCTTGATTCTGAATCATAATTCATGATTCTCTACAATATTTTGCTCTTACAAAAAACACATTTAAAACGAGAATAATTCTGAATCATAATTCTAAATACGATTAAAAAGTAAGTGACTATCAATAATTTATTTTTACAAATACTACCAAAGAAAGTCCCCGTATTATAATACCAAAAATGTGTAAAAAAGAATAGAATTCATAAGGGGGATATATTTTTATAATTCTTATTAATTTTTATAATTCTTATAATTTTTGTAAAAAGAACTAATAGAAAAATCTTTAACACTAATAAAAGTTTTATAATTCTTATTAATTTTTCTGGGGACTTATATTCATTAAACAACATGCACATTTAGAAACCAATATAAAAAAATAAGGGGGATATATTTTTTTTAAACCCTCTTCTTTTTCTAGGTTAATTAAAAATTATAAAAAAAAATAAAGCAATACCATAACCAGTTAAAGCAATTTCTAAAAAAAAACAGTAAAGTACAACTTAATGGTGTCAATATTCTTGACTCTTTTGAAAAGATACAAAACAACAGCCAAAGATATGGACTGATCTTTTTTCCAATCTGTTTTCCAACAACCCATGTTCCTCCGTTTCAAAAGCACAATTTTTTTTCCTCTTCTCTCTTTGTTTTTTAGATTTCGAGACTTCACTGAGCAGGTTTTTTTTTCCATCTTTACACTAATCATATTTCCTTTTGCCACCTTTTCTCTTCCTTTTCTTTTTTCCCTTCTTCAGATCTGCTAGCTATTTGGGTGTGTGGAAAAGGAGGGAACTTGATTCAAGTTTTGAGGTGGGTTTTCATTCATTGCCATTGTTTCTTTCTTGAAGTTTATGACTAGTGATAAAACGAGGAGAAATCTGATGAACAGGTTGGCTTTGTTGAAGTTTGACTTGAATGCTTGTTGCCCAAGTTGTTCTTGTTTTTGTGAAACTTTGATGTGATTCTTGTCAAAGTGAAAAATCCTAGTAGAAAGGTGTAGTAGTTTTGTGAACCAAATGTTGGGAATTTCTTGCTTTGTCGTTTGTATTATTGGGTTTTGAATATTGGGTAGTCCTTGTTTTCCATTAGGAAATATTGGGTAGTTTTTGTTTTTGCATTTGGGAAATTTCCCTTCTTTCGCTGAGGGAGAATATAAAGGAATTATAGAGAAATTGGTGATGGAGAAGAAAGTCCAAGGAAGGGAAGTCTTGGGTCTGCCTTTTCTGCTTGTTCTCTTTGTGTTTGTAGAAATTGGTGAAGCTCAATCCAAGTCCTTCTTCATAAACTGTGGCACAAATGGCAGTGTCAATGTGGATGGTAGGAAATGGGTTGGTGATTTGGCTCCCAATACCAATCTTACTCTCAGTTCCCTTGGCGTTGATGCATCCACTCCTACATTAAGCGGCGAATCAGCCTTCGATTCACTTTATAAAACTGCCCGGATTTTCACTGATGGCTTGAACTACACGTTTGAAGGAATCGATGAGGGAAACTATGTTGTTAGGCTTCATTTCTATCCCTTCTCCTTTGATAAGTACAATGTGAATGAGTCTTCATTTGATGTTGTAGCAAATGGTCTAAAGCTGGTGTTGGAATTCAATGTACCTGGTGAAATCTTACACAGAAACACGTTCTTGCAAAACCCCGGAGGTAACTCTAGTTCTTCTCTGGTTAAAGAGTACATTCTGCCTGTTAAATCGAATGGGCTCGTGATTGAATTCACACCGGCTAAAGGGTCTTTCGGGTTTGTAAATGCTATGGAAATTATCCCAGTTGTGGAGACTTTCTTTGAAGATTCAGTTGCTAAAGTGGGTGGAAGTGCAGTGAATCTGAATTTGGGCGGGCGGGGCTTTGAGATTATGTACAGATTGAATGTTGGAGGTGATGAAATTAGTCCTTCTAAAGATTCGGGTCTTTGGAGAACATGGGAAGTGGATTCTAGTTACATGATCACAGCAAATGCAGGGTCAGCAATCAGTAACAGTTCCAATATTACCTATGCTTCGGTCAATGATTCTTCCGTGGCTCCTCTTCTGGTGTATGAAACTGCAAGATCCATGTCCAACAATCAAGTCTTGGAGAAGAGGTTCAACATGTCATGGAAATTCGAAGTGCATCCTGATTTCGATTACTTGGTTCGCTTACATTTCTGTGAGCTAGTTTATGATCAGGCAAAGCAAAGAACCTTCAGGATCTACATAAACAACAGGACTGCTGCAGACAATTTTGATGTTTATTCGCAAGCAGGAGGGAAGAACAAGGCATATCATCAGGATTTTGTTGACACAGTGTCTTCAAAGTTCGACACACTTTGGATCCAATTAGGTCCTGACACGAGTGCAAGTACTGCAGTTACTGATGCTATCTTAAGTGGTCTGGAGGTTTTGAAGCTGAGTCGAAATGGGAATCTGGCCTATGTGGAGAGATATGAGCCAGCTGGGAATTCATCGAGAAATTCAAAGACTTTTATTCTTTGGGTAGGAATCGGTGCTGGTGTAGCTTCTATGGCGATTCTTGCCTCTATAGTTGCTTTTGCATTATGTTTCTGCAAAAAGCGGAGAAACAAATCAAGTGACACCAAAAGCAGTAATTCTGTGTGGCGGCCTTTATTCCTTCATGGCTCGATTCAGAACAGCACTTCAAATGCCAAGGGATCTGGGCAGAGCTTATATGGGTCTGTGGCCTTCACTAGAGTTGGCAAGCGGTTTACGCTAGCTGAGATCCGTGCAGCGACGAATAATTTTGATGAAAGTTTGGTGATTGGAGTTGGAGGCTTTGGTAAGGTGTACAAAGGGGAGACCGATGATGGAACTCTTGTGGCTATCAAGCGAGCCAGCCTGCAATCTGAGCAAGGACTCTCGGAGTTTGAAACGGAGATTGAGATGCTCTCCAAGCTCAGGCATAGGCATTTGGTCTCCATGATTGGCTTCTGTGACGAACAAAATGAGATGATCTTGGTTTACGAGTACATGGCGAATGGGACTCTTAGGAGTCATCTCTTTGGGAATGATCTCCCGCCCTTGACCTGGAAGCAGAGATTGGAAGCATGCATTGGTGCTGCAAGAGGACTTCATTACCTTCACACTGGCGCCGAGAGAGGAATAATTCACAGAGATGTGAAGACAACTAACATTCTGCTTGATGAAAACTTTGTAGCAAAAATGGCTGATTTCGGGCTGTCAAAAACTGGCCCTGCTTTGGACCACACCCATGTTAGCACAGCAGTGAAAGGAAGTTTTGGTTATCTGGACCCCGAGTACTTCCGACGACAGCAGCTGACTGAGAAATCCGACGTTTATTCTTTTGGGGTGGTGTTGTTTGAAGTCGTTTGCGCTCGAGCTGTAATAAATCCAACCTTGCCCAAGGATCAAATCAACCTTGCGGAATGGGCAATGAAATGGCAAAGGCAGCGATCTCTCAAAACCATCATCGACCCACGACTCAAAGGAAGCTATTCTCCAGAGTCATTGAAGAAGTTCGGCGAGATAGCAGAGAAATGTCTAGCCGACGAGGGGAAGAACCGTCCGACAATGGGAGAAGTCCTGTGGCACTTGGAGTATGTCTTACAACTCCACGAAGCTTGGATGCGTAGCAATACATCAGATAATTCCTTCTCGAGTAGTCAGGCTTTGGGGATCGACGAAAGAGAAGCAGAAGAAGGAGCTAGTTTAGGAGAGACTAGCTCGATAGAAAAGTCTACTTCAAGAGGAATTCGCGATGCAGATGCTACAGCTGGAGTTGAGCTCTCATAACAGAATTATTCCATACATGACCAGTGAGGATCTTATAGATTGTGTCCTACGCGATTGCCTTACAAATTCTTTCAAATGTTTTATATTCGATTCAACTTTCTGTTGTATTCTATATCACACGCATGATTCTTTATGCCACTGCCAGATATATTCAATTGGTTTTTCTGTTACATTATTGGGATAAGGTTGCTTTTATCTCGTGATTTCTTGAGGCTCGAAAGTTACCTGGGAAAATTTTTGTACTTCTTATAAAAGTATAATTTCCTCTTTCCTTTCTCATTTTGGCTTGATTTTCGATGATTATGTTGATATAAATTTAGTTGTATTTGGGAAACATTCATTCGAGAAAAAAAAAAGGGAAAATCATTGAGAGAAGCAAGCAGTCCCACACACTTTGGACAGCATAGGAGTAATGTCATCACCCTGTCTACAGAGATGGTATCAAACTAATTCATACTTGAGAAATGCTAAATGCAGATTCTATCAAACTAAATTGTAATTGAGAAATGCCAAATGCACTTGTTACACTAGCGCGAATGCATAATCTGAACCGTTGCTTTATGTGGGCCCCATTATGAAATTGACGTGTGTTCAACAGAAATGAGCCGTTCATATCCTGCACTTGTGCCACTCGTGATGTAGTTAGCATTTCCCACCAAAATAAACAACAAAGAATCACTACCAATGAATTTTCTTTTTCTGCTAAATATAATCTCGTGAGCTTCCACAGGAGCGATGATTATGTGTAAAAAAAATGCTTAACCCTTGTCATTTGATCCATACTTAAAAGCATTCACTATTCTTTTTATCATATTGGTGAATCAGCGGTGCAAACAATGCCGTAAACTGTCCATTTCTCTCTGACCTCTGATATATTTCCAAATCACAACACTAGAAAAGTTCTACAAGGACATTACACATGATATGGAGAAGCGAAGTCCCCGTGAGTTCCTAATGAAAAACAATCAAACATAATAATAAAAGGTCAATAAATTTACAGACGCAAAATGACAAAAAGTGAATTAGATAAACAAGATTTTGCAGCAGAGAAGATACTTTCACACACTAGATAAGTTCAATTTCAATGCCTGCCTCTGCCCGTACAAAAAAGTGAATTGGATAAACCAGATATTGTAGCACAGAAGATACTTTCACATTCTAGATAAGTTAAATTGCAATTCCAGTCCCCACCAACCATGAAAGCCCTCCAAAATTATCCACATTATTCTCCCTATTTTACCTCTCAACTATTAGAAAATTTTGTACTCTTATGCATGGTGACTTGATAATAATAATAATACTAATACTAATGATAATAATAATAATAATACTAATACTAATGATAATAATAATAATAATAATAATAATAATAACAACAACGTAAAAGAATTCCTGACAATAATTCGCAACTAAAATGAATATTGAATGAGAAAGGAAGAAGATACTTTTTACTTTCGTTTATCCAATCTGGAAATGGTTTCAGTTAGCAACGGGCAATAATGTGAATTTGAAATCACCTTGTCTACAAAATAATTTTTTCAGAAACTCCACCTGAACAGAGATATTCTGAGTTTAAAGTAGGTCATTTTCCGTAAATTCCCTTTCTTCAACCTCGATTCATAATTCCGAGACCAAACATATTTGCAATATCAGCCAATATAAATGGAGCTTCATACATGAAACCTCAATAAACATCTTAAACATGCAAAGAACTTCTTGTGGGAAATATCTAGCAGAGAAATTGTATGATTGTCTTATTTAGCACACCGAATATGAATCTTAAGCTGAAAAGTAGGAACACAGGCACACAGCCACATCATATATATATATATATATATATGTATGTATATAAGCAGCACTTTTTCTTTTGTCATAAAAAGCACGCTTTTCATGCAGTTTCTGATTAAAGGTCCCAAATTCAAAACCCAAGCATCCTCGCAGTGTTGCAGCAGAGAAGCTTCACAGCTTTGAAATCTTCATCATGAATCGACACAACAGTAAGCTGTTTAAGCATAGTCTTCTCGGTAGCTAGATCAAATTCAGTCCTCGATTTGAACAAGAAGTAGCCTCCACACTCCCAAGCTGAAAGGGAGCAGGTGTGTTCCAACTCCTGTAGCTGCAATAACCACAATGTGCATCGAATATACAATGTGCATGGTTGATTTAAGTGTTAAATTATAGTACGACAGCATGGGTACAACATTTCAGTCATGGTTTGCGCGATATCAATGAGCTAATTTGATCCGATCTATTTTTCCATAGCCTAGCGTATTAAAGTGGATTTTGAAAATTAATGATTAAAATCTAATCAGTACAATTTTACAAGGAAATGGTAGCTCGTATCATTTCCAATATCCAGCTTATCACAATTTTGAAATGTTTGTTAATGATTAAAGATTACTTGCAAAGTTGTACGAAGGAGTAAAGAAGTGACAGGCTCAGAATAAAAGCATAGGCCATTTTACCTGCAGAAATAAAAATATCTTTTTTCCACGATCAGATATCAATAGATTATATGAAATTCTCATTTCCACTAAACAAGAGCATATCTTGGCAAGAACCTCCATCATTTTTTCAAACTTCTGATTGCTCTCAAACAGGAGGGTCTTGATTGGGTAATCAGTGACAACAGATATACGCATCCCGCTTTGCGCATTGCCATAAAAAGTATCAACAGGCATGAGCTCAACAGCTAATGGGTTAGAAAAATAGCAGGCCTGCACAAAAATGAATCTTCAATGCATTTGTGAACATGGATCAACAAGAATGACATTTTTCTTTTCCCAAAACAAATTATTTAATGAGGCTCCCTTTGGGACGCGGTAATAAGAAGCAAATATGGGCTGCAAGCTAACGGTTAAGACTCTAACTTTGTGAGTAGAGGCACTCATAGGAATCCATGGAAATTTCTCTCTCAAGGTTTGAATTCATTTCTTGACAGAGTGAGGTTGGAGGTGGGGGATGGGAGTAAGATCAAACTTTGGGAGGATAGATGATGTGGTGATTGCCTTTGGCAATAGCCATTCCTAGGCTTTATAGTCTTACTAGAGTGAGAGAGGTGAAGATTGAAGATGTGGTAATTAGTGAAGAAGGGTCAACCATCAATTGGGATTTCGGTTTGGCGTGCAATGGTTTTAGCTATTCTCTGGGTTATTTGGTGGGAGAGGAATCAGAGGATTTTCGAAGGAAAAGAAATGCGATTTGAGGATATTTTTGAGATGACAAAATAGCTACCTTCTATATGGGCTTCAACAAATCCATCCTTTAACCATTTCTCATTATCCTTAATTCTGTTAAGCTGGAATGACGTTCGAAAATAGACAAAGTAGCTTTCTTGTATTTAGCTCAGTAGCTTTTTTATTTGTTTTCTTTGCTTTTTGTTTCAGATGGCCTTCTCATCCATCTGGGAACTTCATTTGTAATTATTTTATTTTATTGAAGTTCTTTGTTCTTTATCAAAAAAGAAACAAATTATTTTTTAATATTCCTCAACACTCGAAATCTCATATGATATCATCTAAAAAATTTAACACACTGAGCTGATTATGTAGAAACCTTCATTGAAAGTTGTCAGCGATATAGTTTATTAGTAAAATCTTCAAGTTAGCCATTCTTCATTATCACATAATAAACATTTGTTTCGATTCACAAATGAGCATGAATTATGTATAGCCCATGTTGAACATACAAAAATCACTACTAACATCAGACTCATCAGTCTACACCATCAAAGACCTTGAAACATGATGAAGACACCCACTTATTTTCCCAAAGAAAGTTCAAAAGTTGGATTACCTTTTCTTCTCAGTAACTTTCTAAATGGCAACTATTTGATTATCATAGGCGCTAATCAGGCTGACGTTTTCATACCAGCCTGTAGACACGGCTCCCTCACACCCATCCCCCAACTTTCACTAAACTAGCCTTATTTTTATTTATTTATTTATTTTTGCTCAAATCCAGCCTTAAATTTTGAAAAGGAAAGTGTAGACAAAAATCTGCCAGCATCTTCTTTCCAATAATTAGATGCAGAAAATAATACCAAAAACGGTTTTTTTTTTTTTTGAAAAAAAAAAGAGGAAAACCATACTGCACTTGAAAATAAATCATGTACCACCCAACAAAAGTATAAAATAAGCTCGCTTTTAACGGGCATATAAAAGGAAGTCAAAAAGCTACCAATAAATAGAAACAATTCTTTTACCTGAAAATAAAGATGAGAGGCATCAGTTGAATAGTTGTAAAACAAACGGAAACAACAATTCTTTATTCCAACAGCAATCCTGACAGCCATTTCCAAGCAGCTTGCATCCAGGAACTGGTAAAAACTATTGGTTTGATATGGTACCAGCAAGACATGGCCATATTCCACAGGAGATGCCTGAAAAATTAAATAGGTAATTAAACTCTGGCTCACATAAAGGAGGACGAAGGAGTATATAGAAAACTGCAATCACTGCACCTTCCACACTAGACACAAAGCAAGGGAGCAATGTCAACAGATATTGCGAAGGTGTTTACAAGCATTAACCGAAAAACAATACTTGACATGAACCAACGTATTGGACTTAATGAAACTAAACAATTCCTTCGAACACTTAACAGCCTCTAAAAAATATTTCTTCCCACAACAAAATGGAATGATGAAAAAGAAACAGATGATTGATAAAAATTACTGGTCCTAGGGTTGTATTTAAGAACCCGTTTAATTCACTGATTCGAGTTTTTAATTCAAGTTGTGATGTGACTTTAGTGAGAGCTTTATACTATAGCAAAAAAGCTAGATGTGACTGTTTCAGAGAGCTTTTTACTGTAACAAAACTCGAATTCTAAACTCAAATCGGTGAAATGAACGGGGCCTAAATATTCCGGATAATTGAATGATCATTGTTACGACCAAGTGTCGTGATACTTAAATCCAGATAAGTAGTTTAATCCATTTACAAAAAGTTAAAAAATAAATAACTCAAGCCCAAACCTTACATTGATAAATATTAACATGGCATCATTAGGAACAGCAGCTGAAGCAATAAGCTCCGGAGTTGATTTTTCACTGCTCGCAACACAAAGGAGTAACTTGTCATGCTGTTTCATGGAGTTAAGTTCAAAAACACCCTCTTGCTGGAAAGCTTTGTTGTTTTCCAGCTTCGGCAAATGATCCATATTCCATGCTTCATTCAACTGAGCAAGAAACTTTTTCCTGCCTTCAATAGCCTACATAAGCCATAAAGTATCTGCTAAAATGAGTAACTTTGCCTTTTCCAAGGAAAAAAAATGAAAAACGAATACGAAAGAACAAGGACCTTAATTTCATTAGTTGTCACATCATATCGGAAAATTCCTTTCATTGTTCGGTCTTCCCACTGCCAAACAGGAGCATAGAAGTGATTGCCAGAACCATTTAACAGCCAGTCAGTATTTGTTTAGTTCCATACCTGGGCGAGAAGAAGAGTATCTAACATGCTCGCTTCATCTTTAGAGATGCCCAAATGCTCTCCAAAGGATTCATGATCCATCAGAGGTTGGCTACCAAAGCAGTAAAGCGGAACACTAACACCTGCTATTTCTTTTAATTAAATGTACAAGAAAAAAATGGGTTTCCAAATTTAATACCAACACAAACATAGCCACTACTTCCAGTCCAGAACAAAAAAACAAAAAAGCGCAGCCACTGCCCTTAAATTCAAACAGATTATAAATATCCTATTTTCCTTAAAGCTACGAGACTAGACAAAACAAACTCATACTACATAGCATGTGTTATAACAGTATCACAAAAAGATACAGTGAATAGAAATATCCATTAACTGGCAGACTGTTATCAACTTACCACCCCATTTCTCCTAAATTTCATTTGTTGCTCAATAGCCACACCTTAGTTGCTTATTTCTCAGAAATTTCTCCATGTTAAGTGCCTATATAATATTATGTTTTAAAGCTTCCATACAAGAGTGCTACCAAAGGAAAAACCTAATATCTGAAAACCAGTACCACTTTCAAGTTGGACATATTATCCTGGGAGAAAAGAAAGCGAACTGTAAAATACTGAATTGGAAGCGTTGAGTTGGCCAATGCAACTACGTCATCCGAGCAAACATCAACCAAACAATGATGGTCATTGAAAAGAATTTCACATTGGCATCCACAGGCATAGGTTAAAAGTCAATCAGTTTATTACCATTTTGTCCTGATTCCACAAAATTACTTACGATAAATACCAAGTTTAAAACATAGAGGGTGTGTTTATAGCACAAGCACAAGTTACCAAACCATGAACATGATTCCTGATCAAACTTTAATTAATTTATGCAGCTTATGTATCGAAAGAACCAACATAAAACATATAAGCTCACATTTCTACTGCACAACACAAGAGCAGGCAATAAAAGAGATATAATAGAAAATATACAGATAATCAAAATAATCTTCAACCCAACCTTCAAGGAACTGAGGTAACTTTGACTGCTTGGGTATTGCATTTGCACATTCTGCCAGCAAGTTGTCATCTACGAGTTGCTTGACCCCAACCATGCTCGAGTAGATTGTTGTTACAAACTAACAAGTCAACAATAATAATAACCCACAAAACTTTTTCAGCAACCTCCAGAAGTAAGGAAGGCCAGAAACATTCGAATGCGATTCAGCAACCGCCACCCGCAACGGAGGTGAGATCAGCCGGATGCCCTCCAGCAGAGGGTAGGGCACCTCGACCACCGTGGAATGAAGGGGACGCAATCAAGAACTTAGGGGAAGCCTGCCTGCATTGTTTTCCCCTTCCAATCTTTGCAGCACAAACTTCTTTCCTTAGAGCCGTGGTGGAATTTGTCAAGCTACCAGCCCTTACCGGACTAGTTATTTCTCCTTCTCTTCAATCAAAACCCAAAAGCAAAACTGAAAATGTTGATCACACATGATTTATGAAATTAGAAAAAAAAAAAAAAAAAAAAAAAAAGATGGAAAATCACCGTCAAATCTAATACTATTTCAAATATAGCTTTTGTCCATCAATATAGGAAAACACAAATGATTCAAATGTTGATACTGAAAAATAAATTATAATTTAAGAAATTTGATTAAACCTTTCTGTTACTTCAATCGTCCCCTGATGCCGATCAACAACAAAGTTTACGCCTGCAAATTTCCAAAGTAAAGAGCAAATGAATCCAAAAATTCATGTTTCTAGTTCGAAAACTGGTCCGCCTAAATGTTTAGTTCGCAATCGCGAAAATCAAAAGGGAATATAAATCCCTAAAGGTCATTTTTTTTCCTTAAAAAAAATTGAGTTAAATTCTGATTGGAAGCAGGGAAAACTAGCGTGAAAGGAATTATAGAGCATTTGGAATCAAAGAGAAGAGTTTTCAGAACTGCGAAATTACCTTTCCGATGATTTTCTCGCAGCAGAGAAGATTTTCTTGCTTCTTTTCTTTCAATCGGTACTTTTTCGTCCACCTTTGATCGTGGCGAATTTTGTTGACCTTCGTCGACACCGTCTAAAATACTCGGACAATTTTGAACCAATGAAAACTCGACATGTGTTGTTCCAAGAAATCGTTAACCCTGAGTAGGGCCGGCAATATGGGTCACGACAGGACGACACGACTCGAAAACAACACGAATTTTATGAGTTATGGTTGAGAAAAAAGAGGTTCGGGTCAGAATCGGGTCGACCTGAAATTGACACGAAAAACACGGGTCAATTTCGAGTTGGACCCGCCTAATCCGAACACGACACGAAACTCGTAAAAAACTAAAAAATACATATATTTTTCATTTCATATTTTAAATTTTATTATGAACTTGTGATATCATGATAGTTATACTCAAAATCTTATACTATTATTTGCTTAATTTCAATAGATGTTATTATAATTTAGTGTGTTATGAATTTTAAGTTATTTCTAATATGTAAAAAACTAAATAAAAGTATACAATTTTCGTGTCAATTTCGGGTTCACGGGTCAATTTCGTGTCACGAGTCATTTTCGGGTCGTGTCTTGTCAACTCGTAAAGTGGTCGTGTCATGTTCGTGTTGCGGTTTTTAAAAAATTTCGTATCACAGGTCGTGTTCGGGTTGACTGTAAATTTAAAAAAAAATGATCAAAACACGACACGTGACACGAATTGTCACCCTTAGCGCTGAGGTTGTTGTCTCATATCTCGATTCCTTACACTTCGTTCAAAACTAGTGCTGAAATTTTAAACGGACCGTTGCGATCATCAAAAATTTTAAATTTTTACCCAATAATTGTGCCCGCCGGAGCCCAAATTTTTTAGCGGCCCGACCCAACTCGAGAAAGACCATAGACGAGTTTCGAGTAAGTTTTAGCTGCCCGAGTCTGGTTAGGCAGCCCGACATTGCATGTGTATCTAAAATTTTTTTTAATGTTTTTTATATATTTATATACTATTACATATAATATATAATTTTGTTTATTAATTGTATATGATATGTATATAAATGATTTTTAAGTTATTTATTGTAAAAATTATACAAAAATTATAAGGGATATTGTAATTTAAAATTTGAAATGAACATGAACTATATAAAAAAAATATTTATTTATTAATTTTTAAATTTGTAATTCATGATTGCCTCGTTAAAAACTTTACCAAGAAAAACTCAATTGGGATAAAAACTTAGTAATGAAAAAAGAGTGTAATCATTCTCGGACGAATTACAAATTTGACGAACTTACAAAGTCTATACAAGATTACAATAACACTGTACAAAGTAAATAAATATTTATAAATTACAATAATAGAATTTAATTTGAAGCTGAAGGATCGTCTTCAAAATTAAAAGTTAATCTATTAAATTCATCGATCAATTCTTGGCTTGCCGGCGAAATTGTATCGTGTAAGCGTTAGTCGGAACGATCCCAATCCTTGATGCACACTAAAGCTTCAACAATGTCCTGTTGCAATACGTTTATACGTTCCTCAAGTATTCGGTCGGTCGTACTGAAGGCTTATTCGGATGAAATAGTGGAGACTTGAGTCGGACAAAACGGGCGGCGGGTCAGGTCGGGGAAAAATAGATGTTGCATTCAAAAGTTCAGTAAAATCGGGCTAACGATCAAAAAATTATTTGGATCAGGTGGGGTCGGCATAAATTTTAAAAAACTAGCCATTTTTTGGGTATTCGAGCAAAAATTCAGGCTTCGGGTCAGGCTTTTCGGTTACGGTGGAAAATTCATTAAAAAAAAAAACAGCGCCCGGTGGTCACGCCCCCCCCCCCCCCCCCCCCCCTCACTGGCGGCGGGCTGCGGGGAATGCTTTTTCCTCAAGCTGCCCGAGCGCAGGATATTTAGGTGAATAGGCGGCGATAGGTGTATGCCCGCCGAGCCCGAAAAATTTTGGGTTTCGAGCAGGCCCGCCGTCCGAAGTTCCACCACTATTCATAACTCATGTTCATTGAATCATTTAGAGACCTTTGTCACGAGGGTTCTAGAACTGAAATTATGATTTTAGTTTAAATTAGTGTTTATTTATAAAAAGTAAAAATTGGTTTTAGTTTGACTCAACAAATTTAGTTTTTAATGGTTCTGATTTAAGGTTTCAATCTTAATGTGATGTTTTAAATCAAAACCACACATGCTTCTAATACTACCTCTCCCCTTGGTTTTAGGTTATTCAAATTTCTCATTTTGGTTCTGCTTTCAGAACCATGATTTGGATCTAAAATCATGAATCATGGTTATGGCTCTAAAACTAAAACCATAATCACCTTGGTTTGAACCCTTATACTAAACGGATCCTTAGGAGTAATAAAATGATTACTCCCCAAATTATAAATTGTATCAAAAAATGTCTCCTAAACTTTAATTTATAATATCCGTTCCAACTAAACTTTAGAACTCTTGCAAGTTTCCCTTTTCTATTGAATTATTGATAGAAAATGACATGTGGAATGCTCGTGATGGTAATTTTAAAGGCATTTTAGCAAACATAAATCAAAAGTACATTAAGGGTGCGTTTACTAATGCATAAAGGAATGTGAAGGGAAATGTAATGAGATGAAAAAGAAAAGTAAAATAATATAATTAAGGGTCATTGATTCATTTTCGAGTGTTTACTTGACTGTTATATAGTGTAATGAGAAACAATCTTATTCTCATTTTGTTGTTTACTAAAACTAAGAATAATAATATTATCAATATAATCACTAAAAAAATCTTTTACACAATTAAATAATCATTGACTGTATAGTAATTCGTTAAGAATAAATAAGTAAATTAGGTATTCATTCCCTTTAACGAGAAATGTGTGGGTTATAGGGCGAGCAGCTTTATCTGATCAAGGGTCAGGGCACAAGGGTCCCGGTACTATCCAGGTGCGAAGAACCCCGGAGGTGACTGTAATGAGCAAAAATCTCACTCACCGGCCTAAACGATGAGCAAACAATCGAATGTGAGAGCAAGGGACCACCCAAAGAATGGACGAGCTCCAAGAAGAGAGGATAGAGATGGGAGGGTGGGGCAAGAACCATGCTTTCAGAGAAGTGGTAGTCTGGATCTTATCTGAACTGCGAGAATAACTGATTAAGCCATGTCATAAGGGTCATTCTCTAAACGGGACGTGATGAAGCCTTTAGGTTAATGTAAGGATTGACATTCACGTTCTCATGCCTTATATTGTGTGGGGTTCACTAATTGTCATTACTAAGTTTATAAATAAACACATTATTAAAAGTGAAAGATAATCAATCATTACTTTTCCTTTTCTTTTATGCATAATAACATTGCCTTTAATCCTGATTAACTTTAATTAAAAGGAAAAATACATAATATAACATATTTTATAGGTACTTTTGAAGCAAATAGCATAATATATCAAACTTAATAAATTATAACATATTATTAATTTTAATTAGTTTGCTTCTCAAATTTACCCTTAAGATTTTCCCTTTCTTTTTTCTCTTGCCATTTTCTCTCTCTTTACTCTCGTGACCCCTCTCTCTCTATCTTCCCATTCATGATTCTCTCTCCTTAGTCCCTTATGCGGCCCACTATCTCCTCCGCGACCCTCTCTCCTCCATCCGTCGCTCTCTCCTCTGCGAATCCTTCTATACTTCATGACTCTCTGTGCTATGGTTATAGTAAACTATTTGATGCGCAATGGTTATATATAGCGTTTGTTATCATATTTGATTTGCAAGGTTTTTGTTTGTTTGGTTTTGAGTTTGTCATTTTATCTTGATATGTGTTTGTGAGTTTTTGTAAAGTATTTATTAGATTGATTATGGTAAATACTCTAAAAATATTATAGTAGTTACAAGTTTAAATACGGTAAATACTGTATTTATCAGTAACTATTTCACTGAATTCAAGATTGAATTTGGTAAATACTATATTTACAAGTAAATACTTTACTGAATCCAATTTTCAATGTGATAAATAATGTATTTACCAGCAAACACTTCATTAAATTCAATTCTTGATCTAATAAATATTGTATTTATCAGTTAATACTTCACTAATTCGAGTTTGAATCTAGTAAATATTGTATTTACCAGTAAATACTTCACTGAATCCAATTTCCAATATGCTAAATATCGTGTTTACTAGTAAATACATATTTAACGGTCGCCAGAGTCGGTCACTGGATTTTTGAATAAAAATGATAAATATGGTATTTACTAATAAATATGATATATGATATTTACTGGTAAATACAGTATTTACCAGTAAATACAGTATAAACGGTCGTCCGATCCGGTGCCTGAATTTTCAGATAGACATGATATTTACTAGTAATTACTGTATTTACTTGTAAATACGATATTTACTCGTAAATACGGTAATTACTAGTAAATACAGTGTTAAATGGTCGCTGGAGATGGCACCTGAATTTTCAGATAAGTATGATATATACTAGTAAATACGGTATTTACCAGTAAATACAGTATTAAACAGTCACCGGAGTCGGTGGCTGAATTTTTTAGTAAATATGATATTTACTAGTAAATACAATATTGATTAGTAAATACGATATTTACTTGTAAATACATCGTTAAACGGTCGTTAAAGTCAGTGGTTAGGTTTTTCGATAAAGATGGTATTTACTAGTAAATACGGTATTTACCGGTAAATACAATATTCAATGGTCATCGGAAACACAGTCACTGAAAAACGATCACCGGTCGCTGGAGTTGATCATCAGTCCCGACCATGGTGGACTTGACTATAATTTACTTATTTTAAAAAAACACACTATAATTTACTTTTTTTAAAAAAAAATAGATGTTTAGGGGGAATGAGTGAGGTGAGAAAGGAGGTTTAGAAGTATTTTTGGATTTTTAATAATGTTTAAAACATAAAATATCAAATTATGCTATAATTTATAATTTTCTAAACATATGCTATAATTTACTAATCACTTTACCAATTATGCAATTTTCCTCCTTATCCCTAATTAAAAATACTAAAAAAAAACACCCAAAAAATGCCAATTGTTCCTCTTCTAAAACCACCCCGATTTAGAGGTGTAAAATGGGCCGGGTCGTCCATGGACAACCTAGCCCAAAACAGTGTTAGATTCAGCACGACCCGATACGGTACTCTTACGGGTTATGCCGGCCCGGTACGTTTGATGGGCTAGGGCTGGGCTGCAGCTTCTTTGCCCGTGAAGACCTGCGGCCTGACCCGAGGCCAGTTCAGCCTAAGCCCGGATTCAGCCTTTGTTCAGCCCGGCCCAGGCCTGCGAAACAGCCCGCCAAAAAGCCCTCAAACCCGTGACGATTGTGACCACTAGGCCCGTGAAGGGCCCAACAATCACAATCTGAAAAAAGCCCCCAAAATCCCCTATAAATGCCTCTTAATCCCACCCTAAATCCCGCACAACAATTCACTCTCAACTTCTCATCTCACTCTCATTCTATCTCCCATCTTGTCTATTTGATTTTGATTCTAAGCTTTTCTCTCGCGATCACTCATTTTCTTGCTCTTTCATTTAAGTTCAATCAATTTTCAGAAAATGGCAGCATCAAACTTCCCTGATTTCACTGCTCTCCCTGAGCTTGGTGATGAGCCATTTTTCAAGGATGAAATGATGGCTCACAACCCCACCCCCACTAAACTGGAAAATGCTCCGGTTAATAACGGTTCAGTGCACAATGAGGAAGTTAGAGAACGCAGCAGGGGAAAAGACCGTGAACATCTCTTGCATGGCAACATTTCACAGAGGAGCCCTAACCAAATCCAAAAACAGGTGAAATGGAAATTCGTGCTGTATGTAAGTATTGTAAAAAGTACTTTTCTAATAAAAAATGTGGGGGTACTGGTCATTAGGTTTTGTAATTTACTTATCCTAGAATATTACACTCTTTTTTTCCTTGCTAAGGTTTTGTCCGAATCCCCCCACGGGTTTTACTTGGTAAGGTTTTTAACGAGACAGTCATTTATGTGTACTTATTCGTATTATCTCAATTCATTAAAATCACATCTTTTAGGTGCATATGATATATTCTCTTTTTTTTTATTAAATATTGCAAAAAAAATTACAAGGGCCAGGGCCGGCCCGTGAAGGGCCTGGGCCTTGACCCTTATGGACTAGGACCGCGGGCCAGTTCCGGGCCTAAGAGTTTCTCTTCAGGCCTGACCCTAGCACGATCCAGGCCTGCCACGGGCCTGGAGTCGGACGTGTCGTGCTGACCTGACACGGCATGTTTGACACCTCTACCTCGATTGCCATATTCATCCTCATCACCTAACATAATACAATTCAAACAAATAACAAAACTTGCTAAATTGTGTAATTTGTCTTATTCTCTTTCAATAATCATTTCAAATCCATCACGCACGATTCAAACAAACAAACCAATGAGGATCTCTCCATACATTTCCAATGGGCAATGGATTCTCTACCTAGATTTCAATAATTTGCATAACCAAGTTTAGAAAAAATAAATCTTGAGAAAAATTAGCTTGAACTAGCAAGTTCATCAACACTGCCATTGTTACTATCTCTGACTCCAAAAATAGTAAAAAATATTTATGTAGGAACAACATTTGAAAATAAATTAATTTAACAAGGTAATTAAAAAATAAATAATATTTTAAATAATTGAGAAAAAGTATTTAAATGATATATATTTAAAAATATATAAAAATCAAAGTTTAAAAATGTAATAAGGGTCTGTTTAGTTCATGTACTTAAATTAGTGATTATTGATTTTGACATTTTAAATTAAAATTTTTTATGAGAGAGAAATACTATAGCAGAATCAAAACTATAAATTTAAATGCATGAAACAAACGAGCCCTTAAAAATATAAGAAAGGAAAAAAAAGAAAAAGAAAAACTTAAAAAAGCTAAAAAAGTAAAATAAAAAAAAGAGGGGCAAAGTAATGCCCGCTAAAAACCTATTCTCACTTTTAGGAAGATAATAGATATACCAAATATACTATAATCATTAAACAAAAGAGGTGGCTAAAACTGCGATCGAACTTATTTTATTTTATTTCAAAATTATCAAAACCAAATACTGATTATGAATCATTGTAAATAAACATTGATTCTGAACCAGGATCCAGAATCATGATTCTGGATCCATCCACCAAACGAATCTTAAGGTTCATTTGGTACCAGGATTCAAAACAGTGTAATTCTAATCATGATTTTGAAACTAGAACCACGATTCATGATTTTGGGTTCAAATCATGATTCTAAAATCATGATTCAGAACTAGGAGTTTGAATCACCTTGAATCAAAATGGGGTGGTTTTAGAATTATGAGTGATTCTGGTTTAAAACATCATATAAAATTTCAAATCATAATTCAGAATCATCCAAACCAAATACTAATTCTGAATTATGATTCAGAATCATTGTAAACAAACACTGATTCTGAATTAGGATCCAGAATTATAATTCTGGATCCATCTAGAACCTAAACCCGACCCTTGGTAAGAAGGTGTAGGGTTCGTTTGGTACGAGAATTTAAATCAGGTTGATTCTAATCATAATTATGAAAACAGAACCATGATTCATGATTTTGGATTCAAATCATGATTCTAAAACCATGATTCAGAAACGTTTGTTTTCTATATTCGTCTCTGATTCTGAATCATGATTCATGGTTCTCTACAGTGTTTTCTCTCACAAAAAAACACGTAAAATGAGAATGGTTCTGAATCATGATTCTGAATACATAAACCAAACGTCCTATTTGAATCACCTTGAATCAAGAGGGGGGTGGTTTTAGAATCATGATTTGAACTAGTTTAAAACATCACATCAGATTCTGAATCATGATTCAGAATCATCCAAACTAAACACTGATTTCTGAATTATAATTCAGAATTATTATAAACAAACACTGATTTTAAACCATAATCAAGAATTATGATTCTGAATCTATCTATTAAATGAACCCGTAGTGTTGCCGTTGGCATTATTAACTGTCGTTAGAAACGGAAAGGTTGAGTTGGCTAGTGCCGTCACTAGGGTTCGATAGAACCGTTAGAGTATATAAACTGCCAACCGAAGTTCCATTTCCACTCTCTTCCTCTTATTTTCCCTGAAAATCAGCTCACCACACTCTGCAAGAACCCTAGAACTCTCTATCTCTCTCTCTCTCTGCGGTGTTGAGAAGCAGAAGATGCCTCCGAAAGCTGCTAAAGGCAAAGAAGCGCCATCTGAGCGACCAATTCTCGGCCGATTCTCCTCTCACCTCAAGATCGGAATTGTAAGATTTCTCCATTTTTCGATCGGAATCCGAGCTCTCTCGTTTTTCTTCTTCTTATTTGCTGTTTTCACTTATCAGAAACTCTAAGAAATGAGCTCACAATGAAATGAGCTCTGTAATCTTGTTTTGCTTTGAAGAGCTAACCTTCTGTGAGCCCCGAGTTCGTCTGTACTTTTAGTTCCTGACTGGTTTTTTTTTTTTACTTTGATCATGGTTAATTTTTCTTTTTCATATTTTGGTTCGTATTAGATATTTCAATTTTTAAATCTTCTGTTGCATTATTTTGGTTGATTTTTTAGTGAATTATTTGCAATACGGGGGATTTGGGTTGGAAAATTGAACAGTGGGGAAAGTGAAACTCATTTTCATTTTCATTTTCTGTTGGGTAATAAAATAAGAATTTTCTTTTGTTGATGTAATGGCATTAAATCTGTTGAGTTAGTCTTAATATCTTTGATAATTTGACCTTGTTAATGAATTACTTTGTATTTTGTAACTGGATCGTCAGGTTGGATTGCCAAATGTTGGCAAGTCTACACTATTTAACACACTTACAAAGTTGTCGATACCCGCGGAGAACTTTCCTTTCTGCACGATCGAACCTAATGAGGCTCGTGTAAACATCCCTGATGAGAGATTCGAGTGGCTTTGCCAACTGCACAAGCCGAAAAGCGAGGTTTGTTCCCTGTGTTGTTAGAAATCTTTTCATTATCTTATACGGCCATAATTTTGTTTCAAAATTATAATTCTTTGAATTATTGCAAATGTCTCATCTGAACTGAACCCCCTAATGGTATTTGCGAGTCCTCACTAGGGCAATCACTCAATCTTCGAAGCCTTTTCTGTTGCATCGGTTCTTCTCCATGTTGTCCAGACTTCACTGTGGATGCTCTTTAAATGTGTCATTATTATAAATTTCTAGTCCTCTGGTGGGAGGTTTTTCTTATGATTATTAAAAATGTTAGACTTGACGGCCAACGCTACTATATTATGTCGATCATATGTTTTTGCGCTATCCTTTTTCTTTTGACATGGGCCACTAATAACCAGATTTTATTTGAGTGGACAGTTAAAGAGGAATGGGATAAAAAATCTATTGTTCAAAGTTGATGAAAAATCAACATACGCAGAAATTCATTTTCACCACTAAGATTGTGGGCAGTTGGCTTGCGGTTTAGGAATTGAAGCTCGGTTGTCATTTATCTATACGCAGAGTGTTTCTTTCTAACTCAGTTGATTAGGCCAGTTGTTATATATTTAACTGCTATCTTCTTGTCTTGCATTCAAACTTTACAGTTGTTGCTTCTTATTTTCAAATCTTGTTTAGTAACACGTTAATTTGATCGATTCTCAGGTCCCAGCTTTTCTGGAAATCCATGATATAGCTGGACTTGTTCGAGGTGCCCATCAAGGGCAGGGCTTGGGCAACAATTTCTTATCTCACATCCGTGCAGTTGACGGAATTTTTCATGTTCTACGTAAGATACTCTCATTTTAGGTTTTGCCACATGCTTGAATTTAGCTTATGTTGGAAGATCATGAATGTGGGTAACAATTAATTCGCCCACGTATTGATTGAATGCTAGTTCAAGGAGAAGTTATCTATGGTTCTTTGTTTATGCAACTGCATATTTAAGCCACTGACATCCATCTAGCCGTAGTAATTCCTCTACCAACTAGAGAACAAAATAGTTTCATTTAAGTGAATATTGTGTTTCGAGGCACTATCTACAGTTCCAGTTCCAGAATAGGCACTGATTTTAGTTTTTCTTATCATGTTTTCTAACTTGAAAGCATCCCCTTTTTATTCGCTTCCCAAGCCTCCAACATGTTTTCCAGATTTTCAAGGATACTCCTGCTTGGTACATGTCACGCCCCCAAACAGGGGTTAGTGACGTGGAGGCTTATTTAGAAATTAAACCTGATTAAGAAGGTGGTTAAACAATTAACATTTCAAACTTTGGGTTCAAATCCCAAATATTCAGGTATTTCCAAACAAACCCCACTATTTTAAGGAAATCGAGTTTTAAAAAAAAGTGAGGCGGACTTTACAAAACACAGTTACTGTTAAGATCAAGATCAAAAGTCAGCCTCCGGCATCCACAGGGTTTACACTTGTGCATACATAAATAAGTACAGAAAAATAAATAACTGACATCAACCACAGTCTAGTAACATTTCAGGTTTACAATCCTTAGTTAATACATGCCTTAAATAAATCTGATAATGAAGGAAAATACTTCACTGCTTCCTTTCTTCTAGAACCGAGTTCCTCACCTATTCCGCACTACTTTTAGCGTCGCCTGGGTGGGGTTAAATTACATTTGAAACATAGGAAAAATGAGCGAAAGGCCCAGTGGGATAAAGTTTTATAAAAGTGAATAAATAATTGATTAAATAAAAATACAGAGCCGAAAGAATCATTCGAAACTAAACAACCTTTTTACTAAAAGGTAAATAAATTTAAGTTTCCAGTTACAGGCAACCGGCAAGTAATTTAATGATAAATTACTTACGACCAAAGTAAGGCCTTATCACCACCGTAGTGACCCGTCCGGGTTTTGCCCTCAAGGATACAATCTCCATATCTTGTCTAGGCCATCAGTGCTGGCTTACCAGTTCGCAAGATATCTTATCTTAAGAAAATATTCATTAAAACTTCAAAACAGTTCATTATGAGATCAATAGCAATAATCAAGCTATTGTCTTAAAATACTTTTCTTTATCAAACATGTTTTTATCTTTAAAAAAATTTACATAGGCCAAAACGCTTTAAAACAGGCTAACAAGGATATGGGTAAGGATATCCTACCTTTCGAATATCAAACATGTGGCTAACTTCTCGTAGCCCCAGCTCCACTTGTCTTTGAAGCTCCAAGCTCAATCGTGCCACTAGCCTCGTCATCAAAACCAACAATTTAGAGTTTATCCTTCCCTCTAAACAACCTAGTTTAATTATATACAATTGTATCATACTAGTGCGCCTTAACTCAAAATCAGAATTTATAAACAATTCTTAATTCAAATCATGATTCTTTGAGAATTGTAATTCAACCAAGAAGAATGGAATGGAAACAAGGATTAACGTGGCTAATCCACTCACTTTAAGTTCCCAAATGAAGTTAGGTTGGTTCTACACCGAGTTTCAGGGTCAAAACAGGGTTCTTAAACTGTTTAGGGTTGGATTTAGAGTGTTAGTCCACTAGTCGGCTGATGGAGTATTGACCGGTCAACCGGTGGGGAGAAATGTCAGGGCCAAAAATGGCCGATCCGCGAAGAACAAAGCCAAATCCTGCAAATGTTGGGTCCGATTCAACGTATTCTTAAAAGAAATTAACAAAACCAGGTTCTAATCAACAAATAGGGTTCAAAGAATCAAAAATCCATAAATTTCATCAAGGTTTCATCAAAACCCATTCAAAAACATTCAAAAGTAAATCTAAACCAAAAATCACCAAACTCGACTAAAAACGAGTTCCACAAGGCTAGATTCGAAAGTTTAAAGTGAGTTTCAAAGGGTTTTGCCTCGATCTAGGCTTTGATGTTGAAAACTTCTTGGGAATCCTCGTTTTTGGTTCGAATCCGGTTCCAAAACCGCTTCGAGAAGCGAGAGCAACAATTTGAGAGGAGAAGAGAGAAGAGAGGGATGCGAGAGAGACAGAGACAGAGAGAGACCGAGAGAGTGAGAGGGAGTGAGAACGAGAGAGAAAGAGGGAGTGAGAGAGTGACGATAGAGAGAGAAAAAGAAATGAGAGAAAGAAAAGGAAAAATAAAATATAAGAAAAGAAAAGATAATATTATAGATAGTTAAAAGAAAAGGGGTGGAATTATGAATATGGTAAAGTAACTTAAAATTTCTTGATTAATTAAGAAAATCAAATTAGGCATACTAATAAATCATAATTAACATAATTCAACATACTTAATTCTTGAGGGCGTTACAGTACATCTTGACTCAAACTAAACTTTTTTGCAAGAAACAGCCATTCAAAACCATTCTCACCATATTCTACTTGTATAGTGTGTAAATGTTTTCTTCATCCATTAAACTCCAAGCTGGCAAGCCTATCACAAATATAGCCAAAACCTTTTCACATCCTGTAAGTTCTGCCCTTTGACAACGAAATTGTACAAGAAATTCTGGTAAAATGGGATTTTAATGGTATCCAAACACATTTCATCCCCTATTTTTGGTTTACAATCCAAAAGGTGTGCCGTAAAAGTCATTTGTTGAGCACATTTAATAAAATTTCCTTTAGTGTTTGTATTTGGGATCCTTTTAATTTTGTAGTGAGGAAAAAAAAAATCACAATGTAACAAAGGATTTCCTTTTTGTATATGGTTGTCAGATAATGATCCCGTGTAGCTTTCACCAGATTATACCTAATACCTATCTGCATATAATCATGAGGTGTGAAGAAATAGAGGGAGATCATTGTTTACATGACTTTATGATTACATATGTAACTATTTGATGAGATATTTCTTGGTTCTTTTTTCTCATATAGAAGTACATGCTTTTTTGTGTGAAAGTCATTGTTTTTTTAACCATTTGTATAGGAGCATTTGAAGATCCAGATATTATCCATGTTGATGATGCTGTGGATCCTGTGAGGGATTTGGAGACCATCAGTGCAGAATTGCGCCTAAAGGTGTGCTTTTCTAGTATATAGAATTCTGACTATGGCCTCTCTACTTCTTTTTTTTTTCTTTTTTTTTAAAAATTGAATCTAATATGCTCAAGTATGGTGTGCGTTGTTCTTTTCGCATGTGAAGATTGTTTCATCCGTGAGTCTTTTGGTAGTGGTGTATGAACATTTAGGAGTTGATGCTTTACATTGTTACCAAGACGTTTTCATATCTTGTTTAAACTTTTAGTTGATATTCTGACCTTGTAGGCTTAAAATTAGTTAATTACACTTTGAATAGGCTTAAAATCTTGCTATTTCCTTTGTTACTTGTTTCTAGGATATCGAATTCATGGAGAGGAATATAGAGGATCTTGAAAAGAGCATGAAGAGGAGCAATGACAAGCAGCTAAAGATAGAGCACGAGTGCTGCCAAAAAGTATGTATCTTAACTAGCTTTGTCACGTGTTTTTGTATTATTTTTGCAACTTGTGCATGTACCTTTTCATTCATGTCCTTTGAACTAGCTGAAGAATTGCAGTATTGTCGCATTCATTGCTCTCAACATTGGCATTGACTTTTTGTTACAATTCATCAGGTTAAAAAGTGATCATATTAATATCATGACTTATGGGAAGATAGTTTTGTGATATCTTTTATTGTGCTTTGGATGTTGAAGCTTGTGTATTTTTCATATGGGTTTGAAATTCCCTGTGAATTTGTGTTGACTTTTTATGCAAGCTGCTAGAAAATTAGAAATCCTTGGGTAATGTCCATTTGCGATATGAAACTATGTAATTACTTAGTGACCTCCCACAATTACAGATTTGGAAGTAATGTTCATTTGCGATATGAAACTATGTAATTACGTAGTGACATCCCACAATTACAGATTTGGAGCAGTCTGAGTTAGGTTACCTGCAAATTGTACTTTTCATTGTTAGTAAATTCTGTTTTCTGGTCTTTGTATTAAATTTTGGGGCAAGCTGGGCAGCCCTTTTTTGTGAAAGCTAGAAATTGTCTGGATACAGAAGAATGAAACAGGACATGTAAAAAAGAGCTGCCTGACTAGCTCTGACCTTATAGGAAGAATGACATATGACGAATGTAAACTTTCCTGCTTTACACAGCGTTTACTTTTGTTCTTTTAGTACCAGTTCAAATTATTTTGCTCTTATTTTTTAAATGAGTAATCCAGAATAACCATGTCTTTTTTTTCTTTTTTTATTTTTTACAAGAAAAACGTCTTTATTATAAAAATCAATTACAGGTAGAGAGGATATATTAGTGTTAAGCAATGGATGTGTATTTACAGGTCAAGGCGTGGCTTGAGGATGGAAAAGATGTACGTCTAGGGGACTGGAAAGCTGCTGATGTAGAAATACTGAATGCTTTCCAGTTGCTAACCGCCAAGCCTGTTGTTTACTTGGTAAGTTTCAATAGTTATCCAGAAGAGTTTCGTAATGGCTCTGAACTACGTCAAAATAGTCTGTTGCATGTTTTGCCTATTCTAGTAACTCTGACAGTTTTTTTATCCCACATTTCTTCATGAAAAATCCTGTGTTTTATTTTTATAACTTGTAAGGAAGAGAGGCATCGATAAGTTGATCAATTATCCCCCACTCCGCTCGCAATCTTTGAAAAAATGCAGAACTGTTTCTTCTTTGAGCACATCGTTTTTGGTTTTTGATCTTATGTAAAGCTATCTTCAAATAAGGTCTTTTCAGTAAACGGTAAGCTCCCTAAGAAGAGACAAACGGAGAGGTAAAACTTGAAATTCTTGCTCTGCAACAATGTTTTTAACATCAGGGCTTTTGTTAAAAAAGGGAAGCACTATATTTGTCTCTTTCTTTTCGCTTCTAAATATTTTAGGGCCTGTTTGTTTCATGCGTTTAAACCCATGGTTTTGATTCTGCTACAGTGTTTTCCTCTCACAAAAAATTTGAATTTCAAATGTCAGTATAAAGAATCACTGGTTTGAACACACAAACCAAACAGGCCCTTAAAATATAGATCTGACTGGAAAGACCTAGAAATGATGGCATTGCTTCCTCTTTCTTTTTTCTATGCTCTAAACGCTAGCTGGTCCATAATTTATGCTTACATTTTCAAATGAATGCTCAATTATTCTAGTCTCTGTCATCGTTTTTTGTATCATTTTTTATGGAATGTTCTGATTCATATGCATGTGTCTGTGCGCCCGCGCACCATATGTGCAGATTAAGACTTAACTAAGGTTTTAAGAGTGTAAATGATGGGATATTCTATATTTTCTTCACAGGTTAACATGAATGAGAGAGATTACCAGAGAAAAAAGAACAAGTTTTTGCCGAAAATACATGCGTGGTATGACCATCATTACCATCATTCTGAAACGTCTTACCCTGGTCTGTGTGCATTCAGATATGTGACATATTACTTTCTTTGTCTTCATTTACAAGAATATCTCCTACTTTTGTCTATAAATCTCACATCACTGCCTCGTTTTAGAATTTCACATGCCAGTTTCTTATAAGATCTCATTTAGATAGTTATATGCTTCAGCCTTAATGCAGCAGCATGTGTGGAGAACAATATTCTTTGGTAGAAAATCTTGAGAATGCATGCTTGTCTCTGCTGGCACATTTGCGTATAACAGTTGCTTTTGCTCCTTCCAGTTTGTGTTATGCTATTCTTCAAGATTATATTAGTTGGTTAAAAGCAATTTAAGTTTCGATGGTCCTGTTTTCTAGGGTGCAAGAGCATGGTGGGGAACAAATTATTCCTTTCAGTTGTGTCTTAGAAAGAAATCTTGCCGATATGCCACCTGATGAAGCAGCAAATTATTGTGAGGAGAATAAGGTACAAAGGTAAGCTCATGCTTTGCATATCCTTGCGAATAAGAAACAAATGACAGTGGTTAATCAGAACTTCCTTCATTTAATTGAATAGGTTTTCTAGAATTTGCAATTAAATAAATACTCTCTTTTTTTTTAGAAATTAGAAACAAATTACTTATTGTGGTTCTTTAAGTAAAGAGTTTAAATTAAAAAGTCCCTCTAAACTTTATTTGTGGAGTTGGAGGAACGTATTCTTGAGTTTTTCCCCCCTTTTGTTTCTTGTTTATGCATTTTTCGTAAGATGTAGAAGGTGCCTTCTCTTGATTTTATCTTATCCTGCTTCTTTTGATATTATACACACACACACACACACACACAAAACAAAAGATTGCTAATAATCAACTAGGAAGGCAGATATTCAAGTTTTTTCTCTCTTGTGTTTCTCCCTTATTCTCTCTTCTTTCCTATTACTTCTGTTATGCTACATCTAGAAGACCAAAGCAAGACCAAATATTTCACCTTTTCTCTCATAAGAATTGCTGCGTTGCTCATCCCTTTCTTTTGGGGTTAGCATCTTATGTCAAAGTATTTGTGTGTAGATATTTCTTCTATGATTCAATATGAATTAGTTCTGCTTATACTTGCTTTCAGAAATAAGATTCTTTTGTTATTAATTACAACTCTGTTGATTCATGTGCTATAAATCTTTTTTGTGCAACCTAAATTAGCACAAATTATTAGAGTTATGGAGCATAAGAATAGTAGCTCATAGATTAATGTCTTCACTTGGGTGAATTTTGCTACAGTGCGCTTCCAAAGATCATAAAGACTGGATTTTCAGCGATTAATCTCATATACTTTTTCACGGCTGGGCCTGATGAGGTAAAATATCTATATTTCATTGAAATTCTTTGCTTCTGGACAATCAGGCAAGGTTATTAAATGTATGAATTTTCATGCTGGTCATTTTGCCCTATTTTTTACATTGATTCTATATTTTCTTTATGATTTATTTCTTCCCAAATTGTGTACGTAATATTTGTGAATTGGAAATTTCAGAAGTTAGCCCGTTCAGTTCATAGGTTTGAACAGGAATTTTGAACGTAAATTCAAACTTTATGTGAGAGGACATTATAGCAAAAAGGTTGAATTGTGGCTACAATTAAAATTCTGTTTTTGTGATTAATAAAATGGCGCATTTGCAATTTCTGGCCGTGGGAAAATTAGCTACTAGAAGTCACCACCTGCGTTGCACAATTTTAAAGCATACACGTGATATTTATGTTAACTTCCTTTTTAGTGCTTTAGGAATGTTTTATTTTGTTCTCCTACTTTAGTCATAATATATCATTGTTTTATAGATTCTTGTCGATTCAGGTATGAATCTTATCGTGAATAAAAGAAGAAAAGGCAATAATTCAGCTATCTGTACAATGATCTTAATTACTTTTTTTCATGAAAATTGCGTCACAGAAAGATCCTTGGTTTTTGTATAATATGTGAGACTGCTTTTTCTTTTTTCTTTTGAAGTGTCTTCTTTTCTAACATAACTTGTGTTTTGCAGGTTAAGTGCTGGCAGATCAGACGGCAGACAAAGGCTCCTCAAGCTGCAGGGACCATCCATACCGATTTTGAGAGAGGATTTATTTGTGCTGAGGTCCTGCCCTTGTTCACTCTCTTTCTGGACGCTGGTTTTGTCTTTGTTTATTAATCAGCTCTTATTTCACGGCCAGAATAGTTATTGATTCTAATATTATGATGACCTGCGGCTGCCTGCTACTGTTATTGTTGACCCATGTCTCTTTGCAAATTCCAGTGGTTGATTATTCATATACGGTCAATATATTTTTCTTTAAGATTCAGAGTAAAAGATATCAAAATTTCTTGATGGTCAATCCTTTTGTATTCACTCGATGCTCCAGTTGACACATTTTCAGTCATGAAATTTGATCCTTATTTTTGCATCTATCAATTAGCATCTCAATTGCGATTCACTAGTGATTTCTCTATAGCATTTATATGCATGTGTTGTGCGTGTCTGCATGTGTATTGACATTCAAGAGTGTTGAAATATGTTTCATAATTAAGCATTAATTGAAACGAAGACGCCCAAAAAAAAAAAATAAAAATAAAAAACAACGACAACCAGACGCCATGGCTATGAATGTGCAGAACAAAGGAAGTTACTTATTTGATGTTTCATACAACGTGCAGGTCATGAAATTTGAAGATTTGAAGGAGCATGGCAGTGAGGCAGCTGTTAAGGTAATTTTCACAAATTGAACAATGAGATTACATACTTGTGAGACCATTTATCCACCGTCATTGTGTCATTTCTTTCCCAGAATAAAATCAATGAGAATGGTCTGAATTATAGGACCTCATCTCTGTTAGTTCCGGCAAAATCATTCCCAGACACATAGTTATGCTATTACAAAATTAGTAATTACCTCTGTTTAGTTGGAGGGATAGAGAGTAGGAAGGATGGAGAGGGTTGTAGCAATCTTTCCTATTGTTTGGTAGGATGGAGGGGGAGTTGAAAGGATAGATGACAATTCTTTATTAAATTACTATATTATCCATTTAAACTTTTTGTTAATAATTTAATCAGAGGGTAAAATAGTCTTTTAAAGTTAAAACTGGATGGAGATCCTTCCATCAATGGAAGGATCCAATTTGGTGGGCCATGAGGGAGAGCACACCCCTCCTCCTCTCCTCTCTCTCCTCCTGTCCCTCCAACCAAACAAGAGATTGGACCTCTCTCTCTATCTCTTCCCCCTACCAAACATACTCTAAATTCTGAGGGTGAGACTTGGGGTCCTAATCATAATTTCTACAACTCCTTTAATTTCGCAAGTTGCTCCGTTCATTGGAGCATCTTGAATGCAATAGACATTTGGGTGAGAAACACAATCTTCAATGCACTGCGATAATACTTTTTTTTTTTTTTTTTTTTTTTTTTTTGGGGGGGCTAACTTTAGCATCGACATTAGAGATAGTTTAGATATCTATTATTTCAAAATCTTCTCGTTAACCTTTTTTTTTAATTTTGAATTTTTGTTATTTTGACTCTTTGACGAAGGCTGCTGGGAAGTACAAGCAAGAGGGTAAGACGTACGTTGTTCAAGATGGAGACATAATATTTTTCAAGTTTAATGTTTCCGGAGGAGGGAAGAAATGAGGTGAAAACAGTTTATTAGCTGAATCTGAGATAATACATGGATACATTATTTCGATTGAAACAGTTTAAAAAAGAAAGTATGGAAACACTATGTACCATGTTCTTTTTTGCAGTTTTGGTATATTTTGTGCATCATCAAGGCTGATACACTGGAGTTGATGCGCGATAGAAATCAGTTGACTTCTGAGAAAGCTTAATGGATAATTGCGAGCTCGATCTATAACCATATGACCATTCTATATTTTTCAGATTTTGATGAATCAAACATTATTGATTTGATGACAGCAATCTTTTAATTGAGAATATATAAGCAATCTTCTGGAATGTGAAGCATAAATTATATCAAAGATTTCTACAACCTCAGAGATAAATGAAATATAATGAGATGTGTTACAAGAAGCTCTTGAGGCTTAAAGTGAGCAGATGGAATTTGGAGAGCAAAAATTAAAATCTTGAAGATTCGACAATTAGAAAGCTTGGTTGGAGAATGAAGATGAAATGAACAAGACATCCTATCTCAAACTTTGGTTCCGTCCCAAACTCAATCTTGATATATTAATTTATTTTAATTTCAGTCCATTTCGTCAGTTTGGTAGTAAAAAGAGGGCGAAAATAGCATTTGCCGACTGAAAATAGCATTTTGTTAGTAGAACGTAGAATATGCATGTGATTTTGACGAAAAGAATGTAAAATAACAATACACTAACTGAATGTCATTTATATTTTTTTTTTCTTTTTTAACACTTAGAACCGAAACAAACTGAATGATCAAGGGTTAAGTTTATGACGTTTTAAAAGTCGGGGACTTATATAGGTTAACTTCTACTATTTAAGAGGCGTTTGGTTCATAGATTAGAATCATGTGATTAAAATTATTTTTAATTTACGTGTATTTTTTGTGAGAGAAAACACTGTAGCGAATTATGAATCATAATTTAAAATATAGTTTGAATCTTCCAATCAAACATCATCTTAGTCTTGTATGCATGATTGAGCATTGCATGACCTTGATTCAAGTAGGGTTGTACAACAAAAATAGATAACCGAGCGGCACCGACAACAACCTACTGACACTGACTGAAGAAGCAACTGCCACATCAGCACCGACTGTTGGCGGTCGGTTAACCGAACTGAGAAAATTTCTTGGTTCGGTTGGCGGTTTCAGGTTGGAGTCGATCGGTTAACCGAACGGACTCTATCTGTTTAAAAAAAAATTAAAAACTATTTTTCCAGCTCAACTCAAGACTAGGCCCAGCCCAGACCATTAGGGTTTCCTTCCTATCCTCCATTTTCCCATTATGCCGCTTCCTATTCGAAATCAAAAAGAACAGAAGGAAAAAAAAAAAGGTCCCTCCGCTACCTAACTGCTCATCATCTTCTGCCCGTCGCCTCTGCTCCTCTCTGCCATCCACGGCCCCTTCGCTGGTCTCTCATCCTCCTTGTGGTCGTCTTCCCCTGCAGAGCTGCCGGCGTCTCTCCTCTCCTCTCCACTGCCTTCTTCTTCGGTGAATTGTCGTGGCCGACTGTTCTCCTCAGTCCTCCCTCCATAAACGTTGTCCAAGCTGTGTCGGTGACCGAACCAAACAAAACCAATGATTTTCGGCCACCGAACCGTCGGTTCATACGTTTCTCTTGGTCGGCTTCGGTTTTCATTTTCTCAAGAACCAATGATGTCGGTCGGTGACTGAATCGACAAAAATCGGCCAATGAACAGCCCTAGATTCAAGTACTTAGTTCAAAAGGACTTTTCACCGAGACTTTTCATAAAAATCATATCAATTGCATTCTTACTAATACTAGATTTTGGATTATCCTAAATAGTTTTTTTGATATTATTGATTTAATTTTTTAATTTGAGTTGATATTTAATTTTATATGAAAATTTTTATTGTAATAAATAAATTAAATGTGATTATTTAAAAACAAAATTTATTATATTAAAATTTAAATTGATAAAATAAACAAATTTTAAGTTTTTTTTTAAAATTTTATTCATTTTGTTAATTTAAATCACAATTCAAAATAATTTCTTTAACAAAAATTTAAATTTAATTTTTTTTATTAGAGTATTTTTTACAAACTTTTTCTTTTCTTTCTATCTCTCTTGGTTTATATTTGGGTTGTTTATGATAATAAATATTCTTGGCAAACTTGTTTTTCTCTTTCTATCTCTCTCTCTCGTTTATCTTTGAGTTGTTTATGATAATAGATATGCTTTGAAGACGATTGTTCATACGTTTTAAAGGTATTTTTGTTAAAATAGAATTAATTTCATTATATTATAAAAAAATCATATTTTACTCCAATCAAATAAAAGAAGGGACTTAGTTTTTTGTTTTTAATATCTTCTTATTCTATTTCATTCTCATTACTATTATCACTTCACTAATTCAATTAAACGCATCGATAGTGTTGTTGTTAAATAAAACAATAAAAGCTTGACATCAATTTATTTACTATATTTTAATTGAATGTGTCAACTAACTTATTACTTTGGCAAATAAAATACAGAGAGAAAGAGAAAAATAGATTAATACTTGAGATGAATTAAAATTAATAGATCAATAGTTTACATAAGTTAATAAATAGGTTAAATTATTATTTTGGTCCATAACTTATCTGATTATGAACCATAACTTGACAAATTATTCACAATTTTTGTCCATAACTTGTCTGGTTATGAACCAACTTGATAAGTTTGTCTATAACTTATCTGGTTATAAATCATAACTTGACAAGTTATGCCCTATTAATTTCTATAACTAAAAATTGACCTATATACTTTCTTAAGCTTTTCATATTAGCCTATTTTCTACTATTTCTGTAAAACATATTATAGCTAACCTAATTATCTCTGATCAATTTTAGTATGACACATATAATGCATGTTTTATTGTTTTTAATGGTTATACAAAGTAGGCAAAATTGACACAATCTGATTATGTAAATAATCTGAAGGTTCAATCAAAATTCTATCAATAGAGAATTTTTATATTCTACCATAAATTGGGGCAAAATATAATGTGACATTTTATCTGACTAATGTGACATCCACTAATAGAGAATGAAATTTTCACTATCTATAGACCAATTTAGGGAATTTGTGGTCCAACAAAATACGTATACCCACGAGCTCACAACCTGTTAAAGACAAGCACCCTTAGAGTACCAAGAGTGGGACCTTTTGTCCACGTGTCTAACATAAATAGTGTTTTAATTTAGGGCCCCATCTCCGTAAGCTTATAATTATAACTCCACCTACTTCACCTCCAATGTCTTATTATTGGATATCGGAAGCAGCAGTAGTGGGCTGTGGCCTGTGGGCAACGACACAACAACCTGGTCAAAGGGGCACTTTGTGGGGCCCTATGTCCCACGTGGCATGCCCACACGACTCTCAATGTGCAATTTACTTTAAATTTTTGTTGAGAATCTTTGTTCGTTTACTTAATAAATTTGTGTCATCACTTAAATTATAATTTATAATTTATTATAATATTTTTTTATAAAAATATATATAAATTAAAAATAATTTTAAATTATAATTTTAAATTTATAAACTACCTATTTACTATAACCACAATAATTGCTCAACCAATGGAGTATTTTTTTTACCATTAAATTATTTTTTAACAATTAAAAATGTAACAAAAATAATTTTTTACCGTATATTATAAAATTTTAATATGAATTTATATAAATTTAACTGTTAAAAAGGACGTTTGATTGGATGATTTAAACTATATAATTCGATTCATTTTTTATTTACGTAAATTTTTGTATGAGAAAAAATACTGTAACGAATCACGAATCATGATTCAAATCAAAAAACGAATCTCTCTGCCAAACATCCTCACTTAAAAAACAGCGCTCTGGAGTACTTTTAGGTTCACCTAAAGAATCCCATTTTTGTTATTATCACAACTTCCAGAAAGTGAAAAAAAAAAATCATTAAACTGGATTTGATAAATACCTTTGACGTCCACTAGGACAGTACAAAGATTACACACTCTTACAGAGATTCTGTTCTTTTTTTCTTTTTCTTTTTAGCGGGTAACAACAGTGAAAATCTCACCCAGAAAGAGAGGGAAACAAAAAACCCTAGCATTTTCCCGCTTAATTTTCTCATTTTGCTGACACTCAGTGTACTGTTCAGTAAGTGGAAAAGAGAGAAAAGAAAATAAAAGAAATATTTTGTAAAAAAAGAAAATTTTAGTTTATTTGATAAAGAGAAAATGAGAAAGAAAGTAAAATAAAAATTTATAGAATTTATTAATTTTTAATCTTTTTAATTTTAAGAAGAAAAGAAAAGGAAAAAAATCTAACAAAAAAAATAAGATATAAAATAATAATTTTAACTTTCACCATTCATCATATTTTTATTTGTATTAAAGTATTTTTTTTATAAAATATTTTAAATTTAACATTTTATTTTTATTTTTTTTACTAAACAATATAAAAAAACTATTTTCCTTTTTCACTTAAATATTTTATTTCTTTTTATTTTTTATTTTTATCTATCCTATCAAATATAGCATAAATCGCTCAAAATAATGAATAAAAATTTAGGTTGCCCTTAAAAAAAAATTAATGGTTGTTTTTTTACATTTTTGAGTTAGAATGACTTGAATGATAATTTTGAGTTGAATTTAAGTTATAATTTGAGTTGAAGTTATAACTTGAGTTTGTGTTTGGATGTGCACATTTGAGTTATGATTTGAATTGAGAATCTTTTTGAGTTTGAGTGAGTCAAAACAAATTTATATTTAAATAGTATTTTAATAAAAACTAAATAGTGATGAAAAATTTTAATAGGGTATATGAATGGAGTTTTATTCGTCTTTTCATTGTGAATGCAGTGAAAAAAATCATCTCAGTCAGAATTAAAATTAAAAAGTTATAACATTTTTAAGAAAAAAAGACTGTTCATTAACTTGAGTTCGAGTTTATGAAAGCGAGTTGAATGAGAAACTTGAACTCGAATTTAGTTCCAAATCTGAGTTCAAACTCAAATTTTACAAAAGAATATAAATTTAAATAAAATTATAACTCGAATTTTGTTACAAAAGAACAACTCCTTAACCATCCAAGTAAAAAAATAAAAAAATAAAAAAAAAAAAAACTCTTTTTTGGTGTCTTGTTTAGAGGATGTTTGATAAAAAAATTCGTTCCTTAATTCAAATTATGATTTATGATTCGTTACAATATTTTTTTTTAAAAAAATTTACATAAATAAAAAATAATTCAAATCACATTGTTTTAACTCCTCCAACCAAACATCGGTGTCCTCAACCTCATATGAAAAGTGACGAAGTCGTTACCTTTTTAGGCTGTTTGTTTTCACTTGCACTATTAAAGAAAGAAGAGCAGGGTTTTGGACATTTTCTTATTTCATTCTTTTTTTCTTACAAAGTTAACTTTTTATTTAAGTAGGACTTTATGGTGAAAAGAACATCTTTTGAGTTTTGGGTCCCTTGTCTTGAATGCATTCTGGTTGTTGATTTTGCAAACCCACTTCCCGTTCATATTCCTTCATGGGTTTGTTTGTTGTAGATGAATGAGTACAGAGCTTTCTCTCTCTAGAACAATGTGGGTGAGGTAATGGTGCTTTTTAGCTCATTCTATAAATCTTTTAGCACTTTCAGATTCTTCAAGCCTCTCTAAAGAAATCCCTTCAAGCGTCTGTCTTTCGTGCTCTTGAGTAGTTTTATTTACTAAAAATAGGATCTTGGTTAAATATGCTGCTACTTTTGTGCTTAGATCTCTAGAGGTGGCTAAGTTTTTGTGTTCTTCATTGCATTTCAATTCATTTACTGCTTTCTCCTTTCTGGTGTCAGTTGAAAAATAGTTTCTTTGGGAGAAAAATGGTCCCTTGAAGCTGCTCTATACTAAAAAAGGTTTAGACTTTATCTTTGTTTGGTGGCAAAAGTGCTATTTTGATTAATAACTCTTAGTGGGGGGTTGTCGTTGTTTGCATTTGTGCTTCAAAAAATCATTGTTTTGCTTGCTAAAGCGGCTACTTTCACCAGGCCATTGCACAAGATATCATTATTTTGTCTTTTGTTTCACTGTGTGTAAGTCTTGCAAGTTGAGTTCCGCTTCTTTCAATTTGTGGGCTTGAAGTTTGAACACGCCATTTCTGTCTCCACATTGAGCTTTCTTTCTTTCTTTCTTTCTTTCTTTCATTTGGTGTGAAGAAGAAGATAATAGTAAAGATTAGCATGAAGTTCTGTGGGGTTCTTTTGCTGTCCCTACTTTTTCTCTCTGCCATGGGGCAGCTTCCTTCTCAAGACATTTTGGCTCTGCTTGAATTCAGAAAGGGTATCAAGCGTGATCCCACTGGTTATGTCCTAGATTCTTGGAATGATGAGTCCATAGACTTTGATGGCTGCCCATCTTCTTGGAATGGAATTGTCTGCAATGGTGGAAATGTCGCCGGCGTTGTTCTCGATAACTTGGGCCTCTCTGCAGATGCAGACCTGAGTGTATTTGCCAATCTCACAAAACTTGTCAAACTTTCCATGGCCAACAACTCAATCACTGGTAGAATTCCAGACAACATTGCTGACTTCAAGAGCCTTGAATATCTTGATCTCTCCGGTAATCTTTTCTCCTCGTCCTTACCGGCTGGGATTGGCAGATTAGGGAGCTTAAGGAACCTCTCATTGGCCGGTAACAACTTCTCCGGCTCGATCCCGGATTCGATTTCTGGGCTGTCCTCAATCCAGTCTCTGGACTTGAGTGGCAATTCCTTCTCCGGGCCGCTGCCGGATTTGCTGGCAAGGCTGTCGAACTTGGTCTATCTCAACCTGTCATTGAATGCCTTCACCAAGAGATTCCCAAAAGGGTTTGAGCTGATTTCGGGTCTTGATGTAATTGACTTACATGGGAATATGCTTGAGGGTCATCTAGATTTGGAGTTCTTTCTCCTAGCAACTGCCACTCACGTCGATTTCAGCGGCAATGTGCTTACTAGTTTGCAGCAAGAGAAGTTTTTATCTCGCATTTCGGATACTATCAAGTACTTGAATCTTAGCCATAACCGGCTTACTGGCTCACTTGTCAGTGGTGGTGAGCTCTCAATATTTGAAAACTTGAAGGTGTTGGACCTTAGCTACAATCAGCTTTCCGGTGAGCTCCCAGGATTTAGTTTTACCTATGATCTCCAAGTCCTCAAGCTCAGTAACAACAGATTCACGGGAGATATTCCTAACAACCTGTTGAAAGGAGATTCTCTGGTTTTGAATGAACTGGATTTGAGTGGCAACAATCTCTCAGGTACTTTAATTATTAACTACTTTAGGTCCTCCTATAGTTACAAAAACAATATTAGTATTTTCTATGAACTGATCTTTTTTGTGGCTTCCATTACAAAAATTAATCTTGCTTAGTCTGGCATATTAGATGTCTCACATTTACATTCATTTTTCAGGACCGATAAGTATGATCACATCGACAAACTTGCGTGTCCTCAATCTTTCATCGAATGTGCTTACCGGGGAGCTACCATTGTTGACTGGAAGCTGTGCTGTACTTGATCTATCAAACAATGAATTTGAAGGAAATTTAACCAGGATGTTTAAGTGGGGAAACATTGAATTTCTCGATTTGAGCCAGAATCGTTTGACAGGGCCCTTCCCTGAGGTAACCCCACAGTTTTTGCGTTTGAATTATCTCAATCTCTCACATAATTCACTTAGTAGTTCCCTGCCAAGTGTTATAACTCAGTATCCGAAGCTTAGAGTCCTTGATCTCAGTTCCAACCAGTTGGATGGACTGGTTCTATCTGATTTGCTAACAATGCCAACCTTGCAAGAGCTCCACCTAGACCATAATTTGCTTACTGGCTCTATCAAGCTGTCGTCTCCTTCACCGAGTGATTCTAATCTTCACATTCTCGATCTTTCGCATAACCGGCTTAGTGGCTATTTTCCTGATCAACTCAGTTCAACTCCAATTCAAGTGCTTAATATTGCAGGAAATAACTTTTCTGGTTCTCTGCCAACTTCGGTAACCGACATGAGCTCCCTAAGCTCATTAGACATATCAGAGAATCATTTTACAGGTCCTCTGCCAAACAATTTACCTAATAGCCTTGGAAGCTTTAATGCTTCTTACAATGATTTTACCGGTGTGGTCCCAGAGATCCTGAGAAAGTTTCCTAGATCCTCTTTCTTTCCGGGAAATTCTGGTTTGCGTTTTCCAGGCGGGTCTCCTGAACCAGGAAGTTCTTCAGCTGAAAAGTCCAAGAGAAAGCCACTCAATACTACTGTTAAAGTAATAATAATAGTATCTTGTGTTGTTGCCCTGGTCATTCTTCTTTTGCTTGCTATCTTCATACATTACATCTGCATATCAAGACGACTACCCTCAGAGCACACCATGAAAAAAGACACCAGCCGACATGCTCAGCCAAACCCATCTAGGATTCGAGGAACAGACACCAGCAGTGCTTTGACTGTTTCAGCCGAGGATCTTGTCGCATCACGAAAAGGATCCTTGTCCGAAATTATTAGCTCTGATGAGAAGGTGGCAGCTATTACTGGCTTTTCCCCCTCAAAAAGCAGCCATACGTCTTGGTCACCGGAGTCTGGAGATTTGCTCACCGCTGAAAGCCTTGCGAAATTGGATGTTCGGTCACCAGATAGGTTGGTGGGTGAGCTTTATTTTCTCGATGATACAATCACATTGACGCCTGAAGAGTTGTCGAGGGCGCCCGCGGAAGTATTGGGGAGAAGCAGCCATGGGACATCTTATAGGGCAACTTTGGACAATGGATTGTTCTTGACAGTCAAGTGGCTGCGAGAAGGGGTCGCAAAACAGAAAAAGGAGTTTGCCAAGGAAGCTAAGAAATTTGCAAACATCAGGCATCCAAATGTGGTGGGTCTGAAAGGGTACTACTGGGGTCCCACACAGCATGAGAAGCTTATTCTTTCGGATTACATTGCGCCGGGAAGTCTTGCAAGCTTTCTTTATGGTAACTTTTGCCTCCATTTCAACTTATTAATCTTGATAGAAACCGTGAAAAATGCATGAACTAAGAGAGTGCCTTTTCTGAAAAAAAAAAATGGCAAGCTAATACTTCAAAGCTTGAAGAATGATTAATACTATGATGAAGTTGCTTGGATGCATAACTTTTGGTGTCACAATGCAATATCATAATCCCCGTCATAATCACTATCAATATCATAAGTTGTCATAATCACTATCAATATCTAAGTTATGGATGCATAACCTCCTAGAAATGCACTATCGTAATCACTTTCTATGTTTTTCTTGATAATGCTATTGTTGTTCATTTCATCCTCATTCAGATTATTCTCAATATTGCCAAATAGTATAAGCAATACATAAGTTATTTACTTTGGTGAACTGGGAACTAATCTACATGCATACGCGTGTGCACAAAGTTGAGGCACTCTTCCGCGCTATCTCCAAGTTCTTTAGCTAGACCCTTAGCAGACAAACTAGACAACACTCAAAAAGTTTCTGTTTCATAGACGCCAATGTCTCTGTCATGCTTTTTGAAGAATTTTAGAAACTTTGTTTTACTAGTCAATGTCCCATATTAGGATCTGTTAATTGCTCTTTTGATCATTGCCGTTCTCAAATTGGAGATTGAATAATATCTTGTACCTATGAAAGCTTTTCATTTGCTTCTCTTCCTAGATGTTTGCCTGTGTTTGAATGATCACATTCTGATTTCTGATGATTCTATGTAAACTATTTGTTTAGATCGACCGGGAAGAAAAGGCCCGCCGTTACCTTGGGCTCAAAGGCTCAAAATCGCTGTTGATGTTGCCCGTGGTCTGAACTATCTCCATTTTGACCGAGCCATTCCACATGGTAACCTTAAATCGGCAAATGTACTGTTAGAGGGGCCTGATCTCAATGCCCGCGTTGCCGACTACAGCCTCCACCGCCTAATGACCCAAGCAGGCACCATTGAACAGATTCTCGACGCCGGTGTCTTAGGTTATTGTGCCCCGGAGTTGGCTTCTTCAAAGAAGCCACTGCCATCCTTCAAGTCTGATGTTTATGCCTTTGGAGTTATACTCTTGGAGCTTTTAAGTGGAAGGTCTGCTGGTGATGTGATTTCGGGTGAGGAAGGAGGCGTCAATTTGACAGACTGGGTGCGGGTGAGGGTATCGGAGGGTCGTGGCTCGGACTGTTTCGATGCTGCATTTGCCTCAGAAATGGGGAACCCTGCAGTAGAGAAGGGAATGAAGGAGGTCCTCGGAATCGCTTTACGATGTATACGATCTGTTTCAGAGAGGCCAGGTATCAAGACTATATACGAGGATCTTTCGTCGATCTAGTTCTTTTTTTTTTCTTTTGAATCTAACTTATTTGGAACCTTTTTTTTTTTCTTCCTTTTTTGTGGGGACTTAATATCTCATTGGCCTCCCTTTTGTGTCCTTTTTCTCTTTGTAATTTCTGATGTAATCAGCCAAAGCGTATTAACCATTTCTGTAAAAAGGATATGCTTGGATGCAAATGTTTCAATTATTTACGAGACATGCCCATTGCTTTCCAAGTTCATTAGATGAAGAATACACGATGAAATGCCAAGAAAATGGTTTGGAAAAAAAAAAAAAAAAAAGATGATTTGTGTTTGGTCTACTTCATTGAAGGCATGATATTGTTCTATCACAAAATGCCATCGCTCATTTGAGTTAGTTCATAACATAGAGTTAAGAGTTAACTAAGGGTCTGTTCACTTCGAGTTTTTAATTTGAGTTGAGATGTGATTTTATATAAGAGTTTTTTACTATAATAAAATAATAATAAAAGCAGAGATAACGATGCAATGACGTGGATTATGAAACAAAGCCATGCAAATCCTTATCTTGATTTAAATCTCTTGCAATAGACAAAATCAACTGACGTGTATAAGAGTATATCAAACTGCAATGTTGATAAGATAGATCCTCTTACTCTTTTTTTTCTTTTTTTTTTATCATTCAGGTAAACAAACAATATTATTAAGATTAACGGACAATTCATTAAAGTAAACAAAACAATTAATTCATTGATTCAGGTCGAAAGGTTATTTCCTTGTGAACTTACATACACGTGGGTGAAACTAAGAAATACTACATAAATATTAAATTAAAAACTTATATTTTTGATTGAGAAACCACAACTTATTATCTGATTTCAAGTTGTACTCTTTACAAGCTCTGCATGCAAACTCAACATTAAAATGAAAAACCTTTAATAAACTTTCCCCAAGTAAATACTAAATTTGGAAAAAAAAAATGTAATTCTCTAGTAAGACTTCTCTATCAATATATTCAGATTTTTTTAAGTTGAATCTGATTAAAGTCATATTAAATTAAAAATAATATGCATAATAAATAGATACATAACGATTAAAAACATGGTTTTTTTAATAATTCAGTCTTTCATTATCAACCTAAAATATCTATATAAAAAAAAAAAAAGAGTAACAAGTAAACCTTCCAAGTACAAACTTTAAGTTCAAGACCTCCCTTAAAAAATAACAGTGCCAAATTAAGAATAATAATTTAGCTTTTAAAACCTAAATTAACACGATTGGACAAAGTAATTGAAGAACATATATATATACACGTGTGTGTGTGTGAGAGATTTTTATCTGTTGGCGTTCCCACTTAGCCACAGACGAGGACGTTTAGTTCATGGATTAGAATTATAAGATTAGAATTATTTTTAATTTATGTATATTTTTTATGAGAAAAAATTTTGTAATAAATTTTAAATCATGATTCAAATCAGGACACGACTCTCCTGATCAAATAACCCAGTTCGAGGTTGGTTTTTCTTCTCCTTCAAGTGCTATCACAAACTCAACCGTTGCCAACGAGAGAGGAGAGAGAGAGAGAGAGAGATTCTCTATTTTTTTTTTTAGTACTCTGTCGCCTTGTTTACAACGGTCCGGGTCTTTGTTTACTTGTAGAGAGAGAGAGATCAATTCATGGCGATTTGTAGAGTAAGATCAACGCTTTCCCTTTCTAAATATACTTCTGCAGTTAAATCTATTCCATCTCGATTATCCTCAGAACGCATATTTTCATCACAAGTCCCTTCCCAGTTCGAGGTTGGTTTTTCTTCTCCTTCAGTCTTGTTCCCACTGTATTTTTGCTAATTCTCAACTGGGTGCGTTGAGAAATTGATGGGATAGTATATGAAGGAACTTTAGTCAGTCTCTCTCTCTCTCTCTTCTTGCTTTCTTTCTTTTGTTTGCTTTATACTGAATTGGCTAAAACAATGGCACTTTGAGATTTTCACATGCCCATTTTATGCAAAGTTTGGGTTATAGGAATGATTCCTTATTTTCCTCTTGTAGTGTGTGAGTTTAAGTAGAATGAGAAGGACACCATCTTCGGTATCTTTTTAAGCAAGTTTATGTAAAAACATAAAGTTGCCATTTTTTATGATCCAGTACAGTTTTTCTTCTTGATTATATTTGTAAAATAGATTGAATTTTTTTCCTTTGTGTAGTTGAGCAGGGCTCCACAAAGCATTACTCAAGTTCTGTTACATTTTCTTTTCTTTCTTCCATTCTTTTTTTTTTTCTTATTTTTAATAATTTAGTATACTATTGCATTTACAGAATTGGATATGGAATTCTAATTCTCTGAGCATCTATTGATTGAGTCGGACCTCCAATTGCATGTTTCCAATAATCTTGCTTTTACAGTGAAATTATTAGTTTGGATCTAGAGTAACTAAAGCATTTTGATCGACGTCTTATACTCATTTCCATGACTATGATGTATCAAAAACTTAGCTTTGTTATGATCTGGTGTTGTGTGATAATATTCTGTGTCTGTTATTTGACACATCAACTATTCACCATTGGCAAGTTACCTCTAAATTTGGACGGAATTGTTTATTAATTCAACAACGTGTTGCATAGTGTCCTGTCCCCGACCAATCACGGCTGTTAAAATTAGGACGGAATTGGCCTTGCACACGTTACATGGGCTCATTTATAATAAGAGACTAAAATTTCAGATGATGACCAGAGCATGTCATGTCGCGTGAATGTGAGCGTTTCCTTCCAAATTTGAACATCCTTCGTCGTCTTGTGGCTAAGACGACTACTTCACAACATCTTATTAAGTTCGGGGTAATTTGCCACAATTAAGAGTTCATAGGGAAACTTACCATTTCAGTCAAAGTTCAGGGTGTGAAAGCACCAAAAACCTTTATGGATATGTTTATCATTCCAAAGCATTCTTTGTGTGGCATAATGAATATTTCTTATTTTATTGATGCGCTGCAGAGAATTGGATTTATAGGACTTGGAAATATGGGATCCAGAATGGCAAATAATCTAATAAAGGCTGGATACAAAGTAGCCGTGCATGACATGTAATGTACTTCAATTTCACTCAAGTAATGTTGATTTTTCACTTAAGTAATTCTCTTTTCATATTTTCTGTTCCACTGTTTATTAGCAAAAATATAGATGACTGCATTAAAAATGAAAATCATACATTTGAGTGATGAAGACCTTTATTTGATTATAGCAAGTTCATCGTTCATGAAATTGTTCTAAACTATTAGTAACACTCTCTCCCCTTTTCAGAAATTATAATGTCTTGAAGAAGTTCTCTGACATTGGAGTTGACACAAAGGAAACTCCTTATGAGATTGCTGAGGCTAGTGATGTTGTAATTACAATGCTACCTTCTTCATCCCATGTGAGTTTAATGATTCCATATGCTTTCTTTTTTCTTCTTCTTCGTTGTTGTTATTATTGTTTTCTTTTCCCTTTTTTTTTTTTAATATTTATGTTTTATGTTTTTCTCCTTTTTTGTCTACATAAAGTCATTATTCCATGTGCAGTCAGGAGGGTGACATGGATATGCATAACTAGGTAGTTAAGCTACCAAGCTTTATCTACTCATAGAATTCTTTTATCATATTCTTCTTGCGTATATTGATCAGAGGGCACCTGAAATAAATTACTTTCAATAGCTTAAGTACTAGACTTTCAAGTATGGAACTAACATATCATCCTCATAGTTTAGCTAACTCAAGAGGAATGAACTTTTTTGTCCAGGTAAATGATGTTTACACAGGGCCTAATGGTTTGCTTCATGGTGGGAATGTGTTGCAACCGTGGCTATTAATAGATTCGTCAACAATTGATCCTCAAACATCAAGGAAGCTTTCTCTCACTGTGTCTAATTGCATGTTAAAGGAGAAAAAGGGTCATTGGGAGACTCCAGTAATGTTGGATGCTCCTGTATCTGGAGGTGTTCTTGCTGCAGAAGCAGCTACACTTACTTTCATGGTAGCATTCATTATCTTTCCATTATGGGTTTCTCTTTAAAAAGGAATATCAGTAGTTTGCTATGCAAAAATTTAAAAATATTTTATTTGATTGCTCGCACTAGTTTTGCTCTGTATATATATGAAAAGATACACCATTTAAAACTGTTTGAATCTGGGAGAAATCTGCATGTGTGCTTAAGTTGTCTCGTTGTTTTACCGAAATAATTTCCCAACATTGAGCAAAATCTTAGCCACTTTCCAAACACTGTAAAGGTCCCTTTTCCAAAGCTTTCTATCTTCCTGAGAGTTTGATCTTAAATGTGTGATATTTAGACTTGTATTAACTCTCTATTTCTAAGATAAGAATTTATGGAACTATGACAGTTTTATGGAGGTCTGTTTTATACTAGGCTTACCTTAGCGTTGAATAAATTATGAAGATGGAAGAAATACATTTATGATAATAAAGAGTGTGCTTGTGTGAAATTCGTGGCCCCAAATGCCCTTTCATGATATTCACTTATGATGGAAAGATGGTTTGCATACAGGTTGGAGGCTCCGAGGAAGCTTATATGGCAGCAAAATCCTTATTCCTTTCAATGGGTAAGAATACGGTTTACTGTGGTGGAGCGGGAAATGGTTCGGTAAGTTGTCATACATGAACCTACTACATTTTGCATAGGTTCTTTCTTCTATTCACAATTTTGTTGTGTGTTCATTTAGTTCATGTTTAAGATGACTGATTGCACTGGCAAAATGACAAACATGTCCAGATTATTTTACTCATCTTCAGTCATCATATGAGCATCAGTCATGATATGAGCATACTCTGCAGTTCCTTGTGTTAAAGTATGAAACTATTGTTGGCCTACCTCCTAATAGCTTAAGCTTTTGGGATGGATTGGTAAACTAACATGGTATCAGAGAGGGAGGCCCCAAGTTCAAACCCCTGTAATTGCACCTCTTTATTCCCATTTAAATTATTATCACGTGTTGGGTCTTTAATATATTTCGGGCTTATTATTAAATATTCACGTGTTGGGCTTTCTAAATAATTTACTCACACGATTGCCCATTGTCCAGCCCACACGTGAGGGAGAGTGTTAAAGTATAAAACTATTGTTGGCCTACCTCCTAATAGCTTAAGCTTTTGGAATGGATTGGTAAACTAACACCTTGTATAAGGTTCCCATACTCCATTGTACTAGTGCTCAGATTTTTTTTTTTGGTGGATATTTTTGTATCTTTTTTTTGTTTTTAATGATAGGATATTTTTGTTTCGGATTCTTAGTTTATCAGAGTTAGTTGTGTGATATTTGATAACTATATCATGGTTTACTATTTAGGCAGCAAAGATCTGCAATAATTTGGCAATGGCTATTAGTATGCTTGGAGTCTCAGAAGCCCTCACTCTTGGTCAGTCTATAGGTATTGCTGCCAGCACTCTAACAAAAGTATTCAATTCTTCGAGTGCTCGGTGTTGGAGTAGGTACGGCTATTATTATTAAAAAAGAACAATTTAATTCTTGCGAGTCTATGAAAGAAGCACTTAAATCTCAAGTCCACTTAAAGTCAAAACTGTAGAAGTTTGCGGTGAAAATATCGAGTATAATATAAAATGGTGACTGTAAAAGGGAAAATATATGAATCACTTCAATGCTGTAGTATCTTTCTTGCATGTTCTCAGAGCATTTTCAGTTTTTGGTTCTTGAAAAACGTGAAAAACGGAAACGGAAACGAAAACGCAATCAAACAGGCCCGAAAGATTTCTTGGTCGTTACATTTTGAGTTTCTTTATATAAATATGTTCCTCTCAAGACTTAAACCAATTTCTCCTTTCTCCATTCTAAGTTCTCTATACCATGAGGACCACTTTCGATTTAGTCTTTCTCCTTTCCTCAATCACATTAAAATTACTTGTAAAGGACATACTGTTTAATGATATCCAAATAGAAGGGAACCTTGTTTTAGAAATGGACATGAAAATTTTCTTTTTCGCCTAATTTTAAAATAATGCATATAAAAGTAGCCTCGTTTTTTAGAACCACATAGAAAGGACCCTGTTACATTTATTCATAATTTTGTGCATCTGCTTCAACTTTGGTTTAACCTTATGCAGATTTTTTGCTTTAAACCTTGGATGACAGTGATACTTATAATCCCGTTCCTGGTGTGATGGAAGGAGTGCCCTCTTCGAGGAATTACAACGGTGGCTTTGCGTCTAAGCTTATGGTAAGTTGTTTAAGATTGTTTCTCAAAGAGATATTGTTATCCTGCTAAAAACTTATTCATAATGTCATATTGCTCCCAAGGATTTACCAGGTCTTAAACTGATGTTTCATTTGCAAAAAAAATCACTGGAATATAGCACCTTATCTGGCAAAAAGTACTTACTTTTTTGGACATTTTTTTCTTCTATTTGTAGTAATATTGCTTTATGACTGACCTGGAATTCAGATTTTTTACTTGTCATCTTATAGTTTTTGGATTGGTGGTGTTGACAACAGCCCTGAATAAGCATATTCTGCACATTGCACTTTGCAGGCTAAAGATCTAAACCTTGCTGCAACTTCAGCCAATGAGATTGGCCTTACATGCCCAATGACATCCCAAGCACAGAAAATGCAAGTCCGTTTGACCATTCGACTCTACCTTTGAGTTCTTCGCACTTATAGTCAACAGTGAAATTCATAGTCCTGTCTTTCACTTGATATTACTATTGGTTTGCTATTGAATAATAAAGTGAAGCTAAATAGTGTGTGTATACATATATATATGTTCTTTTTTCTATTTGGTCTAAGATAACCTTGTTGTGTAAGTTAAATGGATGTCTCCTAGGAGAGTTACTTTGACAAGAACCTAAATAATTGGAGATATGTTCATGTTCGGAACCAATCGTGCTCATTTATAGCCTTACTTGTTGAGGCCTAGTACTTTTCGCTGTAGTATCATCAGAGATTGGAGACGTACAAAAGTTATGTAATAGGATGTCACTCAATTCATAACATGACATTATTTAACTCTATCTTATTCCTGATGAACTGATTGTTTTCTGCAGATATACAGACGTTTGCCAAGATGGTCATGAAGGCAAGGACTTCTCCTGTGTTTTCCGGCATTATTACGCAGGAAAAGATGAGATTTAGTTTGCAGAAATACTTTACGCTGGAAAAGATGAGATTTAGTTTGCAGAAATACTCGTCATAAGTTGCAGAAGATGTCCTGTTGAGAAACTAGAGTTACTTAACGGGCATCTTCTATTATTTTGGTTCAAAAGTTTGGCATCATCCATGACCCGAAAAATGTCTTTGGCTCTAGTGACCGCAGTATACCTTTATAAATAATAGAATAACTGTATCAACTTACAGCTTCCATGGGTTGAAGATTGGGAATTAAATTGTCATTTATGTTCAAGATTTTTGTTATTTTTTCTTTCTTTGGATGTTATACTTACACGTTGTTAGTCTCAACTTTTAATTTATCAAAATACAAAAAATCAAAAATTAAATGTGTAAACTGTAAACGGCACTGTCTGGTAGCTAGTTTAACAGAGCATGGAATTCGTTCCTGAAAGCATTTCCTCCTTTCACAAAGTCACGGACAACATTCCATCAAAAGGTACAAATTTGCATCAATCTTTATATCCAAAGGTGTTGCCTAGAAATACCAGAAAAGAAATGCACAAACGAACTTGCAAGAAAGAAAACGGAAGGTTATAACATTATCTCTACATTGCCATTGAGAGAACACGATCACCATCTACATGCATCCATGTATGGAACCAAAAAACGACGGGATGTTTGCCTTCTAAAAGGCAGACTACTGAATCCAAAACTGCTTACTAGAAACAAAGAAACTTCGAAATGCAACAGCTTCACTCATAGCCTATTACAAGTTAAATACAAAACATGAGGCAGAATACAAGATAACGTTCACCCAGATTGCTTCCGTCCTCCTCTGCCTGAAAAACGACCACCTCCTCGACGGTATGGTCCTCTTCCATGACTGGAAGCACCCAGATTGAATTGCTGAGATGCCTCATTATTTAATGGAATGCCTCCAGATTGTGGCACTGGCAAGTTAGTGTTCTGTCCCATGGGTAAACCATTAGGAACAACTCCCTGTTCTCCAACATTTAAGGTTGGCTGAGAAGGTTGGCCTTGTAAACCAATCCCAAATGCCACTGGGTTGAAGGCATTTGGACCCACAAGGCCTTGCGGAAATGTGGATCCTGGTAAAGCATTTGATTGTGCACCTGGAAACACGGAAGGATAAAGTAATCCCTGGCGAGGATTGACCTGTCGAAAAGGCATCATATTCGGAAAAGGCATCTGAAAGGGATAATGCTGAGAGTTCTGTGAAAGCCAAGGCACGCCAGTCGGTGGAAAGCCACTAGGAAACAGAGCACCTTGTGGCTGTTGAAATGGCAGTCCGCTTGCCCAAACTCCATTTGAAGGTGCATTAAAACAAGCTGTCTGTGCAATGGGTGGAAGTGGTTGAACTAAACCTGTCCCACTAACCAAACCTTGTCCAACTGGGAAACAGTTTGAACCATTACCGTGGTCAACCATTGCTGGGAGAGGTGAGAAATGACGCTGGTGTTGATTGGGTGGAGCAGGACCTAGATCTGTTGGTGTTTCCTGGGGTGACTGTTTACCCTTTTTCCATGGCTCAACTCGGTTTTTGACATTCTTTTTATTGTTCTTATTATTTCTAGGTTTCGGGTTGTTTCCGCCTCTTTTTGTCATTTTTTGCATTCTCTTGTACTCGGCCTCTTTCTCATCATCAGAAAACTCTTCTTCATAAGACAACTCTTCATCATTTTCCCCAGATGCATCATAACCTTTCTTGTAAACATTGTTGTTATTGAGCACGTGGCTAGCAAACTCTGGAACAAAAGAGATTGAAGTGCCTGTATGTATCCCAGAAGGGACTTCACTTTCGGAATTGTATCTCACTATATAGTATGGATGTTTGACAGGCCCAAAGATTTCATCAACCAACCCTAATGGAGATTTGCCTTCGGTTATCCATAGAATAGAACCATCGTTTAGAGGGTTATGCTTCTCAACCCCTTCTACAATGACTTGAGTACCAATGACCTGTAAGATTGCAAATGGATAGTTCCAAATTTATGCAACCAACAAAATAAGACAAGTTATCTGCAACAGCTCAAAAGCCAACGGGTCATAAAGTAACAAACATAATGGTATTATTGGTGTTCATGCTGTAACTTTAGGTTTTCTTCTTCCTATTTGGAGAATCTATGCTTATGGATTTTCTTGAGCTTACCGATAAAACAACTCCCACAGGCAACATCTGATGATGTGGTAGCAAGGTAGCTTCCACGGAAGGAACTGGAGGGAGATGCTACAAATTGCAACACAAACACGATAAATAAAAATAAAAATGCAACAAAGTGTATTCTTGCATAAGAAATAGAATCATAGAATGGGTGGGTTCAACAAATATCCATGGATTTAGTTGCCTTAGCCCTTAGGGAAAAAAAGGATACCATAAACTTTTATTGATAAATTGTATTCTTACAATTTGGACTTTTGGTATACAAAAAGTAGCTGTCATCATTAATAAGAGGTAAAAGAAAGAAAAAAAAAAAAAACAAACAAATAAATAACAAGTCAATTAACATCCAAAGTGGCAAAGACGATCTGGACAAAACAAATCATCAAGCTCAAACTTAGATCTTGGACAAGCTAAAACCTGAGCTCATAACACCCAATACTCTTATTACCAAACACTTCACAATATCCCTTTGTGATGGAATGAAGTATTAAATAAACACATAAATCTTTTAAATATACGAAGGCAGTGCACATTAAAGTTCTGCAATAAATCATAATTTATCACACTGGTAATTTTTTAATTCATACAACTCTAAACTTGAAACACAAGATGTGTAATTTTACAATCCCCATAAACAAATCATCTAGAATTACAAATTAAAAAAGAATTTTTCTTTACCTTAAACTCATTCTTGGATGTAATGGGTCCATTCATAGCACCACCACCATCCTCTTCATCATCAGCAACATCAATATCACTCCAACCAACCATTGCCTCTACATCACCGTTGTCGTCATCATCATCATTGGTCAGGCTTGCTACGTCCCGTGGATTGACATCCCTTATTTCACCTTCTTCTACCTCACCTGTCTCATTTAACTTTCTCCTAACATCCACCTTCATCTCCTCCTCCTCGTCCTCTTCATCCTCTTCCACATCATCATCACTAGAGCTAGAACTAGAAGAAGATGACGACGATGATGAAGACGTACTTGCACGCTCAGACTCTGAAATGTCACTCCCATCCTCATCGATCACAGTTTCACATTTTACACTATTCCCATCTGTTGCTTCACACTTTGTGCTTGTCTCATCCGTACCAACTAATTTTCCGGACTCGCAAACCAAACTAACCTTCCCAATCTCATCCTCAATTGAACAACTTGCATTCTCTAACATCTCACATCCCCCTTCTTCCAACTTCACAACAGAATCGGATCCAATATCAATTGGTCCAGACACATCAACAATTGGCATAAACCCAATTTCCATCGAGGCTGACCCATGACTTAAATGTTCTTGAACTCCAGTTTTGCAACAAGAATCTGCTTCATTAACACCAATATTAACCTTTTCCCTATCGGCCATATCCGCGTTTGTGTTATTATCAAACCAATCCTTTATCGCTTCGAAATCAAGGAATGAATCAGTAAATGACATATCAGTGGCCGCACGCTATAAAACAGGGACCACCAGTGCAAAATACTCCGGTTGTATATGATCCCTTCCCGAAAGTGCCTGAAAGAAACTAAAAATAAGTCTAAATTCAGCTTCAATGTATTTTAAAAAAATCTAATTCAAACTGAAAAACTACAACAGACTGACAGAGTGAACATATCATAAAAAAAAATTTATCTCATTATAATTTATTTTACAATTCAAATGATTCTCTTTTCTCTTGAATAGCAATAAGATGGACTTGAAGTATATAAGCTAAGCAAGCGTGAGAAAATTTTTTCCGAACTTTTTTTTTTTTTTTTTGTCAGTTACATATTTCCTGTATCAAATTCAATGACCGAATTTGCACAATATTTGAATGAGCTGGGCATCGCAAATCTCAAAAGAATCAAAAGTCCAATAAAAAGATTAACCCAAATTTGAAGTCCAGTTAAAGCCATTTAATTTACTTAGAAGCTATCAATTTGTCGCCTTAGAAAACAAAGGAAAAGCAAGAGAATGAAATGCAAAATACCAATATCAGAAGTTACTCACAAGTAGCAAGAAAATAGAAACTAAAAGTCACGAGTTACTTACGAGGGTTTCTTTGGTTGTCACTCACAGTGTGGTGAGACGACGGAGAGAGAGAGAATGAGGCGGACCGTCGAGACGAGGGTTTTCTTTGGGTTTTAGTTTGCTTGTTGTCCTTTTTTTTTCTTTTTTTTTTCTTTTTTTTTCAGGGAATTGCGCATGGTTCTTAATATATTTAGGCCCCTTTTTTGATGATTTGAGTTTAGAATTTGAGTTTTGTTACAGTAAAAAAATTTTAGAAACAGTCACATTTAATTTTTTTGTTACAGTAAAAAGCTCTCACATAACATAACATCTCAACTCGAATTAACGAACCGAACGGGTCCTGAGTACGTTTAGTTCGTTGATTCAAATTTTTAATTTAAGTTGAGATGTAATTTTATGTGAGAATTTTTTACTGTAATAAAAGAGAGAGAGTGAGGCGGACCGTCGAGACGAGGGTTTTCTTTGGGTTTTAGTTTGTTTGTTGTCCTTTTTTTCTTTTTCTTTTTTTTAGAGGGAATTGCACATATGGTTCTTAATCTATTTAGAGTCCGTTTAGTTCGTTGATTCAAATATTTAATTTAAGTTGAAATGTAATTTTATGTGAGAACTTTTTACTGTAATAAAAAAGTTAGATGTGACTGTTTCTGTGAGTTTTTTACTGTAACAAAACTCGAATTGGTGAAATGAACGAGATCTTAATATGTGACAGTTTAGTCTCTATTCTCTTAATTTTGACAAAACAACTCCTAGACTCTTTGTTTGGTAAGAATATTCAAATTATAGTGATTTTAATCATGATTCTGAAACCAGAACTATGATTTATAATTTTAGGTTCAAATCATGATTCTGAAATTATGATTTAGAATCACGAGTTTGAATCGCCTTGAATTAAGAGGGGGATGGTTTTAGAATCATGATGATTATGGTTTAAAACATCACATCAGATTTCAAATCATAATTCAAAATCATCCAAACTAAACACTGATTTTGAACCACTGTAAACAAATATTGAATCTAAATTAGGATCCAGAATCATAATTTTGAATCCATCTACTAAACGCCAACAAGTTAGCAATTTAAACTTTTTCATCAAAGTCTGTTAAATTTTTAACACAATGTGTCATGTGCAATGCAGGTGACCTCATATGAAAGGGTATTTTAGTAAAATTACAAATAATTTATAATTTTACAATAATTAAATTAAAATTTTCTCAAGAAAAAAGAAAAAAGAAAAGAAAGAAATACGCATAACAAATTAGCAAACCCAATATCTTTTAACTCAAATGAAAATCCTAACTTACTTAAACAATGGGAAAATCCTTACTTACTTTAACAATGGGAAAATCCTTACTTAAACAATGGGAAAATCAAGCAATTGAAAATGCTCTGCACTTAACGCTTGAACTAGAAAGTTACAATCAATTTTTGGTACTTTTTCTTCACCAACAATCAATGTTTATCTTGACCCAAAAGGAAATTTTATGCAATTGGGTGATTTCAAGAGGTGCTCAACTTCACCTTGACGAAGAACACGATCACCGACCAACGAACCAATAAGGCTTCAACAGTTGAGATTCATGAAATTCAAAAAACAATCATGTATATAACTTCCACTATCACTCCCCCTTTCCCATCCTCGACGCCAAAAAGGAGTAGGTCAGGCCCAAATCGTCCCTCTCATGCTCTCCTCTAGCCCAAAATAATGATGACCTCGCGAGAAAATAACCCGACAGAAATCCACACCGGACATGGGTTAGTGAGGGGACAACGAGCTTGTGAGGCGGTTGTTTGCGGGTGTGGCGGCTAGCTCGTGAGAGATGGCAGGGACTTATAATTCAAGAGCTGCCACACCCGCAAACAACCGCCTTACAAGCTCGTTGTCCCCTCGCTAACCCATGTCCGGTGCGGATTTTCGTTAGGTTCTTTTCTCGCGAGGTCATCATTATTTTGGTGGTAGGGATCTTGAGGCGGCGTTGAGGCTCCACTCAACGTTGGGCTGGCTTGCGGCGGCACCGGCAGATCCAGAGGCCGCAAATAAGGTTATGGGTTGTACTTTGTAGAAAAAAAAAAGTTGGGTTTCTTATTTAGTTTATTTAAAAAGAACTTTAGTTTAGTTTTTTTTTTTTTTTTTTTTTGAGGTTGGTAATATTTTTGTATTTTATCAAAAAACAGAGACATGTGATGATCACATGCAAGATTCTATGAGAAATTTGACGTAAAGGTTTAAATTGCCAACGTCTTAAGAGCTAGGGATTATTTTGTTAAAATTTAAAAAATATGGATCAAACTGTTACTTAATAAATAGATTACAGACGATATGTGTCAATTATTATTATTTTTTAGAATTGAAGTTTGGGTGTTTGTTTTATCGTGTTTGTGAGAGAAAAATACTAAACTAAAAAAATAAAATTTGAATTTTTATGAGAAAAATATTATAGTAATAGAACTTGAATTGTGACTTGAGTTGTGAAAAAATAATAATTTTTTAAAATACTCAAAGTACCTAGTGCTAGGTTAAATATCATTTTTCCTCTTTTGTTATAAAAAATACAAATAACCCAATCACCATGTGTCTATAAAATCGATTACAAACTACCTCATAAAACAATTAATTTTTTTTAATATCAAAGATTACCTTTCTTAATCTATGTTAAATATTTATATGTAATAATGTCTCAAAATTATCTTTAATATAAGTTAGGAAGATTAATTTTGATATTTTAAAAAACTTTTAATTGGTTAAGTGGGAATTTTGAGGCTAACTTCATAAACCGAGTTAGGACTCATTTGGTTATGCGTTTAAATCAATGATTTTTTATTTTGGCATTTGAAATTTAATTTTTCTGTGAGAGAAAAACACTGTAACAGAATCAAAACTATGAGTTTAAACACATAAAACAAATGAGCCATGAGTGTTTTGGATATTTATAAAATAAGAGGGAGAAAAATTATATTTAGGCAAATGTTTAGTGTTTTCAGTATTTTTGCTTTTTCTGAAAATTGGGTTATTAGTTATTTAAGTGCACAAAAGATAAACAATGTATTTTTTTGATTAGTTTCGTAAGTGCTTCCCTAAGCTGCCCCTAAACTGATTATCCTAGTTCAAGATATCTTCAAATTTGAAAATGTTTCATTTCGCTCTCAAAAACTATCTACCCTACTTCCTTAAGTACTAATAAAATGATGAGATGTTAATACTTCTAATTTTATAAACGCTCCGCAAATTATTAATTTTGTGTCATTTTACCTCATTTAAAAAAAATAGAGAAAATTGAAATAAAATCAATAGTGTGCAGGATATTATTGAAACTAACATTCATTTATGGAGTATTTTGAATCACTTTACATAATTTAAGAGTTGAAATGAATAATTTTTCGGTGAGTACAGTTTGAATTCATGTTTAATAATCATGCAGTCGAATTATATTTCTCTTTTGAACTGAGTTAAATTGTTCAACTTAGAGTTTAACTCTCCTTAAAATTCAACCGTTCAAACAATTTTTGAAGAGTAAAAAAGTGCTCACTCCCTCTACTTTTCGCACTTACTAAACACAAATTTAAATTGTATTTCCTATTCAAATTATAATTTTAACTCCGCAACCAAAAGTCAATTCAAACTACAATTTAAACCATATTGTTTGAATTTTTCTATTTAAATAAAAAAGTTAAAATCAATAAAATTCGAACTAGCAAACCAAATTGGGGCTTCATAATTCAAGTGGCATGTTGAATCAAGTTTGGTTAAAGGATTTGAACCGTGATTCTAAATTTGCTCTCTCATAAAAAAATTTAAATAAAAAAGTTATAGCCAATTAATTCTATTACAAAATTTGAATACATAATTAAAATTACTGACTTAAAGACGTGAACTAAATGAATCCTAAATTTTATAAAACGTTATTCCGAGGTGTAAGAAAATCCTGACTACCCGACAAACACCAACCTCACCGAGCTGAGTGTAACTGAAAATCTTGACGTTTGTTTCATGTATTCGTCTCTGATTCTGAATCACGATTCATGGTTCTCTACAATATTTTTTTTCACAAAAAATACACATAAAATGAGAATAATTATGAATTATGATTTTGAATTCATAAACGTCCACAAACTTTTAAATTTATTTTTCAGCTTTGAAATTAAGATGACATTTTCAGCCCGAGGTGCGGAAGCTGAGTTTACCATCCCGAATTAACCCTACTGGCTAACAATTGCATAAGCCCACAACAATTGTTTAGCCCAAAGCCTAGCTGCATAAGCCCATTAAAAAAAAGCCCTAACACGACATAATACCCTCGTCTTGAAACTTCCTGCTGCCTCTCCCTCAACTTCTCACTCTCGCATTTCCTTACAAAGAAACTTGCTGTAGAAATGTACCGTGTTTAGAATTAATCCCTTATTTATTTTATATATTTTTTAAGAAAAATAAAATGAAAATATTTTTAAAACGATGTTTTTGGCGCAATAAAAATAAAAACGAAAATGAAAATAAATTTTTAGTTTAGTGTAAAATAAGAGAGAAATGAAAAATAACTTTTAGTCGTTTTTCATGATTTGTGTTCGTTTTCTCCTCTCTCGAGCATAGAGAGAGAAAGAGAGACATTAATGAGTTTTGTTACACTGAAAATAATCTTTTGATAAAACTACAAAACACATTTTCAAAATGATTTTCTGTTTGAGATTGAAAACGTTTCCATTTTAATTTTCATACAAAAAATTAAATCATTTTAAAACGAGTTTCAAATGCGCCCGTAGTTTCCTTTGTCCTCCCATCTTTGAAATAATGGTGTGTAGCCTTGAGAATTCATGGGTGAGGTCCGACCACCCCAAGTCGAGCAGGCCCGGCCCTAAATAGGCCGAACTACTTCAGCTTTGAGGGCTTGGTGGGGTATCTCGGCTTAGATTTGAGGGCTTGGCGGGGTATCTCAGCCGAACTATTTTGCAGCTCGAGCTAAAATATTGAAGCATTCTGGTCGAACCCTGCCGACTTACACTCCTACCCCCTCCTCTCCAACTTCCTTAAATTCTAACTCAAAACATTATTTACATAACTAACTCAAAAGGTTCCTATCAATCATTTCACTCAAATTTTTTTTAAACTTATAATTTTAATAATGTAACTAAATATTAATTCAAACTTTATTATTTGTTTATACTTTACGTTACTTAAGCCAATTTGAGAAAACTTACATATAAATTTAAATCCATACAATTTAAATTGAAAAGCGAACAGGGCATTAAACAAAAGATTTGAGTCCCAAAAATCCAAAAATATAAAACATGGTGATATGAAATTAGGACAATTAATTGGGATATAAATTATCTGCCCCAAAAATAGTAAAAGCAAGAAAAAAAAAGGAGAAAATTTCAAAATTAAAAAAGAAAAGAGAGGAAAAAAAAAAAACAAAAAATCAGAAGCGAGAAACTTGAGCTGGATACGCGCGGTGATGTTGCCAAATTGACAAGTTGACAGCGACAAGCTTTGGAGGCTTTTCACTTCATTTTTAAAAATAAGAAAAAAAAAATTGGTGATACAAATGTAAATTAAATTGTAATTGGGAAAAGTTTCATTTTTTCAAAATCAGAAAACACACACCCATTCCCAACTCTTTCCTCTCGTTTCCCTCTTCCCAAACACCTCGCTTTCTTCTCTCTCTCAACTTTTCTCTCTCCTGGTTCGTCTGAATTCAGAGCTTAACGAGGAAACAACATCGTCATATAATCAGCTAGAACCAGGTATAAAAATCTCGAACAAGTTTTCGGTTTTTGTTTTTTTGTTTGTTACGTTTTTGTTAATTCTCTGTTCGAAGTCGTGGCTTTTCGTCGACGAAATTGGAAGAATTCGTTGAGCCAAGAATACCAGAATTTTTCGTCTCGAGTGAGAGATGTCTTGCATCTTCTTGAGTTTCAAACGGTTGAAGATTTTGAATTCAAAGAAATGGAAATGGTCGTTTATCAGTTAGTTTTAGTTTTTCCTCAATTTCTCAGTAGTTAGACATGTTTATATTTAACTTATCGAATGATGTTTATAATGGATAATTATGGAAATGGAAATGGAAATGTAGGACTCGGTTTTGAGTGTTGAATTCTTTCTCCTTTCAGGTGTTGTGATCACCCAAATGCGTTTCAATTGACGAAAATGACACTGCTCAGTAGATTCTTTTACAAAAGACCCCCTGATGGGTTACTTGAATTTGTTGACAGAGTATATGGTAATCATTCTTTATTTTCAATGTTAAGCCACTGTTGTTAGATTTCTCTTTTTGGGTTATGGGTGCAATAACTGTGTTTTATATTTTATATTCAGATTCCCATTTATGTATTTATATGGTATCTGCAGTTTTCGATTCGTGTTTTTCCACCGAAGTATTGCCCGAGGGAATGTACCAAATATATTTACATGAGATCATTATGGAATTACATGAGGAATTCCCTGACTCGTTGTTTCTCGCATTCAATTTCCGCGAGGGCGAAAAGCGGAGCCAATTCGCGGAAGTATTATGTGAATATGATGTTACTGTCATGGACTATCCTCGGCAGTACGAGGGTTGCCCCCTCCTCCCATTGTCTTTGATTCAGCATTTTCTTCGCGTTTGTGATAATTGGCTTTCGCTTGGAAATCAGCAGAATATTATCCTTGTGCATTGTGAGAGAGGGGGTTGGCCACTCTTGGCCTTCCTCTTAGCTAGCTTTTTGATTTTCAAGAAAATTCACAGTGGGGAACGCAGGACTCTCGAAATTGTTCATCGAGAAGCTCCCAAAGGTTTCTTGCAGCTCCTTTCACCTTTGAACCCATTGCCGTCTCAACTTCGTTATCTCCAGTATGTGACAAGAAGAAATATAGCTCCAGAGTGGCCGCCACCTGAGCGAGCTCTTTCTTTAGACTGTGTCATTCTTCGGGCTATTCCAAGCTTTGATTCCCAAAATGGCTGTAGACCTCTTATTCGTATTTTCGGTAGGAATCTCCTTAGTAAGGGCGGGCTTACAACCCAAATGTTATTCTCTATGTCGAAAAAGAAGACACTCCGGCACTACCGCCAGGTGAGGGTCTTGTTGTTCTACTGCTACACCTTTTATTTATATTTGTTGCTTTACATTTTTTTTATTTCTCCTATATTTTAATTTAAATTACTGCTCTAGTGTCTAACATTATGTTAATTTTTTGTTTCAGGCAGACTGTGATGTGATCAAAATTGACATTCAGTGTTTGGTTCAAGGAGATGTCGTACTGGAGTGTGTCCATTTGGACTTGGATCCAGAAAGGGAAGTTATGATGTTCCGTATAATGTTTAACACTGCATTCATTCGTTCCAACATATTGATGCTGAACTCTGATAACTTGGACATTCTTTGGGATTCAAAGGAGCGCTATCCAAAAGGATTTCGGGCTGAGGTGACAGTTCTTAAGCACATGTTCGAATCTTAGGCAGAACTAGATAAAAGATAATGATAAAAACATTTCCTGCATTTTGTCAGATTGTTGAGATTTGAGATACAATTCAAAGCCTGAAACATTGTCTAGATTTGAGGTTTCTTTAATTTATTTGTTTCATATTGTTAAAAGTAAGAATTAGCAGTCCTGTTTGATCGGATGACTAATATTGTCAGGTGCTGTTTGGGGACGTAGAAAGCATCTCTCCACCTAGGGCTCCTACAACAATTTTAAATGGGGAGGAAAAAGGTGGGTTGCCCATTGAAGCTTTTTCAAGGGTTCAAGAACTATTCAATGGTGTTGAGTGGGTTGATAATAGTGATGATGCTGCACTGTGGTTGCTTAAACAACTCTCCGTCTTGAGTGATGTGAAAGAATTGTCGAGGTTTCAACAAAGAGCAAGTTTATACTCGCCTGTGGATTCAGAGGAAGAAAACAATGCATCTAGTACTGCTGATAGTGCTGATGAAGGATTTGATGTTGCTTCCAAGACTTCAGTAGATTCTGCAAAGCCATCGATACTAGATTTAGTTGATTCAATTCCTTCATCTTATTCTTATGAAAATGAGGGTCCAAATGATGCCAGCCTTGCAGTAGAGTCGCTAGATCAAGTGTTAGTTGAATCTCTTGATAAACAAACATCATCTCCCAGTGAAGGATCTCTAAATCTTTTACCCACTACACCATCACCTTCACTGCCTCCTTCCTCTCAAACGCCAACTCTTCAGCATCCAATATCTACACCATCTGTGCCAACATCAGCGACACCACCACCACCACCTCCGCCTCCTCCTCTGCCTTCATTTAATGCTGGTAATGTTCCTCAACCGCCGCAACCACCTCCACCTCCTCCACCTCCTCCACCTCCTCCACCTCTTAACTTAGGTAGAGATTCTCCTGCACCATCTTTGGATTCTAGTAAAGCCCCACCACCACCACCACCACCACCTTGTTTTAATTTGTCTAAGCCCGTCCCACCAGCTCCGCCACTTCCCCCTTCTAAATCTAGTAAACAATTCGTGCTGCCATCGCCACCGCCACCGCCACCGCCACCGCCACCGCCACCACCAATGCCATCATCAATGGGAAAAGGAACTACCAAGTTACAATCGCCGCCTCCACCACCACCGCTGCCGCCTATCCAAAGTTCAATTCGTCGGGCACCACCTCCACCACCCCCTCCACCTCCTGCAAGCAGTACCCATGGTAATGCCACTAGACCACCCCCTACACCTCCGCCGCTGCCACCACCTTCCGGTAACACTACTAGACCACCACCTCCAGCTCCACCTCCCGGTAATACTACTAGACCACCATCTCCACCTCCACCTCCACCTCCACTTCCTTCAGGACCTGCAAAATCAGCCCCACCACCTGCACCTCCACCGCCACCGCCACCACCCACTGGTAAAACTACTAGACCACCTCCACCTCCTTCTGGACCCACAAGATCAGCCCCTCCGCCTCCACCTCCTGCACCAAAACCCCCTAATGCTCCTCCACTTCCAACTCGAGGTGCTGCACCAGCTCCATCCCCACCACCAGGAGCAAAGGAATCTAGTGCCCCACCGCCGCCACCACTGTCTGTTGGGAAAGGAAAAGTTTCTTCGGCACCAACAACTCAGGGAAGAGGTCGAGGTGCTGGTGTTGCTGCTACTGCCCCAAAGAAAGCTTCATTAAAGCCCTTGCATTGGGTTAAAGTTACTCGGGCAGTGCAAGGGAGTCTATGGGCTGATTCTCAGAAACAAGAAAATCAGTCAAGGTGCGTGCTCTGGAATTTCGTTTAGATACTTAAATTTGAAACTGGATTTCTAAGCGCCAAATGGCTACTTTATTAAAAGATACTGTTTTGATCCCTTTAGTAGAGTTTCTTAACCATGATACTAGTTATAATGAACTTTCAGAAATCATTTTGTAAGTCTGATTTTTCCTTACTTTTTATAATGTAATGCCATTTGGATTTTGTTATGATGCTTTTCATACACTTCGTCACATAGTCACATGATGAAAGGTTTTTTAGGGCGCCTGAAATAGATATATCAGAACTTGAAAGTCTTTTCTCAGCTGCATCTGCTCCAGATGGTAGTGGCAATAAGGGTGGAGTTCGACGTGGTCCTAACATCAACAAACCCGAAAAAGTGCAATTGGTAAGCTGTAATTACCATGTAGAGATTTTCTTCTCTTATTTTTTTAAATAATTGTTGTGAAAACGTAATTTAGAGTTCAAGATTCTCCATGATGATACATGACTTTTACTTTATACTTGAAATGTAACTTTAGCCATAGGAAGTTGAAGCTTCAAAAGAATTAAAGCAATGAGCTCATTTAATATACTGTGCAGATCCAAATATATCCTTCTTGGAGTTACTGTTAAGCAACAGGATTGTGTTATAGCTTTTTTATTTTCTCCCTTGTTTTTGTTTTTTGTTTTCTGTTTTTGTTTTGTTTTGTTTTTGCCTTTTTGGGTGGGGAGGGGAGTGTTACTCTCGTGTATAACTGTTTAGAGAAATTATTTAAATGGAAAAAAGGTTGAATACGTTCTCTTGTTCTTCCTTTTGCTATAAAAAGCTGCCTCCTTTGTATCAAATTCTGAGAAATGTGCTTATAGTCAGCTTATGATTATGTTAATATGTCATGTCAGGTCGACTTGCGTAGAGCATACAACTGTGAAATCATGCTATCAAAGATAAAAATTCCTTTGCCAGATATGATTGTAAGTTCTTTCCTATTATTTACACTCGTGCAACAAGTTTCCTCTCTTAGTTTAAAAATTTTTCTTCTGCGTAACAGTATGGGATAGGGGTTTCACATGTGTCACCCTTCCATCTTAAAAGAGTTAAAGAAAACAATCTTTTAACTCCTTGGGAAAGGGAGAAGGACGGTGAAAAAGTGTTATGTGGGGAATCTTTCAGCCATATTTGGATTTTAAGTGTATATTTTCAAATATATATATATATATATTTGAATTTGAATTTTAAGTTTCTTTATTGATATAGAAAATTTTGTGTTCTTATTCCAAATAAATAAAATGCATACATTCAATTGTTAAATAATATCAGAAACTGATTTATCTACTCCATTCTTCTTTATCCTCTGTGCTTATAATCGACTTCTGATGCTTTGAATTGTAAATTTGATGGCCCTTAGTTATGAATTATTTTCCCAGAATGCGGTTCTGGCTTTGGATTCTTCCACTCTGGATATTGATCAGGTCGAGAATCTCATTAAATTCTGTCCCACGAAGGAAGAAATGGAAGTACTGAAGGTAAGCTCCATCTCTGTATTCTTTGTGCGTGCTGCCATTTCAAGCATGTCCAAATATGGATAGTAATAATGCGTCTTCAAAGTTGAGCGATTTTCATCTTTTTATGTTTAAAATTTGCCGACCTATAGATTTAATCCCCTGACTTTACATCTTTATATATGATATAGATCCAGAAGTAGACTAAGCCAAAGTCTGTGATTAAAATCAAATATTTTTTACGTTATTTTTATTAGAACCTTTAGACCACTATGTTTTTGCTGATTTCTTCCTACTATCAGAATTATACAGGTGACAAAGAAAAGCTGGGAAAGTGTGAACAGGTTCTTTCTGATGCTATCATCTTGAATCCCAGCTCATATTTTAAATTGATTTTTACTAACATTACGTCACTATTTCAGTTTTTTTTGGAACTAATGAAAGTTCCACGAGTAGAATCCAAATTGCGAGTATTTGCTTTTAAAATCACCTTTTCTAGTCAGGTATTTCTTATGTGATTTCACTGTTCGTTATGTGATTGTGCTTGCAATTATTATTGATGTTTTGTTGTTTGACCATGTACAGGTGGATGATTTAAGAAATAATCTTAATACAATTAATAATGCTGCGAGAGAGGTATGACTAAAATTAATTGTTATTAAGCTAGTATTTATGGGCGTGCCTTTTAGTATATATAAAGAAAAACCTAAATCGCAAATGTCACACTTATTTGCAGGTGAAAGAATCGGTAAAATTGCGTCAGATAATGCAGACAATTCTTACCCTGGGGAATGCTCTGAATCAAGGCACTGCACGAGGTACCACTCTTCCCTCTTATTTCTTTTCCATTTGTATGCTATTTTTTAGCCTAATATATTTTCCCCTCCACTTTTCATATCCCAGGATCTGCCATTGGATTCAAATTGGACAGCCTTCTTAAATTGTCTGATACTCGCGCAAGAAATAACAAGATGACTTTAATGCATTATTTGTGCAAGGTAGAGATCTTGAACTGTAGTTACCTTTTCATAAGATGTCATTAGGGTGTCTTCTGTTTTGTTGATTGAGTCAACTCTAGTTTGAAAATTGCTTATAGTCCATGATCATTCTAAGACTTGATGTTGGTGCGTGTTACGGGTGTACTAGTTATACTAGTTACTAATTCATGTTCCCTGATTTGTATTTCCATGAGGCTGATGAAGTTGGCGATTTTGTTGATGCTACTGACTACTGTTACTAAAATGATATGTAAATTTATATCTAAATATGTTTTTTATTTTGTTGTTTCTAAATGCACTAAAGACAAAGTTAGACATAAAACTTGATGTCCTTTGACGTTCAAATGATCTTAACCATGTAAAGATGTAGATTGTTTGTTGATAGTTTGCTGGAAATGCTCCTGGCTGAGAAAAAGGTCGTTAACATAATATTCTTCTTTTTGGGAACAAGTTATTTAATGGTAATTATAATAAAAAGTGAAGTGCTTAAAATTTATTCAGCTCTGCCATGACTGTTGTAACTGTAACTTTTTCGTTAACAGTATTGTTTTGTTAAAAAGCTTTGTTCTTTAGTTTTTTTATTTTTTATTTTTTTATTTTTATGGCTTTCTTCTTAGGCTTTTTTCATGTTTCTGGATAGCACCTTTGTCGATCAATAAGTTTATCCTTCTGAAGAAGTTTGTTTATCCTTTTATCTTCTTTGTTTCCATCATTATTGATAATATTATTAGACTTCCTAGCTTCATATACTTTTTTCTGCTTTTGTTTTAGTATTTGTATGTGATACTCTTCTGATTGTGATTCCTTGGTGAGTTCTCGTCTTGGTCAGCTCCTTGCTGAGAAAATGCCAGAGTTGTTAGATTTTGATAAGCATCTTGTTCATTTGGAAGCTGCATCTAAGGTATGTGATTACGTTTCTCGTATTGGCTCCTGCATTATGACTTGTTGATGATGATCTGAATTAGCCTGGAAAGGTTGTCACTTGGTTTGTATGTTTAACCTTTACATCAACTTAGTAGATTCAATTGAAAGTTCTGGCTGAAGAAATGCAAGCTGTGAGCAAAGGTCTCGAAAAGGTTGAGCTAGAGCTTGCTGCTTCAGAAAATGATGGTGCTATCTCTGTGGGCTTCCAGAAGGTGAGGACTAATTAGAATTTTTCCTTTCAAATTTTGATTGCATGAGGAATATTCTAACTATAAATTTATAATAAGTTGATTGTTATTTCTGTAGAATCTTGAAAGATTTTGAATGTCTCTGTTGTTTGCATTTGCTGTTTTGGTGTAATTGAAATTCATGTCTCTGGTTTCCATCCTGACATTAGAAGCATAAATCTTTGAAGTTGGAATCTTTAGTGTGTCAATATTGCGTGTCTTTTATAGAGTAACGAGGTTATATATAGCAGCTTAGTGAAGTATTGGCAAAGTAAGCTACAAGGTAGTTTTGTATTTGTGCTAAGGGCTGATTTTATCCTTAAAGGCTTATTACTGCTAGCGCTATGTATCTCAAAAGCATCATGTTCACTTACCTACTAGCAACTGCACACTACTTTTGATTTCTGGATATAAAAAATAAAATATAAAATATAAAATATAAAATTGTACACTACTTTTAACTGTTATCAGTTATCATCTTCATCATCTTTTTATCTCCAAAACTAACATTCGGAAACAGAATCCCATTTGCTCTAGTTTTTCCTTGAGAATTATTCTTGGGCTCGAGGAATACGGTTAACTTGAATCTTGTTTCCAAAATCTAAGGCCTCGTTCAGTTCTCCGATTTGAGTTTTCAATTCCAGTTTGCTACAGTAAAAAACTCTCAAAAAAGTCGCATTTAACTTTTTTTTACTACAGTAAAAAACTCTCAAAAAAGTCACATTTAACTTTTTCTGCTACAGTAAAAAGCTCTCACAAAAAGTCACATCCCAGCTTGAATTGAAAACTCGAATAAGAGAATTGAACGAGGCCTAAATGTACTTATAGCATTGTAGCTTTGGACTATTTGCCATGAATTTTATTAGAATTAGTTCGGGGTTAGATTATAGTTCCCAATTGAAAAGCAGATGCCTATTATCGTCTATATTGTTGGGAAATTTGGATCGCCAAACCTCCCTCCCAGGATCCTCCTTAGCAGAATGTCAAAGAACAATAGAGAAATATGAAAAAATACAACATAAGGATTTAACGTGGAAAACTCCAAAACCGGAGAAAAACCATGGTCATTGTCAAAGACAACCAGAGAAAAATTCACTATGAGGAAAATTGTTACAACCACACTCAGTAATTTTCCTCGCACCCAAAACCCAATTACATCCAGCTCTCAGGAAACCTTACAGTTTCTCACACAAACAAGTTTACTCTCAGAGAACTCTCTTTACAGGAATTGGATACATGATCCTGAGAAAACACCAACAGAGATTTCACTCAAACCTCACAAAAGAAAACTATTCTCAAGGATACACTCATTACCAAAGCATTACTTGTACCCATATTGGGGAGCCAAATGCCCCCACAATATTCTACATGCTTAATAGATTTTCTCCTTCTCTTTTCTTTGTTCTGATTTTGGGATGTATGATTTTTGGATGATCTAACAAAGAAGAACCAAGCCTTATTTATAGGCTTCACCACACCTCTCTTATACGTCTTCTCCAGCCCAAAAACAACATGCAGAAGATGGTAGAAGTTAGTAGAGTCATGCAGACCACTTCAATTTCTTCTTTTGCTTCCTGTTCCAAAAACGGTTTGGACAGCCCATCACCGCACAAGAAGAATCTCAATTCTTCTTCTTTTCATTTACTTCGAACTACGTGGGACACATGGTCCACAGGTTTTCTTTTTCCTTTATTTAGTCAATATTCCAACATATATGAGTACTAGTAGCCCTGTAGGAGGAGGTGGGACTATTTTAGTCTTGGTTAATCATGATCTAGTCACCAGCATGAGAACAAAGGAAAAAGAATAGTACAAAGATGAAAAGAAGATGCAATATGTTTTATTGTTGCTCAGGATATTTCATGAAGATATTTAATATGAGTTATTGTTTCTATGGATTATGGAATAAATATGAACAACGGAATCTTGATAGGTTCTAAAGAATTTTCTTGATACTGCTGAAGCTGAAGTACGGGTGCTAATTTCCTTGTACTCCGAAGTGGTGAGTAGAGTATACTGCGTTTTTCTTTGGTTTCCAGAGTGCAACTTAATTGCTGGTTCATAGCGCTTACACATTGTCTTATAGGGAAGAAATGCAGATTCTTTGTCCCAATACTTTGGGGAGGATCCAGCTCGATGTCCTTTTGAACAAGGTATGATTTGTTCTTCACATGCAGAGACAGAAATACACGCACACAATGAGAGAGAGAAAAACTGTTCTTTGTCAGATTTTCTTACCAGTAATTTTGGAAATTATAACAGATTAACGTACCATGATGTGCTGTGCCTCTAGTTATACTGTTCTTTGAAAAGGAGCTGTGGTTATAGAATTACGTACTTGTCTTTCTGCCCATCTAGTTATCTCTCGTTACTATAACCCTATGGCCTATTGATTCAATTAATTATAGATGATATTGTTCACTTTCTTTACATTTTACTTCAAAAATGTTTACTCAACTATATTGGTGTTTTACGTCTCTTTACCTATTATTTAAATTTGTATACCAAAGCGCGTGCTCCTTGCCAAAGTATATTTGGTCTCGTTTTCTTATCTGGTGATTAAGAAAAGTAGAGTATTTCAAATACATGCTCTATTTAGGTTTTACTTGATGTCTGGTTCACTTTTAGGTTGCAGTCAATATGTGAAGAATGGTATGACATGAAAGAAAGTAGTAGATGTATATTCTATATCATCCTTTAAATTCTGTGATTTCAAAATTTATCGAAAGGTGCCTCTCCAAATCTCTACCAATCCAAACCAAACAAAAGTCAGGAGCCCAGTGCCACCATCTGTCTGTGACTCTGTTCATCTGTTGTATCATGATTCGTGCATTAATTTGGTTAAAATATTACAATATAGACAATTTATTTAAATTTTAAATTTTTAAAATTTTTTTTTTTAGTTTCCTCAACATACTATCAAGTCATTTGATTAGCGCATTTTATTTTGAAATCTTTGGCTTGCAGTGACGCAAATCTTGGCCGTCTTCGTGAAGATGTTCAACAAGTCACGAGACGAGAATGAAAAGCTGGCTGATGCTGAGAAGAAGAAACTAGAAAAAGAAGCGATGAAAGACCGGACCGCGGCTAATTCATCTGCAAAGAAAGATGAAGATAGAGTCTATTCTATCTCAGAGGCTATTCTAGGAAGGGCAAAAGTCAAACAGTAGTCCGGAATGCTGGCTGATGATGAGAAGAAGAAACCAGTGTAAAAAGTCTGAAAGACTGAAGCTTGGCTTACACGTGCGAGGAAAGGCGTAGGTCAATTATGGCATGAGTTGTTACTTGGCCAAATTAAATTTTGGCTAACTTTTAGAACCAGCAAAGTTGACTTATAACATCAACTAGAACGTTTCTGAAGATCAAAATGCTGGACTCGTGCCACCAGTTTTTATACTCAAACCGGGGTAGCTTGCTGTTTATACATGAACTGATTTACAAATCCAACTCTTCAACATGCCGTACTGGTTGACGTTCTCTATCCTCAACAGATTTTTCTGTCCGAACTGGATTAGCGGTCACACAATGTAGCTTGCTTAATTGTACTAGAGCTGTGAATATATGCGAGGAGAAATCCTCAGAAACAACATTTTGTAACACAAAATTATCTATAAAGAAACAGAAGTTTTGCAACATTTGGTGCTTCTACAATAGTTTTAATTAGCTAAAAAAGTAAAAGTACTATACCAAAATGGATACAGGTGAAAAAGTACAGATAGTTGAAGTTGGACTGTGATTGAGGCCATTTTGCCAACATATTTTATTTACGGAAAAAAAGGGTGTTCGCTTGTGAAAATGGAAAAATCACGCCGAATATTTAAAGGACACTTCTTGTCCTTGAAGATGAATTACTAGGGACAGCTTGATTGTCTTGATGATCGAAAATATCTTTTTTCTTAGCTTTGTCCTTTTGTTGTAGGTAAATCCTCTCTGCTTCAGGCATGGATAATATGATTGAATGCAGCCTAAGGTTCAACTCGTCAACTTTTTCCATGAGTCTGTCGTTTGTTAGCATTCCAAAAAACACGCTTTTGATGGTTTCCCAGCTTTCCACTATTGGCAGGGCTATGATAACAGCGGATCCGATGGTACCCCACGCAACTGCGATGATCGACCAGAATGTGAAGTATCCAAGACTGAATTCCCCTACATTAACAGGAAATACAACAACAAACCATGAATAAAGAAAGAATGCAAAATGTATAGTTTCTCTTCCTAGCAGTTTTTTGTTTCTAAAATTTAAGTTAAATTGCAATATATTTTTACACTCTTTCATTTTCTAAGATCAGATTCAGAACTTGGATGTCCCTAATTTTTCTTTCCTTATCTTCAAAGGCAAGTAAACTTAAAAGTACAACTTACTTGCTGGGAGAGAGAGAGCAGGCCACACTACAGCGATCAACATTGTAAAACCAACACCCCACCTCACAATCCATGATTTTGCTCTTACCAACTTCTCTTCCCTGAACTCTTCTGCAGGCAGCTCACTCTTTTCCTTCTCAACCACAGTGATCTGCTTAGTGGTGCTCCAATCATAGTTTTGAGGCCACAGAAAGCTGCATACAGCATGTACGGCTCCACCAATGAGTATTGACACAAGGTTCCCAGCAAGCATTGGCGCGTTTCGACCTGTTGTGTTGAGATTCACATGACCGTACTCAATCTTTGCAACCAACAACCAAGTTACGATTCCAAGAACACAGCCACTTATTGCTCCACTAATTGCGCCGACTGCATTTGCCTTTCTCCACAGAAGCATGAAAGCAATGGGGAGAACAGCTGAACCAATGAGTACTCCCATTGCTAGGTACATCCAGCCAAGGGAAACTCCAACCTTGTTGAGAATCACTGCCAGTAGACCCATGAAGCATCCAAAGACAAATATGACATACCTTGAAACTTGGAGGATTTTCTTCCCAGTTGCATCTGGGTTTATGTATGTTCGGTAGATGTCATATGTGCATAGAGAGGAGACTGCTATTAGCTCTGAGGAACCAGCAGATGTCACGGCCCTGGCCATTGTACAACAAACTCAAAAGTTCATACAGAAGTCAAGGAGTCCTCTTGTTTGAAATGGTTTTATCAACACAATTGTAAGATTTTGTCAAACAGGATAAATTTGGTTTAGTTTAGTTTTTTTTTTTTTTATTATTATTATTATTATTTTTTTCCATGGCGTGCTACAAAAATGTGTAATCATGAAGCAAATGTAGATAAATAATAGCATTTAAGCCTTCTATTGGCCTTAAGTCATAAATTGAATAGTGTTCACAATAGAACAATAATATTTTACCACTAAAAATGTAAAGGGATTTTTTCATATGTTTGCACCTAATAATACGTGAAGATGAGAGATGTAGACTCACATGAAAAGCATAGTAAGTAGAAGAACAGCACCTCCCTTCCCCATCAAAGCTATTGCGGTAGCGGGAGGAACCAATCCGTGGCCTGCCTCACTTTCTGTTATTGGTAGATTAAGGGCAAGTGCCCCCAAACCTAGTGATGTTGCTAAAGAGAATGGCACTGCAAACCACACCAGCCCACCTAATAAGTAGCCTTTATGCGTCGATGAAGGACGTGCTGCTATTGCACTTACCCAATATCCCTGTTCTCCAAAAATGTATTGAAATAGGGGATTTAGTAAAGTTTCTGAACTAGAATACAAAAAGATAACATTTCACTAAATTAGTGGAGAAACTTACATTATCAACGAAAACAGTGCCAAAGTTGCCAACAATGTTGATTATTCCAAAGACAAAACCACCAGAACTCAACATTGTTAGATATGACCCGTTGTAGTTGCCGCTAACAGGACCACAAGCTTGACCATGGTGAGACAAAGGTTCCCCACATGTTCCTGATTTACTTGCTAACTCCAACAGACGGTTGTATATCATGCTCGGGCTACCAAGCTGGTCGCTCACCACATATGCAAGGTAGACAAATATGACCAAAACCACATGAACTGAAACCGAATCACAAGATGTAAACAAAGTTTAGCCTGAGAACACGAATTTTGTTTCAAGAAAACAGAACACAGAAAGAAAGAAAATCAAGGAACATGGGAATTGACAAGAAAGTTAAATAGAGCACCAATAACCGAATGTATATAGCTTGCCAAGAAGGTAGCTTTCAATCCTCCAGCTAAAGTATAGACAATTACTCCAAGAGGTATTAGGAAGCTAGCGGCATAGATGTTTACTCCCGTGAGCGCTTTTACCACGGCAGAACCGCCAAGAAGCAGCATGGCCGTTACGATAATATTTGTCATAAAGCAGAAAACAAGAAAGACAATATGTGCTGCTGTGCCCCAGCTGAACAATAACATTATCATCACCATCAGTATGGGGAAAAAAAAAATTTCATTGAGAGGTACTCAATATTTTTGATTGAGATCATGAAAGCGGTATGGCATACCGGGCTTTTACGATTTCGCAAACAGTATGAGCATGGGGTGCCTTTCTTTTGATCTCTATGGCCATTATACCAAACAACAGTACCTATCATTGTCATCGCACGATTCAAGTCAGATTGCACTAATACCTGCAGATTAGAAGAATCCAAAGATGAAAAGGAGAAAAATTTGGTTGGACATGCCTGAATTGTGGCCCCACTAGCATACCAGAAGGGCCCGCTAACTCCGTACTGCCAAGCAACATTTGAGCTTTGCAAGATTGTTGCTGCCCAAGTCCACTACAGAAATCATTCACAAAAGGTCTATCAGCTGAAATTTTCCTTTCAAAGTCCCATCTCATTTTACAAATTGATGTATTCAGGAGATTACCTGGGAACCGTCAAGAAGGGGAAAAAAAAAAAAAAAAAAAGATTTACCTGAGAGACAATTGCACTAGCAATCATTCCTGTCTTAACTTTTCTGCCTGCAGTGTTGAACCATTCCGAAGTGTGGCGGGCACCAATATAGCGCTTCTCAAGCCATACCTGATTCAACAAAAGTACAGTAAACATTTAGTGAAGATGATTTAGTTAGTAGCTTCAAGGTTCTGAAATATTCCAAGCGATGGAATGGACTGTTTTTGAGTCTGGAATTAGTAAATCTAACAAGGAAAAACATTGCTTATATTGTATTAGCGCATTTATCAACTAGTAATACGCATATCACCATAGGTCAAATGGTCACTGAATAACAATTTAGTCCTCAGACAGAGATGCAAAAGGATATCGTTTTTTCTTCATTTCTTGTTCTTTACTAATCCAGCAGTCTAATACCATCCAAGCAAAAATATGGAATAATCCTTAAAAAAAAAAAAAAAGAAATAAACATCCAAGAGAAATAATCTTGACGTGTTTCCCATAATCTTGAGATTCTCAGGCATTTAATTAATAACACTTTGTTGGGGGATCCCATGTGATTGATTTTCCTGAAAATAAAAAATATCGGTAGTAATTTTTGAACCAAACACGGGAATCTTGCATATTCTTATTCCACCCTTAAGATTTCTGTATACCAAATACTCGAAATTCGAAAGAACAACAATACAACAAGGTTGTTTGCTCAATCTAGAAAGAAATAATCTTAAATTTAAAAGTTACATAAAAGGAAAGCAATAAAATAATACCAGAAAAGATGTGAAGACTGCAAAGAAGGCACCAAAACCAAGAACAACGGCATAGCCAACACTTTGGTTAAGCACAGTTTTGCCTTCAAAGAAACTGAGTTGCCTCTCACATTTTCCTCCAGCAACTGTGTGATAATACTTTGCTGAGAAGTCATAAGGAGGACACTGTGCGGCCATTAGTTATATTATTAACACACCTACTACTACAAACGAAACCAATCCTAGTCCTAACTCGCCGGTTTCTACTTTCTTATATTGCAAAAATCCCAGTTTCAATTTCTTTGCAATTTCATCCCAAAAAGGAAAAAAAATATCTTCTCAACTTGTCAGAAAGGATTACAGAAACAAAACCCAAAAAGCAAAAAAAAAAATGTAGCGACTAGATTAATGATTGAATTTGGGATTTGGTTTTTCTACTTTGTGGAACGACCACCGCAAAGCCTTGAGTCAAAGTCAACAAACTAAAGTTTTCTACGATAAATAATGACGCTTAGACTTTTTCCTTTTTTTTTAAATAATTTTTATTTATTCCTGCTATAGCCGCCGAGTGACTTTGAAGTGTACGAAACACTTCTTGTTGTTGTGTTCATACGAGGTTCTTTGACTGTTGTCAGATACAGAATCAGCCCGCTGTGCTGCTCCTGCTATTGGTGGATAGTCTACTAGGTGGGCCCTAGAATATAAGTTATCCAATAAACGGATGACACATGGTGAAGAAGAGGTATGACGTGGAAGTACCTGTTTTCAATTTGCCTATGCAATTTTTTGGATTCGAACTTTCTTGTTATATCTCGAGGAAGTAAAATCAGAAAAAAAAAAAAAATGTAATGATATTTGTAAGAACTATAGATAATCAAGTAGTATTCATATAAACAAGTTAAGTGGAAGATAAATTATACCGAATTCTTCAATATTGCAAGATTTCTCCTTCCCTCAAGATTTTCATCAATGGGGAGTTCAAGGCAAACTATCTCATATGACCGATCGCGCACTTTCTCGTTGCTTCGCGATCACTGGAGATCATAACGACGGGGAAGATCCCGACCTTTTGCTTGCTCGGTTCTCAATATGGTTTCCGCAAAGCAACGTCTCTGAGATTCGATTTGGAGAGCTTTCTCTACTGAGATCAGTTGAAGCTGATCATCATCACGGCCAACTTTGCACTTCTTGATGCTTCCGCATTCTGCTACAATATATGTTTTCATTCTTCTTTCTCAACCTTTTGGTATCAATACCTGGTTCCGACATCAATTTCTTTGACCTACTACGGGAGTCCTTTTCCCTTCTCAATATCCTCCTCCATCAAAGTAGCTTCAAACGAACTTACTATTCGATTTTTGGGGCTTTTTGGGTGACATTTGAATCGCACCAGAATGTTGTTCCTTCTTCCTATTCTTTGCACACCAGTCGATCCAGTCAATACTGGAATTCTTGTTTCATCTCCTTGGCCGCCATTATTCGATGAATAATGCGGGAATGATGCGAGCCTCACATCATCAGCGAACCGGTCGACCGTAGTGTACAAATCTTTGTTGAGCTTCGATTTGCCGGTCCCCAAGTCAATGGGGTGCCACATTCCATGGCAAAGCGACTTTACAGCTTCATTCATCATCATTGTCCATATCAAGGTGTCTTAATCTTTCTCATTTAGACAAAAGGAAGCCATAACCACTAAAGATTAGAAGGAGAAAGCTAATATATATTGGTGCTCACTCATCGGTTAATCTAAGGAGAATGGATTCATATGTCTCTTTTTTATGTCCCATCAATAATAACATGTCACGTCATAATTTTTTAATTGAAATGATAAGAATCTTTTAATTGACGTGTCACAATATAATGGGTGACACATAACGGATATAAAAAGGGATATGAATAAACGAATACAAGAGTTGATTCCCTTTTAGAGATGTTATCACGATACGAGAATTGTTCGTTGTATGAAAAAATGAATGACTTAGTAAATTTATTTTGCCAAAATTAATAGTTAATCTATACTTACGATTAATTATTTTATGCAAGTATTTGTGAGATTTTTGTATGGTTGTAAAAATTTTAAAATCGAATTCCGTCGTGTTTCTACTATATTTCAACCAACATAGACATGCGTCACTTAGGCAGGTAAATACTTACTTACTTTAAGCACTAATATTTCTAAAATATAAGCTCCCTATATTTTGTTCAGTTCACGCATGTTGGTTAAGTGTTCACCTAATTTGAACAAAATATTTTCCTATTAATTGGACCTTTACATCGTCTTTCAAGAGGATAACAATACTCTAAAATTATTTACAAGTTTCCAAGAATAGAAAAACATATTGTTTACTTTTTCAATCTTAATAGAAGACTCGGACTTAAAATCTCGCGTATGATTTCAAAAAATTTGGTGTTAAAAAAACTTTTAAGAGTTTATTAACTCCGTAAATTACTTAACAACACAAAGTCGTAGGAGTTGAAGGAGAATTAGATTTTAAACCTTCTAATCTGATTGAGTCTAAAATAATCGATACTCTCTTCTATTTTTTTCCCTTTTAAACTAAATTAAAATCTTACAGAGTGTGGTGGGTGGTATTTTTCTAACACACATTCAGAAGCTTTTAGATATTCATTGGCTTTTTATTTTTGACTTACATGTTTTTAAAATCGCGCTTTAAGTGTGGCGCCCCTCCTATGAGGCCGCCACTGTAACTTAAACTTTAACTTGTACTTACTGGGGTTTCTTAAAATTTGCGGAACATTTTTTTTTTTTTTAATATAAGAAAGAATACTTTCATAATTTGTAACAATAATTTCAAATAAGTGAATCACTAAATTTCTTAAAGCTTTTCTTAATTTCAGTTAAGATAAAACGTTCTAAAAATATCTTTCAAACAGAGCAGCATTTGAACTCTTATTTCAAAT